CATCATATGTATGGCATGGTAGTGGCCTCAAAACCCAAGACTAACCTAAGCATTTACAGTATAGCTATACAAAGCATGAGTGATATGGCCATGGCAGCCTAAAACAATCCTAGGACAGCCTAAAACAAGGACAAAATCATGCTGGAGCAAAGCCAAAACATGCTAGGATGATGAGTCAAAACATCATGCACATGAAGCTAGTAAGCAAGATTTGTTGTACAAGTATATAGAACATGCAAAGGATGACCCAACCCACTTTAGACAAAGTCATGACATGGCAAAACATCATCAAAAATATGCTGAAATGGGCTCAACATAAGCTAGAATGACATGCTAAAACAAGAAGCATACAAGACTAGTTTATGAGATTTACACTACAAGTGTAAGATGCATGCGTGGAGTGACAAAACCAACCCAAAACAAATCTAAGGCATGGTAAAACATCACCAAAAACCTACTGAAATAGAGCCAACACATGCAAGAAGAACATGCTACTTTGTAAGGCTATGAATGGGATAACACTACACATGTAAAATGCATGCAAAATATGACCAAACCATCCATGGACAGACTTAAGGCAGGTCCTAAAATTCACAAAAAATGGCCTGAACCAAGCCTCAAAAATACATAGAGGCAGGCTCCTTTGGAAGGCAAAAAATGCAAGCAAATAAGAACCAAAAGAGAGGGGGCCACCCCTTCTGATTTGAGGCCTCAAAACCTCATGCCTACCACTGAAAATCCACTGGATTTCAGTGGTTAGAAGGCCAAACCAAGGCTAGCTCGGAGGCCTTAAGGCATGGCTCAAAACAAGGCCAAACAAGGCCAACAAGAGGGTTGAAGACCCTTAACAGCCAAAAGACCTTAAACAACCACCAAAAGTACTTAAAAACAAGACTTTTTTCAGTTGAAAGCAAGGCCTAAATCAATATGCAAGAATGGCCAAAATGAGATACAAAAAGGTGTTAAAATATGGAAAATACTCACCCTTGAAGTCCAACTTCGAAACCAGCAACTTCAGGAGATAAAACCTCACTTTCAAAGCTCAAGAAGTCCTCCCAAGAACCTCAATCCAATGGTGGTGGTGTATCTCTATGTGTTGTAGTGTAGAAGTGCAAGGAAAATGGACTTCAAGGCACAAATATACAACAAAATATAGAGAGAGAGGGATATTTCTTCTCCAAAGAGCTGAACCTTTGCTAAGGAGAGAGGCTTTCTCCTTATATAGAATAAAAGCAATGCAAAGCTTCTTCAAGAAGCTTGACAAGAGCTCCATCCCTATATACACGTGTATGAAGGGCAGATAAAAGGATTCTAGCTGGCTCAAAAGATCTGGAGTAAAACCAGCTGAGACAGGCCGGCAGGCTCACTCAATGGCCAACAGAAACAAATCCATGGCCGGCAGTGCCAGACCATGGCCAGCAGTGCACCAGGAGAAAGATGCTGAAAGGACCAAGTCATGGTCCAAGAATGGGACAGAAATGATACAGGGTCTGGAAAGCTCGAACCTATGATGTTCCGCCACGAAAGTCGAATGCCCGACGAGCAATCGACCTTGTGTCCGGATGTACCTGCAAGCACAACCGAGTCTTGAGGACGGTCAAAAATGGGGTGTCTACAGGGACCACAGTATATGAACAATTTCATATATACAAAACCATCATAGCAATAAGATATGAACAACTACATCGAACACAATGTCTATGACAAAAAGTTAACCATTAATGGTACGAAAAATGGAGGCATACAAACCCTAATATGCAAAACATATGAGACCATAGTATACAATGACAAAAAGTACATCAACTGACATTATATATATATATATATATATTAGTAAATCGAACCGAATGAAATACAAAATAAAAAGCAATGATCGAAAAAATATCTTACAACTTATTCTTCGTGAACTTTTGGGCTTCGTTTGCTTCGTAAATCTCCAAATCAGTGACAATCGAATAATCGAAGCCCTACTTTCTCAAATCTATACACTATTTCGTTCAATTGAAACCCTAATTTGTTCAATCGAACAACCCTAATTTGTTGAATCGTACAACCTAGTTCTCTTTACTTTCCTCTTCTCAAATGCACGACTGATGGAAGTGAAAATGAAGAAAAGTTAGATATATATATATATATATATACACAAGGGCAAATTGGTCTTTTTACGTCTACCATTGACGGTGTTAACTGTGCACATTAGTCCATCAACCACATGAGTTATGTGGTGATATTCGAAAGTCGAGGGTAATCCGCACATGGTCTAAAAATTAAAAAAATATTTTATTACAAAGTTAAACCTTGAAATTTTAAAATTTTGAAATAATTTTTCCAAATAAAAACTACTTTCATATATATAAAAAAATAAAATAAAAATTTTACTAAAATTTAAATAAAAAATGTAAGAAGGGCAAGCAAATTTGTGATGGAAATTTATTCCTTTTTTGATCCACAACGTGCCTCATCACCTTTTGACCCAAAGCAATCTCAATCATCAGTAAACTATCTTGACAAACAAATTGCGATCATCATTAGTTTAATCGTAAACCCACCCAGGGTTTCTCTTTCTCTATCCGCTGCTCTGCCTCATTTCAATTTCTATATATATTTTCTCGTCAACCAAACACGATATCGATTCTCCGTACCCAGTTCACTGTACAGATCTTACCGCATTCTTTAGCCCATCATCCACGCTAATCCTTGGAATTTAAGGGTTTTCCGTATTGAGTCTATTTGTTGCTCTTGATTTTTTTGCTTATTAGTTTGGTTTTGATTATTGTTAGTAGAAGCAGATATTGTAGATATGGATCGATTTGAAGGTGAGGGTAGTAGTATTCAAGAGAGTCCCAATCCTCACGATGTCGAGCAATTCGAACCAAGCCTCAAAAATACATAGAGGCAGGCTCCTTTGGAAGGCAAAAAATGCAAGCAAATAAGAACCAAAAGAGAGGGGGCCACCCCTTCTGATTTGAGGCCTCAAAACCTCATGCCTACCACTGAAAATCCACTGGATTTCAATGGTTAGAAGGCCAAACCAAGGCTAGCTCAGAGGCCTTAAGGCATGGCTCAAAACAAGGCCAAACAAGGCCAATAAGAGGGTTGAAGACCCTTAACAACCAAAAGACCTTAAACAACCACCAAAAGTACTTAAAAACAAGACTTTTTTCAGTTGAAAGCAAGGCCTAAATCAATATGCAAGAATGGCCAAAATGAGATACAAAAAGGTGCTAAAATATGGAAAATACTCACCCTTGAAGTCCAACTTCGAAACCAACAACTTCAGGAGATAAAACCTCACTTTCAGAGCTCAAGAAGTCCTCCCAAGAACCTCAATCCAATGGTGGTGGTGTATCTCTATGTGTTGTAGTGTAGAAGTGCAAGGAAAATGGACTTCAAGGCACAAATATACAACAAAATATAGAGAGAGAGGGATATTTCTTCTCCAAAGAGCTGAACCTCTGCTAAGGAGAGAGGCTCTCTCCTTATATAGAAGAAAAGCAATGCAAAGCTTCTTCAAGAAGCTTGACAAGAGCTCCATCCGTATATACACGTGTATGAAGGGCAGATAAAAGGATTCCAGCTGGCTCAAAAGATCTGGAGTAAAACCAGCTGAGACAGGCCGGCAGGCTCACTCAATGGCCGACAGAAACAAATCCATGGCCGGCAGTGCACCAGGAGAAAGATGCTGAAAGGACCAAGTCATGGTCCAAGAATGGGACAGAAATGATACAGGGTCTGGAAAGCTCGAACCTGTGACGTTCCGCCGCGAAAGTCGAATGCCCGACGAGCAATGGAACTTGTGTCCGGATGTACCTGCAAGCACAACCGAGTCTTGAGGACGGTCAAAAATGGGGTGTCTACAGGGACCACAGTATATGAACAATTTCATATATACAAAACCATCATAGCAATAAGATATGAACAACTACATCGAACACAGTGTCCATGACAAAAAGTTAACCATTAATGATACGAAAAATAGAGGCATACAAACCCTAATATGCAAAACATATGAGACCATAGTATACAATGACAAAAAGTACATCAACTGACATTATATATATATATATATATATTAGTAAATCGAACCGAATGAAATACAAAATAAAAAGCAATGATCGAAAAAATATCTTACAACTTATTTTTCGTGAACTTTTGGGCTTCGTTTGCTTCGTAAATCTCCAAATCAGTGACAATCGAACAATCGAAGCCCTACTTTCTCAAATCTATACACTATTTCGTTCAATTGAAACCCTAATTTGTTCAATCAAACAATCCTAATTTGTTGAATCGTACAACGTAGTTCTCTTTACTTTCCTCTTCTCAAATGCACGACTGATGGAAGTGAAAATGAAGCAAAGTTAGATATATATATATATATATATACACAAGGGCAAATTGGTCTTTTTACGTCTACCATTGACGGTGTTAACTGTGCACATTAGTCCATCAACCACATGAGTTATGTGGTGATATTCGAAAGTCGAGGGTAATCCGCACATGGTCTAAAAATTAAAAAAATATTTTATTACAAATTTAAACCTTGAAATTTTAAAATTATCTTTAACAAAAAATGACACAAACTTTATAAATTATAACTACATTTTAATCTTAAAATTATTTACACCGTGCCTTTAGGCACGGGCATACGCTAGTATATATATACACAAGGGCAAATTGGTCTTTTTACGTCTACCATTGACGGTGTTAACTGTGCACATTAGTCCATCAACCACAAGGGTTATGTGGTGATATTCGAAAGTCGAGGGTAACCCGCACATGGCTTAAAAATTAAAAAAATATTTTATTACAAAGTTAAATCTTGAAATTTTAAAATTTTGAAATAATTTTTCCAAATAAAAACTACTTTCATATATATAAAAAAATAAAATAAAAATTTTACTAAAATTTAAATAAAAAATGTAAGAAGGGCAAGCAAATTTGTGATGGAAAGTTGTTCCTTTTTTGATCCACAGCGTGCCTCATCACCTTTTGACCCAAAGCAATCTCAATCATCAGTAAACTATCTTGACAAACAAATTGCGATCATCATTAGTTTAATCGTAAACCCACCCAGGGTTTCTCTTTCTCTATCCGCTGCTCTGCCTCATATCAATTTCTATATATATTTTCTCGCCAACCAAACACGATATCGATTCTCCGTACCCAGTTCACTGTACAGATCTTACCGCATTCTTTAGCCCATCATCCACGCTAATCCTTGGAATTTAAGGGTTTTCCGTATTGAGTCTATTTGTTGCTCTTGATTTTTTTGCTTATTAGTTTGGTTTTGATTATTGTTAGTAGAAGCAGATATTGTAGATATGGATCGATTTGAAGGTGAGGGTAGTAGTATTCAAGAGAGTCCCAATCCTCACGATGTCGAGCAATTCGGTGCTAGTTCAAAAGGTTCGTTCTGATTTTCAGCTTTCTCTTTACTGCTGAGCTTGAATTTTAGCTAGATGTCGTGTTTCTAGATCTGGGTTCGAGTTTGTTTTGTTTTGTTTGTTTACTTTATTCATATGTTTTGTTGATTTTCAATTTTAACTGTTATTTTTGGAAAAGTAGAAGAGAAAATAAGAGAAAAAATGGAAAATTGGACCTGAAGGTTCATTTTTTTAATGTTTTTGTTGGGTTTTGGATTCAGCAAGATTAAAAGGCAACTAAGTTGAAGACCTGAAAACTAAATAACTTTTTGAGGGATGTCATACAAACAAAAAATTTCTACAAATATCATATCATTGAAGTGAGTTTCACTTCCTAAAGTTTCATTATTGCACAGTTAGTAAGAAAAGTTTGTTGGATTTGTTAGTCTGTATAGCATTTTCCTAAATTTTGAATGTTCCTTTATATATCTTCTTTTTTCTATCTTATACTATCTCCTTCTCCTCAATGAACTAGACTAACTTCTAAATATTGGCTGCTTCAATTGCACTGCTTAATACTTTATTCTGAACTCATGAGTTGCTGATAGTCCCTGAAATGTTCATGGCTTATTTTGGCCAATGCAGATTGGTGGTTTGTCACTATTCTCCTAGAGTATATTAATTGTAATACAAGGTTTGGGGTTCTTTGGTCATAGGTTTTGTGTGCTTTCTTTGATTGTCAACTAGATTATTCTCACAATGCATTAATTGTTTGGCATGGATTTCTATTTTTTTTTTGATAAATAAACCAACTTTATTAAAAGGCATCAAGGCGATGCAAAGAATACAAAAACTAAACCAACTATGCACCACGAGGAACTACACAAAACATGAATAAAGCAAACAAAAGAACTATGAAGACAAGTCCTCTATAAATTCAACAAAAGACAAAACAGCCGGGTCCACAGTCAGCGTTAACCAACTATGCACCACGAGGAGCAAACGCCTCTCCAACCAAACCACTGAACGCATCTCTCCCAAAAATACCTACCGATTACGTTCCAAGCTCTCCACCTTCTCTTTCCAACCCTCCCCCCAACCCAACTTTGTAACACAGCCCTTACAGTTCCTGGCTGAACCCAATCCAAACCAAAGAGAGCTACTATAGACATCCAAAGACGTGAAGCAACCAAACAACAAATAAGCAAATGATCCACTGACTCCGCAGCTCCACAACACATGCAACACCAATAGACCAAAATATGCCCACGCCGACTCAAATTATCAATCGTCAGAATACGGCCTAATGCAGTTGTCCACACAAAGATAGTAACTTTAGACGGACTGTCACGACCCGAACCCGCCCCCATGGGTTAAGGACGTAATCGGCCAGTAATCATGAGATTACCTACGGCCTCAAACCAAACCAAATGTATTTTAACAGAGTTAATGGGGGCCAAACGGAAACAATTTAAAACTTTGTGCATAGAGCCGTGCTTATATGCACTTTAAAACAAACCACACATATGTACGTTAATAACTCACAACAGAAACATGGTGACATAGGTTCTGTCTTATATGCACTTTAAAACAAACCACACATATGTACGTTAATAACTCACAACAGAAACATGGTGACATAGGTTCTGTACAGATAGGATCATCCAAAACTAAGTCAACCCATAAAAACTATAAGCAGACATATATAAAACTTCGCCAACCTGACAAAATGTAAATGCATAACAAAAGGGCGAAGACGGGTCTCGTGCGTGAGACACACGGGCTGACTCTCTCAAAACCTTAGTTGTTCCATACAGACTTCACAGAGGCTGGGTCTGGACTTCTCTTGACTCACCTACAAACACATGAATGAGCGTGAGCGAAAGCCCAGTGAATAATATCAAATCAAATACAGAAGTTACATAACAACGTAGAACAACATGTTCCAAACGGCCTTAGGCCCAATTCATATTTGCATTTAACAGATATATAATTATACGAAATTCAAATCAAGTGACTGTAGTTCTAACATTCTGGCCTTTGGCCCATTCAGATTTCCATTCATGTCAAAACGGCCTTCGGCCCATTCATTTATGTCAAAATGGCCTTCGGCCCATTCATTTACGTCAAAACGGCCTTCGGCCCATACATCCGTGTCAAAACGGCCTTCGGCCCACTCATTCATGACAAAACGACCTTAGGTCCATTTATTCCTATCAAAACGACCTTCAGTCCATTTATTCATATCGAAACGACCTTCGGTCCATTCGTTTACGTCAAAACGGCCTCCGGCCCATACATTCGTGTCAAAACGGCCTTCGGCCCGCTCATTCATGTCAAAACGACCTTAGGTCCATTCATATATGTCAAAACGACCTTAAGTCCCTTTATATATGTCAAAACGACCTTCGGTCCACTCATTCCTATCAAAACGACCTTCGGTCCGTTCATATATGTCAAAACGACCTTCGGTCCATTCATATAGGTCCAAACGACCTTCGGTCCGTTCCTTTGTTATCAAAACGACCTTCGGTCCATTTATGTTTATCAAAACGACTTTTGGTCCATTTATGTTTATCGAAACGACCTTTGGTCCATTTATGTTTATTCCTGTCAGACTTTTGTCCACAATCCCAATTAGCAACTTTTAAAGCTTAAAAGGGAATAATAATTGGACATTCACAACCATTCAAATATCGATATTACTCACAGTGATCGGCTGGTGGATTTGCCCTGGAGCTTGACCCTACATATTTCATGAACACAAAAGGGTCACTAACAATTCAATCCGTTCTCTAATTCACAAATTCCTCTTTAGGCTTTATTCTTAACTCATTAACTCATTTACAATGCTCAATGCATGCCTAAGAGTGCTTACAAGTGAAAGAGAACGAAAAAATATAACACAGAATGCATTTTCAAAGTTTCAGAAAACAGGGTCCCCGCTCGAGCGGACCCTTAAGCTTGCAAAAGTGCTGGTTACATCAAAAATACGCTCAAGCGTGAAATAGGACGCTCGAGCGGAAGGCCTGTCAAAATAGCTCCCCCGCTCAAGCGTGAATTGCCCCGCTCGAGCGGACATCAAGTCTGCAAAAAGTACTGGGAGCACGCATTTCTCGCTCGAGCGGCAGGTTCCCCGCTCGAGCGGACCTCAAAATTCTGGAAAACCCAGAACTGTGTTCTTGAGCTCCAATTCGATTTTCAACCAACAAAACATGCATGTTATGGCTCAAATCTCAAATATAGTTATGCGAACATGCCATAAACACCAAAACACATTACAATGGAGCCCAATTCACAATTAATTCACATGCATGCCCCAATTTCCCATCAACTCATTCTAATATAAACCAAAATCATACATTCAAAGCTCATCTCTTAATTATTCAAACATGCATGCTAATCTTGATTTCATTTCCACTTCTAATGATGCAATTAGTGCTCATTCCCGTGAAACTCAACAAAAACATGCTTGCATGTGGGATTACACTTTTAATCTTTCATAATTTACAATTCACATGCTAGATTTTGTGATTTCATAGGTGTTCTTTACATGCATGCACATATCAACCCTCAATTTCAACAAAACTAACTCAATCATGCTCTTGATTACAAACAAACCTTGAACACACAAGATTACAAATTCAAACGTTTGAATTCAAGGTCAATTACTTACCTAGAGGCTCAATTCTTCCAATATATGGCAATTTCTTGAGTGTGGCTTCAAATGACTCAAGCTTTAGGATCAAAACCCCAATTTTCTTCACCCTCTCTCTCTTAGCCGACCCTCTCCTCCCTCTTGAGTTCAAAATCAGCCAAAGTGTAAAAAGGAGAGGAAATGAGGTGTAATGGCCCTTATATAAAGCCCCACTAATTCCAATATAATAATAATAAAGTAATTGGGCACTAATTCAATAATTGAATCGATTTAATCTGATCCGAATCAATTTCTAATTAAATTCCACCGTAGGCTCTAAAAATTACGCTAATCACAAGAACTATGAAGACAAGTCTTCTACAAATTCAACAAAAGACAAAACAGCCGGGTCCACAGTCAGCGTTAACCAACTATGCACCACGAGGAGCAAACGCCTCTCCAACCAAACCACCGAACGCATCTCCCTCAAAAATACCTGCCGATTACGTTCCAACCACAGTAGCCACATAAGACAATGGCCAGCCAAGTTCCAAGCTCTCCACCTTCTCTTCCCAACCCTCCCCCCAACCCAACTTTGTAACACAGCCCTTACAGTCCCTGGCTGAACCCAATCCAAACCAAAGAGAGCTACTATAGACATCCAAAGACGTGAAGTAACCGGACAACAAATAAGCAAATGATCCACTGACTCCGCAGCTCCACAACACATGCAACACCAATAGACCAAAATATGCCCACGCCGACTCAAATTATCAATCGTTAGAATACGGCCTAATGCAGTTGTCCACACAAAGATAGTAACTTTAGACGGACAATCCACCACCCAATGTTCACTTAGATTCCAAAATTTGGGTTATTAGATAATTAACCTTAAGACTCTTGATTTCATGAGCTTTATGTTCGAATTGTAACTGATTTCAGTGCATTATGTATTCATATTGTCAACTTTAATTTTATGGCATTGTTTGCCTTCATATGCCTGCATGATTTCCCACTATTGCTTTAAAGCATGGCTTGTTCTTTCCGATGAATGTGTTTTGTTTTCTAATTTTTTCATTTGAAATGCAGAAGATACATTGTTTGATGCATCACAATATGCATTTTTCGGTAACCAAGTTGGTGAAGAAGTTGAGTTGGGGGGACTAGAAGACGAGGAAGATGATTTTCCTCCAGTTGGGTACGATGAGGAAGAGTTTCTGTTGGATCGAGAAGAGGTTACTTTCTTCTTTTTGGTTTTGGTCTTTAACTGATTCTATGCATGTGTAATATTGTCTAGTATCCATATCTTTAAATTTTGGAAGGCTTTTGGGAGTTTTCACCAAGTGTCTGCCGTTTCATCTAGAAAATTCTTCAAACTTACATTTTTGTTATAATAGTTTAGAGTGTTGTAAAATTTTGTTGTTCTTTGGGTTCAATTGTCATTTGATATTTGTTATGTGTATCTTGCTAATGTTGTCTACTATCAATTTGTTCAGCTAACTGTGTTTCCCCCCTCTTTGTAGGGTGAAGTTTTAGGTTCTCCATCTGAAACTGATGATCTTGCTAGCACGTTTTCAAAGGTTGGTTTCCATGAATGTTTGAATTATTTGCATGAATGTCATGTTTGAATTCGTTTTTAGGAAATGCGGTTGTAATTTTGGCTTATCTTTGGTTTTGGGTTGTGTTATCAGTTGGTTTATTTGAATTTAAATACTTTTAATTTGCTTGTTGATTAGGATAATATTTGTATTGCCAAAGCTTTGATTAGATATTGAGCTAATTTTGGAAGTTATTTATTTCGTTTAAGTGAGAAAAGAGTAAGCCATGTCCTTCCCCTCCTTTTCTTGTGCTTTGTTCTTTATCTTCTTTTCCTTTACATAGTTTAGGAAATGCAGTTCTGAAGCTGGTAACTTGTCCAAAACAGAGTCTTTGAGAGCTAAATTTGGTATTTTCTGAGATCTGCCAACCACTTCTGAATATTGGTGATTGACCCCAAACTTACTTCTTTAAAGACTACAGAGGGAAAAAAACCATAGAAAAGTCCAAAATTATTTGATTCCACTAAATGGGTCCTCATCAAGGTTTTAAAAAGCGGCCGCAACCGTTACGTAACGCCGTTACGTAACGGTTTTGGTGGTTACCGCCACCCGTTACGGCCGCTTTTGCAGTGTGATTGAGATTCACATGTGTGTCGGCCGTAGCGGCTGTTGTAGTGGCTGTAATGGTGCCGTAACGGCCTGTTACGCACCGTTACGTAACGGTTCCGAACTGTTTCTTTCGAAAAAACACATAAAAAAAAGCTGAGAATGGGGGAATAGGGATAGAGAGAAGAGAAAAGATAAAGAAAGAAAATGTAGGAGCAAGAGATAGAGAGAGAGAAGAGGGAAGATGAAGAACATGTTATTGATTTGTTGAAGCTGTAAAACCTATGCTATTCTATTCAACTGCTATCACTTAACCATTTTGTTTGTGTGTCTCTATCTATATATTGTTTGAAAATAACAATAATAATAATAAGTGTGGTCATTATCTATTTGGCTTGGTTAAAATATGTATATATATGTATATATTTAGGCTCTTATTTATTCTCTTACTTTTGTCATTATTTATCTTATATATAATAGTTAGTGATTGATTTTTTGTATAATATAAAGTCATTAATGATTAAAATAAAATGTAAAAAAACTCAGTTTATAGTAATTAAAAATATGAAATATGTTGGATTATACTTAAAAATTTACAAAATTGATAAATATTTATTTTAAACCCAATAAATATGATCATGGAAAAAAAATATACGTATCGGTAAATTTTTTTCAAATTGTGCGAAAAATAAAAAAATTCACAGTTCCGGTTACCGCAACCGTTACGTTACGGCCTTTACACCCCGCAACCGCAACCGCGCCACCGCCATCGTTACGGTGACCGCAACTGCTTTTCAGAACCTTGGTCCTCATTAAAAAATAGAAAAGAAATACAGTGGTGCTCAACACATGTATATATTGTCTGTCTTCTGTGGTGGGATGGTGCTGATGATATCTTTTCTCCACTGCTAAGTATGATTCTTGATAGTTGTTTACTGTATAATTGTTTTCATGCTCCTTGATTTTTTTTCCTTTTGTTTCTTTTCACAGCTAAACAAGGTTGTTAGTGGACCAAGAAGTGCAGGAGTCATTGGTGATAAGGGATCCAGAGAAAGTGAGTAAAACTATCACAGATTTAAGCATGTCATGAGACAATTATTATTATTAGTTCACTTATCAAAAAGAAAACTTATTGTTACTATGTCAATTCTTAGAGAATGTATGCATTAAAGGGTTGTTGGGCCTTCATCCCAACCTTTTTATTACCTTTGTTGTCATAAGCCTCGTGATAAATGTAGAATGCTAGGTTAAGATTTTAGCCACATGTAGGAAAATTGGCAATGGTGTCACTATACTAGGCACTTGTCATGACTTGCATAGACTTTGATAGGGATCTGCGAGGCACAAAAATCTGCCCAATTTTTTATTTATTTTTTTAAATTGTGGGATTTCATTATGAAGCTTTGATTTGATTAAATAAATTGTTTAATCAAAAGCAGGATGTATTTATATAATCAATCTTTAGTTGCTTTTGTTTTAACTGCAAAATATTCCTTGTAGGTTCATCTGCTGCTGAATGGGCACAAGAGGCAGATCTTCCCAACTGGTTAGATCAACAAATATTTGAGGCAGATATCACTCAGGAAGATAAAAGATGGTCATCACAGCCACATTCTTCTTCTGCTCGTATTCCGGAATCAAAACCTTTGTACAGAGCGGCTTCATACCCCATGCAGCAACACCAGCACCAACACCAACATTTTTCCAGCGAACCAATTCTTGTACCAAAATCTTCATTTACTTCATATCCTCTTCCCAGTGGTGGATCTCTGCAAGCCTCATCAACCTACCGTTCACACCATTCTAACATGCCATATCATCCTAGTGGCCACCAGAGGCCATTGTCTACATCCAATCTCTCCCCCTTCTCTAACCCTCAGTTCCAGTTGCCAGATGGGTCACAATTTGGTGACAATATGCCTCAGTATTCTCCTCGTCTTTCTGCTAATGGCCGACCACAGAACCAATGGGTCAACCCAACAAACGTATTTCCTGGAGATCGTTCCAGTCTCGTGAGTAATTTGTTGCAACAGCAATTGCCTCATCAAAATGGTTTAATGTCCCAGCAGTTAATGCCACAACGGCAATCACAACAACATAGACTGCATCATCATCCATTTCAGCCATCATACGGTCAAATGTCAGCACTGCAGTCCCAACTATTTAATCCCCATCTTTCTCCATCTCCACCAATAATGAACAAGCTCGAAGCAGTTCTCGGGTTCTCTGATTTGAGAGATCAAAGACCTAAATCAATTCCAAAAGGTAGACAGAGCTTGCGTTATTCTCAACAGGGCTTTGATAGTGGGTGGCCACAATTCAGATCGAAGTATATGTCATCTGATGAAATTGAGAATATTCTCAGAATGCAGCTTGCGGCAACACATAGTAACGATCCATATGTAGATGATTATTACCACCAAGCTTGTCTATCAAAAAAATCTACTGCTACAAAGTTGAGACATCACTTCTGCCCTACTCACCTGAGGGATCTTTCTTCCCGAGCTCGTGCTAATACCGAACCACATGCTTATCTCCAGGTCGATGCTCTAGGGAGGGTTGCATTTCCTTCTATTCGTAGGCCACGACCACTTCTCGAGGTCGACCCTCCAAATTCATCCAATGCTGGCACCACTGAACAAAAAGCATCTGAGAAACCATTGGAACAGGAGCCTATGCTTGCAGCTAGAGTAACTATTGAGGATGGCCTTTGTCTTCTTCTTGATGTGGATGATATTGACCGATTTCTGCAATTCAATCAGTTCCAAGATGGTGGAAATCAGCTGAAAAGGAGGAGGCAGGTCCTGCTAGAAGGGCTGGCGGCTTCGCTTCACCTGGTTGACCCACTTGGCAAAAATGGCCACACTGTTGATTTAGCTCCCGAGGATGACCTTGTATTCTTGCGGTTAGTCTCTCTTCCCAAGGGCCGGAAGTTACTCTCAAGGTACCTTCAACTGCTCAATCCCAGTGGTGAGCTAATCCGAGTAGTCTGCATGGCCATTTCCCGTCATTTGAGGTTCTTATTTGGCGGCCTCCCGACCGATCCAGGAGCATCTGAAGCAACCATCAATCTTTCAAGGATTGTTTCATCTTGTGTTTGTGGCATGGATCTTAAAGCACTAGGTTCTTGTCTTGCATCTGTGGTTTGTTCCTCGGAGCATCCTCCACTCCGCCCCATTGGAAGCTCTGCTGGAGATGGGGCTTCTGTTATCCTTAAATCCATTCTTGATAGGGCAACTGAACTCCTAACCGATCCTCATGCTGCTGGGAACTGTAGCGTGCCTAATCGGGCCTTTTGGCAAGCCTCTTTTGATGCATTTTTTGGCCTTTTGACCAAGTATTGTTTTACTAAGTACGATACTATTATGCAGTCGTTACTCATGCAGGCCTCCCCTGACATGGCTGTTATTGGGGCAGATGCAGCAAGAGCTATCAGTAAGGAGATGCCGGTTGAGCTCTTACGTGCAAGTCTTCCTCATACCGATGAGCACCAGAGGAAGCTCCTATTGGATTTTGCACAACGCTCCATGCCTGTGTTGGGCTTTAACGGTCATGGGGGAGGGAATGGTGGCACATGAGTTTTGAGTGATGCTTTGTCGGTTCAAGCCACGGAGAAACTGATTCATGAAGAATTTGGATAGGACATGTGATGGCTGGTGATATTGTGGAGTACCGATCCACACCTGTTTTCATTGGAATAAGTTTGTGCACGACAAGGAATTAAAGTACGAGGAATGACACTACAAACAATAGCAGTCGGGTTTAGTTTTTTTACATTTACGCGTTTAGTTGGTGTTACAGTCATGCCTGCTGCTTTGGAAGATTTTGAAAGTATTCTATGTATTGTGATGCCTGTTTCTTTATATCCTTTGAGCTTGTTTTAATTGCTCTGTTGTGGAATTCAACATTAGTGGTGAGGAAGTAGGGGTTAGAATGTACAGGATCCATTTGGAGGGTTTCCTTGTTAGTGTTTGGGAGGTAGGAAAAAAAAAGAAGAAAAAAACATATTTTGTTTTTCCATCTGTTGGATAGGTTATGTTATATTGTTGTTCTGGTGGTGGAATAGAGTCTGGATTGTGCAAAATGTTCATAATTAGTAGTTTTGTTTTGTCAAATTTGGTTGATCACTACCACAAAATGATGTTATTAGTGTTATAATTGTTTTTGTTGTCCCATGTTTTGTGTCAAATTTTGTCATCAGTGGCCTAAATTTGTTACCACTGCAACTGTTAGTGTGGTTTGGCTTTTTGCTCAATGCATGGGTTATGGCTGTGTTATTCCTTTTAAAATCCTTTCAATTGATGAAAGTCTCTCTTAAAATTTGTTACCTAAGACCATCTCCAACCGTGTACTTCTTTTTTCATCAAATTTAAGTAAAAATTAGGTTATTTTTTCAATTTGATACTTCTTCCAATGGTGAGTATCAAAGTAGAATTGAGGAAGTGGTCGACCGGTTGGTCTACCGGTAAAGATAATTTTTTATTTTTATTTTTTTTTAACTTGTTTGAACTTTTTTTGACCAGATTGAACTTATCTATTTGAAAGGAAACCGATCAACCGGCTGGTCAATCGGCGGGGCAACCGGCTGGTTGATCGGTTTACCTCCTCCAACGGTCACGCACAGTTATTTGATCAAATCTGTAACTTGTTCTCAGTTTGACGATTTTTTTGTTGAATTCTCATTTTGATACCAATTTGGCGAAACCGTTAGAGCACAAAAAAATAACTTGTTTACCAAAATTTAAATATGATGCCAAGTGTGGTTCATCTTTGGAGATGGTCTAAATGTGTGATAATTTTAAATATAAAAATCAAATAAATAATAAAAGATCAACTTGCTCTGAAAATTATGAAATTAATTTTGGAGGTTCTAACTATATTTTAACATGCGTATAAAATAATTTTTGTACACTAAAATTTAAACAACAATGATTCATCCCCCCTTTTCCTCCCACCCCCTTTGACCCCCTCTCTCTCTCATTGGTTACATTTTCTTTTTCTTTTTCTTTTTTTTCCTGCTCCTCCAATCACCACCCGCCACGTAGCAAAGGGGGTGAGGGGGTGACCCCCAAAAGGGGGTCCCAAACATTATTCAAATTTAAAATATTTTTACTAACTTTCAACACAATGTCGCTATTATTATTATAATATTATTATCACAATAGTTACAACCAATTTTTTTCAGAATTTTTTTTTTTGTGCACTGCTAGGTTCATCAACATCAACAAAAAAATAATAATAATTTGTTGATCAACATCAACAAATTTTTTTATGAACAATTTTTTTTTTTGTTCATCAACATCAACAAGATCTGGGTCAACATCAAAAAAAAAAATTGTTGATCAACATCAACAAAAAATTTCCTTTCATCCTCAAATCCAGATCTACTGGAAAGGGGACCGCCATCATCGATCGATCACCGCCATCATCGACCGCCATCACCGAGAGAGAGACCACCATCACTGCTGTAACAACCCTCATACTGTTTACTGATTAATGACTGATTGATTACCGATAATCACCGATTACTGTTAAACGGAACTGATAATGACTGATAACTGAGGAAACCGGTCAACCAGTTGGTCAATCGGCGGGGCAACCGGCTGGTTGATCGGTTTACCTCCTCCAACGGTCACGCACAATAATTTGGTCAAATCTGTAACTTGTTCTTAGTTTGATGATTTTTTTGTTGAATTCTCATTTTGATACCAATTTGGTGAAACCGTTAGAGCACAAAAAAATAACTTGTTTACCAAAATTTAAATATGATGCCAAGTGTGGTTCACCGTTGGAGATGGTCTAAATGTGTGATAATTTTAAATATAAAAATCAAATAAATAATAAAAAATCAACTTGCTCTGAAAATTATGAAATTAATTTTGGAGATTCTAACTATATTTTAACATGCGTATAAAATAATTTTTGTACACTAAAATTTAAAATGTTTTTACTAACTTTCAACACAATGTCGCTATTATTATTATAATATTATTATCACAATAGTTACAACCAATTTTTTTCAGAATTTTTTTTTTTGTGCACTGCTAGGTTCATCAACATCAACAAAAAAATAATAATAATTTGTTGATCAACATCAACAAATTTTTTTATGAACAATTTTTTTTTTTGTTCATCAACATCAACAAGATCTGGGTCAACATCAAAAAAAAAAATTGTTGATCAACATCAACAAAAAATTTCCTTTCATCCTCAAATCCAGATCTACTGGAAAGGGGACTGCCATCACTGACCGATCATCGACATCACCGACCGCCATCACCGACCGCCATCAATGCAGATCTTCCTTCTCCTCTTCTCTCTTCCTCTTCTCTTCTCTCCTCTCTCTCTCTCTCTCTCCGCGATTTGGGTCTCCTTCTTCTCTACTCTGTTTATCTTTTTTCTTTTTCTTTTTTATTTGAAATGAAACGTAAAACTTGAGATGAATAACAAAACAAAAAGGGTGTACAAAGATAGATATGTGGGTGGGTATAAAAGTCGGGCCAAATTCCAGCCTCACATTTCGAGCTACCAATCTTAATTGTACAATTTTTCTTGGTAAGAAATTTTCAATTAGATTGATTAAATAAAAATAAAAAATAAAAAATTCATTATTTTAAATAGATTAAAAAAAATTGTGAAATTGAAATTTGGAAAGCCCTACAAGTTTGGTGATTTTGGAGTAATATTTCATACCATTTATCATATAATTTTTGGATTATGAATTTGAGAAGTAAACAAGTGGCTGAAGTATAGCTGTATATCATTCAGATTTCATATATTTTTTTATTTTTTTTTTAAATTTTTATTTAAATTCATAATTCAAATACAGATTAACCAATTGTAAATCTTAAGCAGCACCTCGACTTTATCCAATAATTTCCTGAGAGAGTGAGGGAGAGGCTGAGAGAATCACAGGTGACCACGCGCCTACGTCGCGCGTGAGTTCATAAATCCACTTAAACATTCGGATAACGAGGGATGGAGTCATGGACTTCACAAATTAAAACCAAATAAATAAATAAATAAATAAGATTTTTTTTTTGGGAAGTAAAACCTAAAAAAATAATAAGGTAATAAGGAAGAGAGGCAAACAAAATTGATGTTGTCCATATCTCTTTGCTTGAGAAGAACCAAGAATTGAAAACAACACCACCCAGTGTAAGAATCGATTATTCCCACATCTCTCTTTCCTTTCCACTTACTCCTTTCTTATCCTTCTTCTTTTAATTCCTTTTGGTTCAACTTCTTTTTTCATGTTCAACTTTCAGTGTATTGTTTCTTCTATCTACCATTATATCTCTCTCTTAGTTCACATCTACTTCTTATTCAATCATTTAGCAGCAAATACATACCCAAGATCTTGATTTTTCGTTTCTTTTCTTTTTTTTTCTTTCATGCCAAACAAAGTAGTTCAATACGCTTATAGTAGTACTATCAAGTAAAACATTTCTTCAAGAACATTCCACCATTAAATTTCTTCAAATTCATGGCAGCCCTGCTAAATTCAGTGTCCCCTATAACAAACCCATCTTCAGAAAATCCAAGAAAATCTTGTGGGTTCTTCTCCCAGATCCCAAACATCCATTCATTTTCACTCAACAAAGGTTTCTCTAAAGTTTTAGCCTCTACCCAGATGACCATATCTCCAAAGGACACTGCATTCACTCTCCCCAATTGGAGGTCTTCCAAGAATGACCCAAGAACCAAAGATCTTAGACTCAGTGATGCTTTTCTCTATTTGGAATACATGGTTGGGAAGGGTCACAAGCCTGATGTGGCTCATGCCACTCAGCTCTTGTATGACCTTTGCAAATCGAGCAAACTCCGAAAGGCGACTAGGGTTATGGAAATGATGGTGAGTTCAGGAGCTCACCCGGATCCGTCTACTTACACTTTCTTGGTGGATCATTTGTGTAAGAGAGGGAATGTTGGGCACGCAATGCAATTAGTCGAAAAAATGGAAGAACATGGGTTTCCAACCAATACTGTTACTTACAATTCTCTAATTAAAGGACTTTGTATGCAAGGAAACTTGAATCAAAGTTTGCAATTTTTGAAAAGGTTGATGCACAAAGGGCTTGTTCCAAATGCGTTCACTTTTTCATTCTTGCTAGAGGCTGCTTATAAGGAGAGAGGGGTCAACGAAGCGATGAAACTCTTGGATGAGATCATTGATAAGGGTGGGAAGCCTAATTTGGTTAGCTACAATGTTTTGTTAACTGGGTTGTGTAAGGAAGGCAGAATTGAGGAAGCAATGAGGTTTTTTAGGGATTTACCATCCAAGGGTTTTATTCCCAATGTAGTGAGCCATAATATTTTGTTGAGGAGCTTGTGCTACGAGGGGCGGTGGGAAGAGGCCAATGGGATTCTTGAAGAGATGGTAGGCGAAGATCGTTCACCATCGGTGGTAACCTACAATATACTAATTGGTTCACTTGCTTATCATGGTCGGACTGATCATGCCCTTGAGGTGTTAGATGAAATGTTTAAGGGACCATTCAAACCCACTGCTGCAACCTACAACCCAATCATTGCTCGTTTATGCAAAGAAGGGAAAGCGGATGATGTAGTCAAGTGTCTTGACCAAATGATTTACTGTCATTGCTATCCCAATGATGGAACGTATAACGCCATTGCTGTGCTTTGTGAGGAAGGGAAGGTGCGAGAGGCTTTCTCAATAATTCAAAGCTTGGGAAACAAGCAGAACTCCTCGATTCATGACTTTTACAGAGGCGTGATCTCGAGCTTGTGTAAGAAAAGAAACACATATCCTGCGTTTCTGCTTCTATATGAAATGACAATGTGTGGATTTACTCCTGATTCGTTTACCTATTCCTCTTTGATAAGAGGATTGTGCATGGAAGGAATGCTAGATGAGGCCATGGAAATTTTCAAGATCATCCAAGAAAACGGGTGCAGGCCTGATATTGACAATTTTAATGCACTTATCCTTGGGTTATGCAAATCACGAAGAACTGATTTGTCATTCGAGATTTTTGAGAAGATGATTGAGAAGGGGCACATGCCTAATGAGACAACTTATTCCATTATAGTGGAAGGTATTGTGCATGAAGATGAGAAGGAGCTCGCAGCGGTTGTTTTGAAAGAGTTGCATTCGTGGCAAGTCATGAGTCGGAATACAGTAGAGAGACTAGTCATGCAATATGACCTTGAGGGGTTACCAGTATAGACCGTTTAAAGAAATCTGAAAGAAAATTTGAATAGAGAGAGGGGAGCAAACAAGGCCCAGGATTTGTGATCAACACAAACCAGATGAAGAGGAGAGCTTGGTTCAACTATGGGTATAAAACTGTACAAAGGAAATGAAAGCCAATATAGAAATTGACATTGTATTCAAAAACATTTTGAAGGTGGCATAGGAACAAGTTCAATATTGATGATTATAGCTTTCCAATCCTGATCTTTGTTGAAGTCTGTTAACTAATATAAATAACTTGCATCTTTCTTCTTCTTTCATACTTTTATATCATGTTTTTGTATATTTAATTGAACAGGTTCTCTCTTTGCAAATTGATATTGTTTGTGTTTCATGCTCTTCTCCAAAATAATTAGGGTCTGTTTTTTGACCTACTTCTATGGTTATCGTGAGGTACACATAGGCGGTGTTTGGGAATGAAGTTTTTTGGTTTTCTTTCACTAAAAGACAAATTGGTTACAAAACCAAAAAGAAATAAATCCAAACAAAATATCCCATCAAACTCCATAATTATTTCACTTTTTTTCTTACAAATATCACATCCAACCACAAAAAAACCTAACTATCTTCCCAAATACAAAAAAAAAAATTCTCTAATAATATCCTACAATTAAAAAAATTTACAAAAAAAAACTCACTTTCCAAACACCCACATAGAAATTGTTATTGGTTTTATTCTTAATACACATGCATGAACTTCTACTAGAAATTTGAAAAGCAAGTCTAAAAGTTAGATTACTGCAGAAAGCCTGTTGGTACTATCTTCCTTTGATGGAAAATTAGTATGACCCCAATTGAGGTGCTTAAGAGTCAACTGGGTCACATACATGGTTTACTTTCCGAGATTTTCCATATATGTCTTTTCACATGCCCATGCTTCAGAAGTAGTTGTGTCCATGATTCAAGGAGTACGAGTTAAATCCAAAACTGGGTTCTGAGAGCGATTTTCTAGGAGACTTGTAGATCTTAGATTTCCAAAGATGAGTTTTTCAAGAAAAGACCATACTCTTGGTGGAGTTCACAGCATTGAGGTGGCTATTGGGGAAAAGGAATTATAAAAATGTCAACATGCAATTTCTGTTTTAAAATTCAGTTTGTTTATCAAACCATTCAGTGAGAAGAACAGCAAGGTCCATAAAATCCATGCTGAGATCCATGCAATTAAGCCATTTTCCAATAGGACCATAAACCAAACAATTTGCTGCTCAATCATGGCTACTAGAGTTGCTAAAGGAAAACAGCACATAAACTATAATTTACTACCCATCAAGCTTTGGGACCAAGGCCCCAAAATTCAATTCAAGCCCTGACATGCTGTCTCTAATGCTGACAGTGATTCAGGCCTCATTTGGCAAATGTCCCTTTTAGCTAAAAAGTCAAAAATTATTTAAAAAATCAAAAAATCAATAACTCATACTAAAAAATTAAAGATTTTATTTTTTCTCTAATTTTTCGTAGAAAGCCAAAAAAATATCCCAAATATACTATTTTTTTTACATCACATTTTAGTCAAAAAGTCAAAAAAATCATCCAAACATACTAATTTTTTTCACATCACATTTTAACCAAAAAATTACTAAAAAAATCTATTCCCAAACGAGGCCTCAGTAGGAAACTGGGGAAGTAAGAAAGATAATAATCAGCACCTTCAATGTACTTAGCACATTGGTTTATTGCCTTCGGTACTCCACAGATCTGGGCCTTTTTCAGCACTAACAAACCAATCGATATCAAGAAACATCTGCATAAGCCATTTGACCAAGGCAATGCCACACTTGAACAAAAGCATGTTTAAAAAAGTTACCACTCACATTAACCACCACAAGGACCATAACAATCCACTTGATTTAAGGTAGGTAATATTTCTAACAAAAAGTTTCCATAAGTCATTCAGTTGCAGATAAGAGATATCAAAACAAAACAGAAGTAAACTCAAAAACAAATTAACCCTAAACTTCTTAAAGGTGCCACAAATCCTGAAACTAGAAGTAAGAACTGAAATAGACAATGCAAGCTCCCCCTTCAAAATCCTCTCCAACTCCCACGAGCAAGCGATGAAGAAGATGAAAGCATATCAGGAGAAGCCGTCTTCTTGTCGAAATGCATTGTCTACTTGGATCTTTGTCTCATCTTTCGGCGCTTCCTCTTCAACCTCCTCATGCGCTTCTTCTTCCACTAGAAGGAGCAAGTGAACAAATTGTTAAGCTTCCAATAAATGCAACTAGAATAGAAGGGTATAGAAAATGTAATTGCACAAAACCGGCTCCATGGACAGAGTATTTAATCAGTCCACAGATTCCTATCGAAATGTGAAACAAAAATATTGGGTATGTTTGGTTTGTGTTTGAGAGATGTGTTTTAGAGATAAAAAGTACGAAAAGTTGTTTGGTTTGGTTTTTTTCAAAAGATGTTTTGAAAAATTATTTTGAGAGAGAGTTTTGGAAAAAGTGATTGATTTGATGTGTGTGAGAGAGAGATTTGTTTGGAAAACTTGTTTGGTTTACAAGTTTTGAGAAATTTTTTTGAGAAAATTTGTTTGGTTTGATTACTTTTAAAAACTTATTTGTAGAGAAAATTTCCCAAAATTTTTTCCGAAATGCAAACCAAACGAACCCATTGATTTTGGTCCAATCATAGCATTGCCGGTCAATGCTTTCGGTGGCTACCGGCAACGTGGCATCGGACCTCCAATTCAAACAATATATAAAGGTGGTGTTTGGGAAGCAAGTTCCCAAATTTTTTTCTCATTTTTTTCACTAAAAGACAAAAGTTTTGCAAAACCAAAAAAAACACATCCAAACAAAATATCACATCCAACCCCATAATCATTTCACTTTTTCTCTCACAAACATCACATCCAACCACATAAAAACCCAACTATCTTCCCAAACACCAAAAATTTTTTATCTCATAAAAACCTACATCTCCTAAAATTTACATAAAAACTCACTTCCCAAACACCATCAAAGACATGTATAGTTCAAACCTCAGAAACCCGTTTCAAATCGCTCACACAATGGAGCAACGGAGCCACAAAATCCCTAACAATGAACTCTAAGATTGCAGGGAATCAGAGGAACGAGGATTGGTGGGTACAAAATTGGCAAGTACATAGAGAGGCCTCACACTAACACTACCATTTACAAAAAATACTTTAGACAACCTTATATTATTGTTGTTATGTTGATCTTTGCTATTTCAATTCAAATGGCTTTACTATAAACACATTGTCACTATGGAGACTACAAAAGAATACAAAGTTACACATCAATTTAATAATTGCATTCATTTTCTCTATACAATCTATTCAGAAACACAAAAATAATGTGATGATTGTGATTATGATTATGATTTTTATAAATACCTAGATAACCATCAAACCAATTTTCTATTCATTACCTAACACAGCAGCTAGAGCTTTTTTACAATCAAAAGATGCCAATGGACTAAAAGATTGAGCCGTGACATAATCAATACAGTATTTCATCCATTTAGCTAAAATTGAATCAGAAACATCATCCAAATACAGAAGCTAAATATACCCCACACACAAAAAAAAGAAAAAAAAAAAAAGAAATTCAAACCAGCGCAATACCACAAACCCAGCAGTTTTCTTCGTAATATAAGAATCTCAGAGCATAAAATACATATTACATCAAGCAATAAAGAATAACAAATACTAATAAACAAGCAAGCGTTGATTCCAAGTTTCTTTTCTTTTCTTTTTCTTGAATTTCTCAGCAACCAAACAATGATAAAGCGAAAATGAACCATAGAATCAATGAAAGAACAATAACCTTAGCCCTCATCGCGACTCAGAGCCTTGTTTGATTCCTCTGTTCTCAGAACTCTCCAGATGAAACCAGCAAGTGCGAGGACGAAAAGAAAGGCTCTTGTTTGGTATATATAGTACTAGGGTTTCCATAGTTTATGCCCTAATCAAAGTGGGCCTTGGATCCGAGTTTAGCCTGTGAAATTTGATGGGCCGGCCAAGTAATCAATTTTTTTTTTTTATATACGAAAACAAAAAACAAAAAATATTAAGGCATAAAAAAACAAAAAAATTATTTTGTGTAAGTAATATTCTTGAAAATTATTTTAAAATGCATATTGAAATGTTAAGGCTATTTCTTGTCACAATTTATATTTTTCAGCAATTCTTCTATTAAAGAAATCAAACACAAACTTTATATAACTTTTTTCCCTTAGAAGCCGGGCCTTACATATAGTTCCCAAAAGATTTTTTTTTTTTGTGTGTGTATCATTTATATATATAAAAAATATATATTAATTGTAAAATTATTCAACTATCTACTAGACGTCATATATTTTAGATTGTTTTCGAATCAATATACATGATTTCTTAATCGTCCATAAGTTGCATTTGCATTAAGGTCAAATTTGACATATTACAAAAAAGTTAAAAAGTTAAAAAGTTATCACTATTCATCAAAATCAAAAGTCAAAAATTACGGCTGCACAACTCTTAATCCTAATTTTTCTCTATACACTAATTTATACAATTTTTTAATATACATTTTTTCATAAAAAATCAAAAAATTAACCCAAATATCTGTATTTTTTTTTTTCAATTTTTTAGTTTAAAAAGATAAAAAGTACACTTATTTACGACACCCCAAACAACCCCCGAGCACAAATGACAATTGCATCAAATATGTTTTGCAATAGTAAAGGAAAAAGGGATGTGGAATCGTGATAGGAGAAGTAATAAATGCTTTTTGTTAGTTGTAATGACTAGGATTTTGATCGACTAAATTGTTGTGTAGAATAACAAATGATTGGCTATAACAAAGATAAAAATGAGATTGAGATTGACAAAAAGTGTGCAAAAATAATAAAGTTAGCCATAAAAGGTAGATGATAGTAGAAAAATGTCTGAGCATAAGACTCAAAATCTCTTGTTAAAGAGCGTGAAGGTTCAAGAAGATATAATATTGAGAATTTATAAAAAGAGCAGTCCCGTTATAGAGCCCGAATTATTCATGTTCGAATTGGCTCAAAAGCCAAAATGACGCCGTTTTGGATTTTAAATTTTTTTTTTTCTTTCACGCTGCAAGAAGAAAAAGAAGAACAAGAGAAGAAGAAAAAGAGCAGAACCAGAAGAAGAAGAAGAAGAAAAGCAGAACCAGAAGAAGAAGAGGAAGAAACCTAGCAGCAAAATCAAAATTTGAAACCCAAAATAAAAACAAACCCAGCAACACCACAGAGAAAGAGATCAAACCAAAATCCAAAATCAAACCCAAATCTAGATGATCAATCCACTGATTTCAGACGATCACCCTCTTTTTTCCTTTTTTCTTTTTCTCTCTTTGAAGATGAACACAGAGAGGGGAAAGTCGAGACATCAGCAACACATTTTTTTTTTCGAATCTGAAAATAAAAAATTTCAACTACAACATCATATATTCATCAACAACAGCAATCACAAAAAAAATAAATAAATAAAATAAAATTGTCGAATCTACAAATCTGTTCATCAACAAATCATCAATCCAAATCCACTAGAAAAGAAAGAAAAAAAAAAAATAGAGAGTAGAGGCGAGAGACCCACTGTCTGCTGTGTGTGTATACACAGATCTGTGTATACACACAGATCTTTCATATCTTCATCCTCCTCCCTCTTCTTTTCTTCATCAATCTTCCTACACAGATCTCCTTCTTTCTCTCTCTCTGCATTCGAATGCAAGAAAAAGAAGAAGAAAAAAAAAAAAAAAAGAAACCCAAAACAACGTCGTTTTGCGTTTCAAGCAAATTCGAGCCAACCGATTTCGGGCTCTCAAACATTTCTCTAAAAAGAGCTAGGAGAGACACGGTGGCCTTGTTTGGTTTGGCTTTAGAAAAAAGATTTTGGAGAAAATTTTTGAAAATTTTGTTTGGTTTGTAATTTTTTTAAAAAAAAAATTCAAAATCACTTTCTCTCTCCTGTACATCAATCAATCATTTTTTCTCTCTTCTCTCTCATTTTCAATCATTTTTTCTCTCACATATATCTACTCAATTACAACAAAATATCAAATCATCACAAATTTTAAAACTCTAAAATTATTTTCAAAATATACAACTAAACAAATTACAAAAAATTTTAAACTCTCTTTGTAATTTTTTTTTAAAAAAATTTATCTTCTAAAGTCAAACCAAACAAGTCCGGTATTTTACTTTTTCAAAATTTAAAAATTGCATGTATTTGTAAATTACATGTGTTGTAATTTTTGTTTGTTTGTAAATAACTAAGAACTTTCCACACATTTGTAATTTTCCCAAAATACTTGTACCACTTTGAGTTGCTTGCATCTCGTCCACTTCATCATCTTCTACCAACAAAAATCATCCTCCAAATTTGAGTCTCACATCTCTAAAATTTCTCCAATGGAATAATTTCAAGCAAAAGATTATACTTTCACTCCAAATTCTCGATCACTGATGTCTGCCGGAACCCCAGACAACCACCACGACGATTCCGGCGAGGAGGCCTGTGTTTTCGATCTCTCCGGCGCCGACGATTCAAACGTTGCGGCGGAAGATAACGTGCCTCAGCCCAACACAACCGACGCTGCCATCAATGGTCACAATTATTCTTCATCTTCTTCTTCGGTGGCCAAGGGCCTCTCTTCTGTGCTCTCTTCTGTAATTACGGATTTCGATTCCAGAGCTGAGGACACCGTTCGTAGCCAGGACCAGCTCTCTTTCGCCATCGATCGTCTTACCCGAGGTTCTTTCATCTTCCTTTCTTTTTCTTTTCTTTTTTTTTTTTGTTAATACTGTCAAATAGTTTATTTTTCAACTTTGTTTGCCTTATTGAGCTTAATGTGGAGCTACATAGAAGCTTGTGTATATTGCAGTTTTAATTCATTTGGGTATGAACAGAATCTGATTGGGAAACTAGGAGAGATGAGAAAAGAATGGTTGGATTAGGTAGGAGAGGACTGAAAATGCTGCAGATGTTCCTTTACTCAAATTTTTATTCAAGTGAGTAAAAGTTTTATTTGATATGAAGAAGCACTCCAATGGACAAATTCACATTGAAGTTTAAATTTTGAGTAAAAGCTTCACACCACAAAATAGCTTTCAAAATTTTGAGTAAAACTCATTTTGATACGAGATTAAGTAAAAGATTGGAGACGGTATTGAGAGTTTTTTTTATTTTTTTTAATTTTATACTCAAATTTGAATTTGATATGCATAGTGGGTAAGCGGCTGCTGGAGATGCCCTAATATTAGAATGCTTGTCAGTCTAATCTACTCAAATTAGAACTCAATTCCATTTCAACCTCCCTCCCCAAAACGAACTATGAAAGAAAGGGAAAGAAAGAAGGGGAAACCAGAGAGAGATACCATTTGTGCTAACCAACCAATTTGTTTGGTTTTTATATATATATTTTTTATTGGCATATCATAATTATTTTGACAAATCCAGAATTACAACTCAACAATGTCATTTCCTGCCTGGCAGCTTTTACGATTATTTTTTCCCCCAATGTGCAAAATTAAGATTTACAACTGAATTTTTAGGTCAACCGCATAATAATGGTATCATTCAATAAGGTTTGTTTGATGGGTTAATCTGGGATAGAAACCCAAAATGATTTTGAAGAACTGCAGCATAAGCTTTCTGGATGAGAATTGATTTGCTACAATGTTAATCAGCCCCCTCCCCCCCCCCTCTCAAAATGATTTAATATATACATATACATGTACAAGTATGTGTGTGTATAGAGAGAGAGAGAGAGAGTGAGAGAGAAAGAGAGAGAGAAACTATTACTTTGTGATTTGGTTCACATTGGACCATTATGCCAATAAGTGCTGCTACCAATGAACAATGCAATGATATGTTACTGCACCAGTTAACCTCAATTTGTAAAATTGAGAAGGGCTAGCTTATATCATATCACGTTCCATTTAGTCAAGTTTATACAGACTTATTATTTTGTTTGCCTTATTAGCCTTGTTTTCATTCTTTCCAAAATTCAGTTAATTTACTGATTTCTACCGTCGTTTTCAACTTTGGCAGAGCTTGACCAACTGTTAGAAGATGCACCGGTGCCATTCATTATGCAGCATGCTGTCAAGATTTCTGGAGTTAGAAAAAGAGTTACATCGTTAAATACACTTTTGAAATCTATACAACGGCGTCTTGATAATGTTGATCAAATGCTGTCTGTGGGCTTGCTACATGGTATTTATCTCTCTACCGCCTACATGTTTTATTTTCCAGTCTTTTCTTTGATATGATTAGTTATTATAATGTGTGTTGGTGCTGTATGTACTTAACCACTGTAGTTAATTACAATTGTTGGGGATCTAAGTTTTCATTGTGGTGTTAATCGTGATTGTACCAATATATGTATTGCTGATACTGCTTTCTAAAAGATAAAGAAAGAAGTGAATTGGGGGTGGAGGGAAGAATAATTGCCTGTTCCCAAGTTACTGCAGCCTAGTTCAAAGAATAAGAAACTAGAACTTCATTATGTAAACCTAGCAGGCAGCTATCGCAAATGCTTCATGTTTTGCAGTGTTAATTGCTAAAGTCTCTCTCTCTCTCTCCACATAGATGATTCATACTTTAATTCGTTGCATGCTTAACTTGTTTCTTCTTTGGTGGTGGTAACTTACCGACTTAAATGTGCCTTGCAGAAAAAGCAGACACAGAAAGTGCCAGACAACATTAGCATGAGCCATGTATTAGAGGTACTTCTTTTCTTGAATATTTACATCCCCTTGTTAACGCAAGTGATGCTCAATTTTTTTTATGTACCAATAACTTTTTGTTTGTTAATTGGAACAAATATTTGAATTTTTCTATCTGTTTTAAGATTTTAGAATGGTTTTGTTTGGTATGAAAAAGGGTCATCAATAGGTCAACAAGATGACCACCATGGCATGGGAAAAAAAAGAAAAAAAGGTCATGAAATGCTCGGTTGTCCAAAGTATCTAATTATTGGTTGGTGCATTGATGCTACATGGAAGGAAATCCTTCAAGCTCTTTATTTAGGTGCAATAGCATCAAACGGAATCTAAGTTATTGGCAAACGAAATTGGTATACAAGAGGACAGGCCCAAAGCTATAGATGCTTATTTGACTTTTAAGCCAATGTTCATCTTGCAGGGTCTTATCAATGTTTCTTAAAGCGAACACTTAAGCCTTCAAGGGTACAGAGAACCAAATATAAAGCTAACAGATTTTTTGTGCCAATAAGTTGGAAGGGAACTAATTTCAGGCATAACCAGTGATTTGAGGCATTTGTTAGTATGATAAGCTATACAGTTTTGTTTAGTTTATATTTTGGTGGCGAAAGCAGTGATTTCTGAACTAACCTTTGAGTAGGTTATCCTAAAGTGAAAAAAGGATATGGATGTGATCTGTCCTAGTCTGGTTCTTGTGGATTGTAATTAGTGGGTAACACATACAATTATTTTTGACAAAACACATGTTTTGTTTTACAATCTCACGAGGAATATGGCACTATATTATTCTAAACATCGAAGGAGCTACATAGTCGACTTGGTAAAGTCTCTCTATGGTGATTCCAAAGAGCTAGGGTTGGGTCTTGTGTTCACCTCATTTCAGATCTGAAGACGCCCATCACCCCATACGGGTTCAAGATCCAAAATGACTGGAGACATTTCTATAGATGGTTGTAGTGGCCAAACAGAAAAAGCTATGGAGTTACAGTAAACAGTTTTTACAAGTTGGAGCTGGATTATGCTTAGTGTTACAAGAATGACATGGGCAGGAAGTTATGGATCATAAGATCTGTTTGTCTCTTCAAAGATGATGAAAATAAGGCCAAGTGAGGTGAAAAAACACTCTATATATCAAGGGACTTTCTTGGATTTGCTCAATTTCAAAAAACCCAGCCTGGTACTTTACGATGGTTTGGGAGCCAGGCTTCTGGCCTACCATTGATTAGAGATATGGTGTAGTGTAGTGAGGGCGAAAAGAGAAGGAAGTAGGTGGGAGGTGGCTGTGGAAAATTGCTTCTAGAGGGAGCTGAGGATAGGATAATGAAATTTGGGAAAGTATTCCTTTGTTCCCCATAGCAACTGGGGATGAAAAAGCACCAAATTTGATGACTTACTAAGGGAAAGACGAAGTAAGAGCATGCAATTGAAGACGTTGCAACATCTGTTGGGGAGGCCTTCATTGATTGTATACAAACAAAATACGAGTCCAAAGTAGGGTAAGAAAGGGTTTACCTAATGGAGATATTAACTCTTCCAGAACCAATAACGCGTAAACTATGTCAAACCAAGACCTATCAATATCCAAATGGAACGGATTTGAACTTCTCCCAGAATAGGTTGCAGTGCGAAGTGAAATTCATAGGATATAACACCACAGCTGCTGATCTTAGAACACACAGCCATTGGAGGGTTCCTGAATCTTGACCCCATAGCTGATATGTTTCAGATTTTTGTTTTTGTTTTAATTTTCACCCCAAACGTTGTAGTTTTGGGGTTTGTACTCTAAAAGTAAATCTGAGTTGTTGGATTTGGGTTCTCAGTGATGTGTCAAATTGTGGTAAAAAGACAACAAAATCATTGCAAAGACTGATCCAAGTTCTGGATGGATTTAGGTGCTTGTTTTTATTTTATTTTATTTTATTTATTTTTGTAAGTATGGTAGGTTTGTTTTAATAAACTATGTCCTGCAGTTTACATGGGAAAAAAAGGCAGATATAAGATTAATTCACATCAAACATATTACGAGCATGAAAACAATTCCATACCAAAACAATATTACAGAGATTACAGATCAAGTTTCAAAAGCATAAGAAGTATATTGTTCATGCATGCATAATGGTATTGTTTTGCACAGTACTTTTTGAAAAGACTTCAATTAATACAAGACTTGAATTATCAAAAGCGGAGGTCTTGAGTCATGAGTGAGTCTTCTACTGTGCCAAAGCACTTGTACTGTAACCAAGGAGGGCACCCCCTGCAAGAATGCCAGCCAGGGTTACTGCCCATATCAACAATCCTGTGGTACCTGCATTTCCAATACTCACTCTTATCAGTTCATCCAAACATACGAAGTGTTTTGTGCAGTGCTTATGAGGTAGAAATAATTTAAATTAGCTGATAATATAGAAACTGTTGAAGGGTGCCTCTAACTTTTGCTTTTAGATTATTGACTTTCAGTTTGTAAAAAGTTGGGCTAAACATATCAATAGTAATCAAAGATGATACCTTACCACTAGCATTGTCATGTGCTATATGCTCTATCATCGACTAATGATTAACTTTAAATGAACTCGGGCCCTGTGAGAACCACTTAAGTGCAAAGTTTTTAAAGGCGAATGCGTACCTTGAGGCGTTTTACCCCTCATGAGGCGGGGCGTAAGCCTCAGGACGTTGAGGCGCAAGCATTTCAAATTTTAAATTTTAATATTAACTGAATAAATTAAATATTTTTAAATAGTTAAAAAAATAAAAACAAAATTAAATATAAATGTGTAAATACTTTTCGCTTTAATGCATTGAACATTTTACTGCATAGAAGGAAGTTTTCCTTCATTGAAAGAGAAATCGATATTCTTAACTTCAGTGATTGAGTTTCTCACTTGACCATTAACTGTGTTTTTCTTGATTGATCATTTACGTAATTTTTCCTGTAGAATATAGTTGTAAAAATGATTTTTTTTTTAATTTTTTATGTTTAAACAATCTAATAGACTTTAACAAATGCCCAGGGCAACTTCTGCATGTGCATACTCCTCACATGCTTATGTGCAAAAAGCGTAAAAAGCGCACTTAAGGCGCATGTCTCAAACTATGATGCGCAAGCCTTTGGGGAGTAATACCTAAAAATCAAAGCCTTGATGCGTTTTACCTTAGCCTCAAGGCGAGGCGAGCATCAAAGCGAGCCTCAAGAAAGCCTTTTAAAAAGTGGGAGAGAAAATTGATCCCAACCCTGCCCATTTGGTGAAGTGACATCTCGTAAGATGATGTTTGTACTCAATATTTGTTTAGTTAGAGTAACCATGAAAAGTTTAGAACACTTTTACTAACTAGTGTACTTGCCTCTTTATGTCTTGTTTACTACAATTATGAGTAAAAAATGTATGTGTTAGTAGAGTTGATTGTCATGAAATCATCTAATCAGTCTCGTGTCAAGCACCATATGATATTTTAATATTATAAAATTTATCTTACCTCCAACATAGACATCACCACTTGGAGACCAATCATCAGTGTTATAGATGGGACTGTAAATACAGGAAGCAATAATTAATTAGATATTTAGCTACATTGTATTAATATCATCGCTATATAACAGAAAAACGTATTATAAGAATGTAAGGTATATTGATTGATGTGCTAAAATTTTGAACTTTTAATATTATTTGTACATGGGTGTGTATATATATATACCTGTATCCATCGACATTAGCACCGTATTTGTCTACAAATTGGTAAACACCCTTTCCCTGAATCCACAATGGAAGGTGAATACATTTTTATGGGAAGATTAACACAGCAAAATATCATTAACAATTAAGAAAACAGCTGTAATAAGAGCAAGCAATGAAATTTAAAGAGCAACAATGTTACATACGTAAAAAAGTATATATGATTAGAAGTGCATTAGGGTAGCAGAACAAAAATTTTAAGAGAATATGAGAAAGACACCAACCTTGCCCTTCCTGCCAGATGCATCGAGTCCATCCGTCAAGTCCATGCCTCCATTAATTCCTGAGAGATAGATCCAACACATTTCAAATTCAACAACAACAATACATACCTAGAAAAATTATTCGGAAAATTACTTAGAAAATGTGCGGAATACATCATTTTAGATGTAGTTCATGTTACGCAAATTTAAATTTACATTATACTCCTTCACTTTTGGGATACTTTTCGAGGTAAAAATTATTGGGTTTTGATTCTTCTTGTTCTTCTTATGTCAATCTTTAAATTGAAAAACAATATTCGGCTTTGAACCAAAACAGGTGCATAATAGAATTATGGGTAATCTATTGAAATCCAGGCTGGTTTATTATAGAGAACAAAAACAAATGAGAAGAATATACACACAAATACAATATATATATATATATATATATTCATGATTATATATCCATGTGTTGGAATCTAATACCATGTTGAAAATAAAAGATGTTTTGGAAAATTATTTTGAGATAGAGTTTTGGAAAAAGTGATTGATTTGATGTGTGTGAGAGAGAGATTTGTTTGGAAAACTTGTTTGGTTTACAAGTTTTGGGAAATTTTTTTGAGAAAATTTGTTTGGTTTGAGTTTTTCTGAAAACTCATTTGTAGAGAAATTTTCCCAAAAATTTTTGGGAAATTCAAACCAAACGAACCCAATGGGAAATTCAAACCAAACGAACCCAATCAAATCGTTTGGTTTGATTTTCTGAAAAAAATTTGGGAAATTTTCTCTACAAAAACAAATGAGAAGAATATACACACAAATACAATATATATATATATATATATATTCATGATTATATATCCATGTGTTGGAATCTAATACCATGTTGAAAAATAATAATTTATTCTGTTTAGGATGCTAACAGAGCATGATGGGCACTAACAAACAGTAAGAAAACTCAATATGTTGTGTGAAAATAAGATAAATTAAAGGTTTATCTCGAAGGTCAACAATAGAAAAACTCAATGTGACGTGTGTGTGAATAAGAAAAATTAAAAACTTTGTGGCGTTGTACAACTCGAAAGTCGTTTTTCCAAAACTCTATCTCAAAATAATTTTCCAAAACATCTTTTAAAAAAAACCAAACCAAACATGTTTTCGTACTTTTTATCTCTAAAACACATCTCTCAAAGACAAACCAAACATATTTCTCTTAGCTCTATGGTTTTTACTTCTAAATTTCTTGTTCTTGTATATTCTCAAATGACCACGTCACTTTATATAATGGTCTTTGAATACATCTGAACTTTCAAATAGTTTATATGTACTTTCACACATGCACACATCAAGACACTTTGAATATAATCATGTGACTCTTCAAACTTCAAAACTCTATTAAACTCAACCTTTGAAAATTAATTTCAACACCATGTTCATCATATAGGTGCATGTATTGAATATTGATATAGAGTAATGTTACAATAACTATTTATTTCTACCATCTTATCTTATCATTGATGTATTAGTCAGTTGTTAGCACTGCATTGGAGATGTGCATTAATGATAAGAACCATTATGTCAATATTGTGTTGACAGATAAGATGACAAGTATAATATGATATAGAAATGTAATAAGCGTAGCATTATTAATTGATATATATATATATATAGAGAGAGAGAGAGAGAGAGAGAGATATGAATTACCAAAAGGCTTGTTAGTCTTGATCTTCTTACCACTGGCCTGAATCCTCAAAGAGGAAGTTCTTGCTAGTGAGGGGAGGCCTCTCACAGCTGTCTTCTCAACAGTGAATGGAGAAGGTTTTAGGCTCAATGAACTCATCACTACTGAGGCTGCCATTACCCCTACCTTTCTTCTCTTCCTTTTTTATTTTTCCTTTTTTTTTCAATGCTCTATCTTCTTCTGATCTTTGTGTGCTTTTTGTATGAAAACTCTCTTAATTTCTTGGCCTGCCTTCAAAGCTCCCTGCGTGTAATGTCTCTGGCCACCCAAATTCCTTGATAATGCTAATAAAACTAACCAACCATTGGTGATTGCCCAAGTTACACGTGGCGCTTCCTCTGTGGCTGCATTCTGGATTTGATATTCCAACGTTATCAAAAGGTATTGGTGGGTTTTGTGGATCCATTTTGCTGAGCTAAATTGTTCACTGACCAGGTCATACATACAAAAAATAAATTTGATCGGATGTTGGTACATATGGTCGAATTACATTTGTTATAAAAATTAAAATAAAAAATAGTAAATTTGATTTGATTAAATCACTAATAATTTTTGAATATGTTAATTTTTTGTATAATACTTTGCTTCATTGATCTTACAAGTTAAATGATTTAAATCATCGAAGTGAGCCTCTATTTACACAACACATTCTCTCTCAAGGCAAATCATTAATTAATTTATTTTTTATTACAATTTTAACCGTAAGTGAAATGACTATAGAGGACAAGTTATGATACACACCATTTGTGTATTTACCATAAAGGACAAGAATGAATATATTATAAATCATCAATTTCAAACTTATTTCTTACGTATATTCTTTGTCAAGAATCCAAAAATCCTAAAACCAAAGAAAAAAAAACCCTTCAACAAATAATAAAAAGTATAGTATTATTGAAGATTTTGATTGGATTCTATGAAGGATGCATCTGACAATTCTCATTCAGAACAATGGAGCAATGAAAAGGTTATTTTTTGTTGTTTCTGTCTTCGTTTTCGTTTATGAGTGGTAAATCGTTGTTCGGTTAACCAGAGGTGAAAAATATGTCATTGATTGACAATCTACAATCGAACAACTTGCATCTGTTCGACAAACTACAATTGAACAACTTACATCTGTTCAACAAACTACAATCGAACAACTTACATTTGTTCGACTCTGTACTGCTGAACAGTTATAATTTTTTTTTTTTCCTTTTTTCAGAACTATGCATCCGTGGAATGAGAACTCATCTACTGCTTTACTTGAGCACGACGTCTTCACCACTGCTTAACTCTGTGTTGAGCACCAAGACAGTGTTCACCGGTTGAAACTGAGAATGGAAGGTGGGGAGATGGAAGAAGGCAGGTTTGTGAGGGTGTGTGAGTGAGTGGGGGTAAATATGGGAGTTTGTGTGTATATTGTTGTGGATGGGTGTGTGAGTAAGGATAAATATGTAAATTTGTGGTATGTAATGAGCAAAATATATATTTACCAAATTATTAAAGGTGTGTTCTTAGAAGTGGTTTGCCTTGAGATAAATTACGGTGTGTAAATAGAGGCACCCTCAAGATAGACCCATTGAGGCCCAATATAATCTCTCAGATTAGAAGCCCAACTATAGAGAATTCAATCCCTCGGCCAAAATAATATTGTTGTAGGGGAAACGGCATTGTCAAATTTGAGTTTTGACATGCTATACTTTCAAAATATCATAATTTGACATTATTAATAATGCAAATGGTTATATATATATTTTTTTCGAAGTGTCATTTTGAGTCTCATAATGAGAGAGAAAAACTTTTGGCCCGACAGTTTGCCATTATTAAATTTTGACTTTTAACATCAAGTATACTACATTTTTAAAATTTCTCTTAGTTGACATGAATGCTGTTTGTTATAAATGGATCCTTATTAAATAAATAAATAAAGGGGGAAAAAAAAGAAAGAAGAAGACTACTACAGATAAATTGAATCAGACGGAAAAAATAATAACAACAATAGTGAATTGGTTTTTTGTTTCGTTGATTTACAAAAAAATGTGAACTCTACACCAACAGAAAAAGTGGGGCCCCACAAGTAAGTTTATGCAGTGATTGATTCTTTATTATAATTTTTTTAAATAAATAATTATCTGTATCTAGAAATTTACACAAAAAAATCATAGAAAAATAACGGGTGGGGCCTGCCTTATTGCTAAAAGGAAAGAAAAAAATTAAGAACTGTTCAGATGAGCAAAACAAGCATGGAGGTTGATCACTAATCCTGATGATTTGTTGACAAGGGTTCTAATGAGCAAGTATTGTAATAAGCAACCGTTCCTAACGTGTTAAAAGGGGTTCTAATGCTTCTTAGGGTAGGGAACTATTGAAGTCAGGTTTTCATTGGATAGTGGAGGAATGGTGAGTAAATCATGCTTTTTGAGGATCAATGGATACCGTCTATGCCTAGCCCATTACAAGGAAGGGACATTATTAGTCTTCTTCCAAGTATGTGGGTAGAATATTTCATTAATAGAGAGTAGGATTGCTGGCGAGAGGATCTGATTAGATTGTTTTCCTGACATAGGCCCTATTTGGTAAAGCTATGGGAAAGTGCTTATAACTTATGCCTTAACAGCTTATAGCTTATAACTATAAACATAAGTTGATTTCTGACTTATAAATTAAGCATCTCCTACCCCACTCAAAGAATAAGCTAATTTCTGACTTACAAAAAGCTATAAGCTGCATTGTTAAGCTAAACCAAGCACATCAAAATAGCTTAAATTAAGCTGAAAGCTGAAATAAACAGCTTTTAAGCTGCACCAAACAGGCACATAATGCATGAGAGCTATTATAGGGGTTCACATTCCAAATCATTCGTGTGAAGATAAACTAGTCTGGAGTCCTGTTAAAAATGGAGTATATTCAGTAAAATCTGGTTATAAACAAGCCTTGATTTAAACTATACCGATGTTTCACAGAACTACCTCTACACAAGGGGTATGGAAAAAGTTATGGACCTTAGGTTTACCTTCTAAATGGGCTATGTTCATTTGAAAATGCCTTCATTGAATTCTTCCAGTCCAATGGGAATTGAAAAGATGTAGTGTGTCTGTTAGTGTTGAAATAATAGTGATGAAACCTTAAAACATGTGTTCTTTGAATGTGAATGGACGCAAAGTGTGCAGCGAGGATCAACATTGGGTTTGAATTTCAGTATAGGAGTGCCACTATCCTTCTTTCAATGGTTTATAGGATGGATAGAGCAAGTAAAAAATAAACACATTATAGTTCAATCAGGAGCAATTCTATAGACTTTATGGTTACATATGAACAAAATGGTTTTCAATCACAGTTTTTCAACTATTGAAAGCATAATTATGGAAGCAAGGAAGCTATCTGATATGGTTTCCAGTAACTCTATATGGGGATCTGGTACATGTTCCGATTATATAAGTCCTACATCGAATAATATATCTAATGTGTGCATTTTGTAGAATAAAAGGAGCCATAGTGACGACACAGAGTCATGGACGTTCATCATTGACAGATCATGGAAATCGGCTAAAGGAAATGTGGGAATAGCATGGATTTGTTTGGATCACAACATGCAACAGATCAAACAATAAGCTATTGTGAAAACGTCATTACACAATCCGTTGATGGTAGAAGCGAATGCATGCCTAGATGTGATTAGATGGGCGGTGCAACAGAGAATGATGTGTATAACAGTGCAAACAGATTGTCAGGTCGTGGTGAGAATGCTCCAAAAGAAAGGGCAGGAAGCCGATTGGAAGATTGCAACTATTTTAAATGATATTGCAAATTATGCTAAGAGCTTGAATTATGTTTGTATTACCAAAGTGGGAACGTCCTCAAGTCCCAAAAAAAAAAAAAAAAAAAAAAACCTAAAGTGCGAAGAAATATAGTTCAACTAGCACATGAATTGACAAATTATGTAACTATCTCCAAATAGCTTCATAATAACATTATGTGGCTGTTTCGTTCTATAAAAAAGAAAAGGGCAAATTACATATACACCCCTCGAGGTTTGGCTAAATTACAGATACCCCCCTGAGGTTTGAGAAATTACGAATTCCCCCCTGAATGCTATATTTGCATAAGAAATTAGGGGGTAATTTGTTATGAAATATAAACCTCAGGGGGTAAATTGTTATGAAAATACAAACCTCAGGGGGCGGGATGTAATTTCCGAAAACCTCAGGGGCTATCTGTTAATTTACCAAACCTCGAGGGGTGTTCTGTATATGTAATTTGCCCAAAAGAAAAAAAGAAAAAAAAAAAGAATGTCTTATTTTTAAATATATATATATATTATTAAAAATTTAAAATTACTCAAGCTTTGATCAATTAAAAAATTTAAGAGATTGGAATGGGAATAAAAAGACTGTCATGTTTGGTTTAATTTTTAGAATTTTTTTAAAAAAAATTAAAAATTAATTTGGTGAAAGAAACAAAAAAATTAAAAAAATTTATTATTTTTATATAATTTTATCTTTTGGGAGCCTAGAAATAAATTTTAAAAATTAAAAAATATTTTTTAATATTTATTTTTATCAAATTTGTTCCTATTTTTCAAAATAATTTTTAAATTTTTTTTCGAAAAACAAACCAAACAAGCCTGATATTTCTAAATTAAACCCACTCCAAATATTAGTTGTGTTTTGAAGTTAAACAAATAGAACCAGCTCGACTGGCGGGGATAAAGAATAATCTTTCCATCATTGATTAATGACTGATCAAAGCAAATATTATATTATTTCAATCAATTAATAACAATAATATATCATTATTTATATATGTATGATTCAACCATGCTTGACGAGCTTTGTTGTTGTTGGGTTTGGTAGGAGTGAACACAAAATTATAAAGGTTATTTATAATCTAAAAACAAAGTCTGAATGCAATTTTTTTTTATGTTGATTGGATTGTTTCTGAATTGTTATGTTGCCGAGGTCCAAGACTACGAAAAGCCAAAAACAATTATATAATATGTATTTATTTATTTATATAGGTAAAGTATATTAAATATTTTTATAATTTTTTTAATAAATTTAATTTTTTTTTTAAGGATGTATTAAGATTTTATAGGATGAAAGACATGTAATATTTTTATAATAGTTGGGATCCCTTAATATTTTTTCAGAGAAATTTCGATTCAGAAAATTTTGATTCAGAAAAATTTTGTTCTAGAGAAATTTCAAACAAAATTTTCTGTATTTTGAAATTTCTCTAGTTTGCTCAATTTTTCTGATTTTCTTCGTGTTTTGGAATTTTTTCTGTGTTTTGAAATTTTTTTGATTTGCTAACAAATTTTTTTGATTTGCTTGTAATTTTCTCTGTGTTTTGATCAATTTTCTATGTGTTTATAAAATTTTTCTTCAAATATGATTAGAGAAATTTTACTGACCGTTTCTCACAAGTATAATAACAAACACCTTCATTGCATAATCTCATTGTCAATTACCTTCACAAGTTGAAATATACAAATCTAAAAAACAACCAAGTTGATATATATATATATATATATATATGAACATAACCAACAACAAATGAATACCCTATTAGAAGAAACCACAACACTCTTTGGTTGATAGAAAATGGAGTATATAGACAACTTGCCTCCTATGGATCTGATAAACTCCGATAATGGTCGCCATCGTACTAGTTTGAACTCGCGACGTGAAAATCTTCATCGGTTGGGCAGCAAAAGCAAGGAGGCGGGGGTCGCAGCGGCGGGTGAGGTTGGTGACAAGGAAGATGATCTATCCTTGAAGTTGTTGTAGCTGTTGTTGGTATTCTTCGATCTGTTCTTGGTCTGGTTCAGCTTCGATCGAAGGTTGGGTTTGGAATTCTGGAGTTATGTTGGATGATTAGGGTCTCTTTCACACTGATCGGAGCATTAGTGGTTACTATGTGTATATTACAAGGAGATGTGCACTCTCTTTTATAGAGAGGAAAAGATACATAGGGTGGCATAAAGCAAAGGATAATTATTAAAGCTAACATAATGATGTACTAAACATAATGATAACACTAGCAATACTAACATAGAATACTAACATCACTAACATATAATACTAACAGCCCCCCTCAAACTCAAGGAGGATAGACACAGACCAACTTGAGTTTGGAAAGAGTAACAAAACAAGAAAATAAAATAAGATAGGAGACACTGTATGGTCGTGTCGAACCGTTGATGAAGACACTGTATGGTTGTGTCAGACCGTTGTAGCAGAACAGTTTACGAGGTCATGCCGGACCGATGTAGCAGGACAGTTTACGAGGTCATGCCGGACCGATGTAGCAGACACTGTGTGGTCGTGTCAGACCGATGTAGAAGACAGTTTACGGGGTCATGTCGGACCGTTGTAGAAGATTATGGTGGTGCACCAAGGGGGGCGACTTAGGGAGTGCGCCATGAGCGACTTATACATGGATATATGTATAACCCCCCCTCAAACTCAAATAGGTGTGAAGATAGAAACCTATTTGAGGTTGAAACAAAGGGAGTGAGAAAGTTGACCGGTGTAGAAGACACTGTATGAGTGTGTAGATAGGCTGCCCAAAAAATAGACATGTAGATATATATCGAGTCCTCAAAAGTCGTGCCCTCAAAAGGCGTGCCCACTTTATCAAAAGATGTGCCATGAAAAGGCGTGCCAGTTTGTCGGGCGTCAAGAGGCGCGCGATGCGCGTGGCTGCCTCGGCTATTTAACCAAGGTTGATGCTGAGGCTGAGGCAGAAAAAAAAAAACTTCTGAAAATCCTCTGAAAAAAAAACTCTTCGTTGTGTTGAGAGAGAGAGGCTGTAACACTGTTGTGCTGAAAGAGAGAGTCTGTAACACTCTGTTGCGAAAGAAAATGGCTTCGTCTTCCCGTGGGCTGCTCACTCTCTTTCCCGACCTCAACGAGTCAACAAGAGAGATAACGGGTGCGGTGTCCCGTGAACCTCAACCAAACACCACTGGGTTTGCTCCGTTGAACTTTCCGATGCAGTCGGTGGAGCAAAAAATGGCAGTGCAAACGGATGTGGAGGCTAATCAGTATACTTTGAAGGCATGTGTGGAGTCCATGACGGCGGTCACAAACTTGTCGCACCGGCTGCAGAGTAGGACAAATGAGGTGCAGCAATTAAACTCCCAGCTGGCTCTGCTCCAACGCATGTATAAGGATGCGCGAGCAGAGATAAGCGTGCTAAGGGCAGAAAACAAGGAGCTGAAGTGGAAGGCCACCGTGATGTTCCGTTTTGGAGGTCCGCCATATGCTGCAGTGGAGGAGCAGGGAGGAGTGAATGTGCTGGGTGGATTAGGAAGCACAGAGGCAGCACCGGCAAGGGCCGGCCAGGACGGAGGCAAGAAGAAAAGACCGGCGGCAGAGTAGAGAAGAAAAAATCCTGCTGTGGGTGTGGTTGTGTTGTGAAATTTTGTTTTTTTTTTTTTTTTTTTTTTTGTGGAAAAGTGTGATCGGATTTGATCCCGACATAAAGAAAGGATAAGTTTGTGAAATTAAAAACGAGTTATGTTTGTTTGTTTGTTTGTTTGTTTGTTTTTTTTGTTTGTTTTTTTTTTTTTTTGTTTTTTTTTTTTTTTTTTTTTGTGAAATCGTCCGTTTGCCTTGGGAAGATATTATAATAAAAGATATAGATATATATTAGTATGGAGGGAATGATGAGGATAATGTGGTGTGGTGGGTGGAGGATGAATGATTTATTTTAAAAAGAGAGTTGATGGGAAGGAAAAGACAAAGATTGTGAAAAAGGAGAGAGTGGGAGTGGGGAACATGGACGGGAGGGTATGGGATAAAGAGAATAAAAAAGTAAAATAAATAAATAAAAGAAAAGGTGTGCTCAAGCAGAGAGTGAGTGGACAAGACACTGTTATAGGTGTATGGAATGCCTTCTGCTTCTACAAGACATCGAATTTCTGCTTTCCTCGCATAGAAGCTGTGGTCAAGGCCAGATATTCGAGTTTTACATGGATCCACTCCAAATTCAGATGGAATGAACTTCTTGACGCACCCAGCTTGTTTGATAGCTGAAATGAGAAGCTTCTGGAGGAGGACCTGCTTGGACGAGACAGCACAAATCACGACATCCACTTGCTTGATGGCTTCTATGAGCCTTGTTTCATCTTCTAGGGAACCCTTGAGAAGTGTGGCGCCGGAATCGGAGAGGGTTTGAAGCTTGTGAGATTTGTGGAGATCGGTGAAGGATTCATCTCTGATGAGGGCAAATGTGGGATGAGAAGATCGGAGGCTGGATCCAACTCTTCTTCTCCATCGTTTCTCTCTCTCTCTTGCCCAGGTGTCTTTGTATACGTCTCGGCATTTTCTCTCCATCGCGAATGAAGTTTGGGTCATACTCACGGTGACCATAACGCCAGAGGACCACATGTTAATGCTTGATTTGAAGTAGGAGGAGAAGCTGTAGGAGTAGGAGGTATGTGTAAGTGATATGTGTTGAAAAACTCCTGCGGGCAGCGAAGGCAAGGTTGTCGGCCGGCTGCCCGCCGGAAAGAAAGGAGTATAGGCCTAAATCTTATGGCTCTGATACCATGTCAAGAATAATTGATAGAGAGAGAAATTGATAGTAGTATGATTGATATATTGATATTCTGTGTGTATTACAAGGAGATGTGCACTCTCTTTTATAGAGAGGAAAAGATACATAGGGTGGCATAAAGCAAAGGATAATTATTAAAGCTAACATAATGATGTACTAAACATAATGATAACACTAGCAATACTAACATAGAATACTAACATCACTAACATATAATACTAACATTTGGAATGATCTAAATAAGTGTACTTTTTGAATTTTTATAAAATATGGATTGAGTTTGGGTTTGAGTTGGGTTTGAAGTGATGTGTTAGAGAAGTGATGTGACTTAAATAAGATAATGTGACTTAAATAGAATAGTGACTTTTTAACTTTTTAAATTTTTTAAGAGTCGCCAAACTTAACCTTATTTATTTTTTATTTCAGTACTAGAACATATCTCTATGCGAGAAGGGGAGTTGGATGTCATGACTTGAACCCTGAAGTAGGAGGAGAAGCTGTAGGAGTAGGAGGTATGTGTAAGTGATATGTGTTGAAAAACTCCTGCGGGCAGCGAAGGCAAGGTTGTCGGCCGGCTGCCCGCCGGAAAGAAAGGAGTATAGGCCTAAATCTTATGGCTCTGATACCATGTCAAGAATAATTGATAGAGAGAGAAATTGATAGTAGTATGATTGATATATTGATATTCTGTGTGTATTACAAGGAGATGTGCACTCTCTTTTATAGAGAGGAAAAGATACATAGGGTGGCATAAAGCAAAGGATAATTATTAAAGCTAACATAATGCTGTACTAAACATAATGATAACACTAGCAATACTAACATAGAATACTAACATCACTAACATATAATACTAACATTGGGTTTGGAATTCTGGAGTTATGTTGGATGATTAGGGTCTCTTTCACACTGATCGGAGCATTAGTGGTTACTATGGTTATGAGATTGAGGGGTTGTTTGGGGTGTTCTAAATAAGTGTATTTTTTGACTTTTTGAATAAAAAAATAAAGGAATAAAATATGGTTGTTTGGATAACTTTTTGACTTTTTACGAAAAAATGTGTATTAAAATATTGTATAAAATAGCAAAATTACATTATTACCCATTTGTCCTATGCGCGCTGACAGTGCTAATTGAAGGACAGTATGGATTGCTTTCAAAATGGTGATAACTTCAAAACATATATGTATATAAGATGAGGCTTCACGAGTACTGTTGGGCTTATGGAGGCACACTATGGGTCCCGTTTTGATAATATGAACCATTTTAATGTGTAGAACTCATCTAGTACTATATGCTTGGAAAAAATCACGTTGATCGAATATCGATAGCTACCTGATCGGATTAATTTTTTGTCAATCGTTAATTTATTCGCCGTTCATTTTTTTTTATATACAAAACTGATATGATCATATAGTTATCGATATCCGATCAACGTGAATTTTTTACAAGGATATACTATTTGGCGCGTTCTACATATTGAACGGTTCAAATTAATTATCAGAACAGAACCTGTACTGGGCCCCATGGACCCAACAACATTGTCTTGTGTATCATGATAAGTGCATTCGCTTGATTGTTTGTACCATCACTGCAAACAACACCATCACTTCATTACAAAAGTTGACTTGTACTTTTTCTATATAAATTTATTTTTTAAATTTTTTTTTGTGAATAGTGATAACTTTTTGACTTTTTTAATAACTTTTTGGCTTTTTGACTTTATTAGACTATGCCAAACCAGCCTTGAATATCTGAGATCAAAACTCGGATAAATAATAGAGATAGTGGCGACGGCAGTGATGATTGTGGCAATCATGGTGGTGGAGAAGGCGTTGGCGTGGGAGGAAGCTATGATGGAAGAGAGAGAGAGAGAGAGAGAGAGAGAGAGAGAGAGAGAGAGAGAGAAAAAAAAGAGTAGGTGTTATATATGGGTATAGGTGGGATACAAACTCATAAACAAGTAAAGGACTTTAGGCTACTAAAAAAATAAAATGCTACTAAAAAAATAGAGTGCACCTCATGAATTATTTTGGACCCCCCTAATTTTTAATTTTTTTTATTACAATAATAACCTCAAATAAAATTACTATAAATGATATCATTAATTTTGGGACACTCCATCTCACAATTAAACCTACACACCCACTACATCATGAATTACGATTTATGAGAGCACTCACCTCCATTATCACATATCCATCTTCTCCAAATCCCACCTTCAAAACCTACCCACCCTCAAAATCTTGAAAACCCTTTGACGACAATATTCCGGCAGTAACAATGACAACCATTTGACTACATACACTTCTTTGGCAATGACAATGAGTGGAAGTTTTTCTAGTAACCACAACTCTATAAGACGAGATGAGTACAATAACAAAAGTTTAGAGGAGGTTCATAACTTTGATGTTATTCTTAATTCAAATGAGATTGCTCTTGTAAGGATAAGTTTATTGAAAAAAATGGCAAAAATAATAAAATCTGTTCATTATTTTTTTGGGACTGAACTCCTGAGCATATGACCAAAATTTGAGGACACGGGTCCGAACATTGTTATTTGTTCTCGAAGGCATTCCCAAACAAATAAGTAATGTTCGGGAATGCAGGTCCGAACATTAAAATTTCTTAACACATTGAACAGTCAAAATTGTTAACGCTTGCAGAAGTTTTCATTTTTTTAAGTTCGGGAATACAGACCCAAACATTACTTATTTGTTCAGGAAGGCATTCTTGAACAAATAAGTAATGTTCAGGAACGCAGCTCCGAATATGGAAATTTCTTAACACATTAAACGGTCAAAATTGTTAACGCTTGCAGAAATTTTTATTTTTTTAAGTTCAGGAATAGAGGCTCGAACATGGACATTTATTAACACATTGAATGATCAAAATTTTTAACACTTGCACAGAAGTTATTGGAAGTAACCTAAATCCATTATCAAGTTCAAAAGTTATTCCTTCACCGCATAGCTTTAATAATATTGTTGCGTAGTTCTCTACTGAACTCACAATTTTATAATATCTACCAACAAAATCAACCAAACCAATTATTATAATTTTTTTTCTTGCGAGAGAAGAAATTATTACGAGAAAATTAAGAAATTATGTATATGTATATGTATATGTATATATATATTTAGAGAGAGAGAAAGAGAGAAAGAGAGAGAGAGAGCATATCAACTATGACAATGGTGGATGAGGCAGCAGAAATAGTAATCACATTGGCTCTTCTTCTTCTTGGTGGGTTTTGTTAGGATTTTTTGGAAGAGGCCTTTTTTGGGGTGTGGTGGTGCACATTCAATGGGTAAAATATTTTTACCAAGATAATTTTAGTATTATTTGGGAGGGGGAAAGAAATTTTGAGGGTTTCAAAATTTATAAGTGGGAGCATAAAGAAATGAGAGTCTAAAATAATTCATAGGGTGCTGATACCACTAAAAAAATATTGTGAATCTCCCCCATTACTAAAAGTTAGAAAGAGATATTTGACTAAATATCCCTAAATTTAACATACTTTAATGCTGTGTTTTGTTGAGGGAATTGAGCAGGGATTTGGAAAGGGAAATGGAAAAGGTAGGTGAAATGTGAAAAAAATATACCTACATTTCACATAGTTTCACACACCTTTTCTCTTTTCCTTTCCAAATCCCTCCCCAAATCCCCCAACCAAACACAGCATAAATTGGATTCCTTCAAATTTTAATTCACATTACAATTAATTCATTTTTATCAATAATTTTATTAGTCTTACTGATAAAAAATAATAATTTTTATAATTTTTTTTAGTAAATATATATTTTTATTTACTAAAATATATATTTTTATTTAATTTATTCACATATCTTCACATTATTTGTATTAATTAATTATAATCATTTTAACTTTATCAAAAATAAAATCAGTATAATTATATTACATTTATAAAATTTATTGTATTTTTCTAAAATGCTAAGAATGGGTCAATCTTATATATATACATTAGGAGGAGAGAGAAAATGGAATGAGCGCGCGCATCCCTTCAACGTCTACCAGCCTATATTCAAGTCAATAGCCTCTCTCTCTCCTCGCTTTGGAAAGCTGACTATGATTGGCTTTTTATTTTGGGAAATGGAGTCACTGCTTTGCTTAAAGTATAATAGTAATTGTGGTGTCTCCGTTTAAGTATATTATCCTCTTATTTTTATGATCTAAACCGTTTATTTTGTAGAGACGATCTATAAGTTATAAGGTTATGTTTGGATCAATAATTTGAGTAGGAATTTGTGAAGAAAAATAAGAAAGTGAAAGTGAACAAAATTTAACTTTTCATTCAATTTTTTCTTTGTTTCTTCTTTTTTTTCTCATAAATCTTCCTTAAATATTTAATTCAAACAGGTTCACGAAAAATGCTATGCTATAAACTAAGGTGGAGCAAGCACTAGAGCTTTTCTCATAGGCTTTGCTTTTGAGTCAAGAGCCTCTCCTTGCAAGCTTGTGCTTGCGTCCGTCCTTGCAGGCCTTCGGGTCTATTTTTAGGCCTAATTTTGATAATCCGAACCGTTCATATTTTATGATTTATTCAGTATATCATACCTGTAAAAAATCAAGTTGATTGGATATCATAAAGCATATGTTCGGAAAACTGTTTATTAAATTCTTTAAAAAATAGTGTTTAGTTCAATTTTTCAAACACATACTTTCTGATATCCGATCAACTTGATTTTTTACAGGTATGATATACTGAATAAATCATAAAATATAAACGGTTCGGATTATCAAAATTGGGCCTAAAAGTAGACCTGAAGGCCTGCAAGGACGGACGCAAGCACAAGCTTGCAAGGAGAGGCTCTTGACTCCGCTTTGGAAAGCTGACTATGATTGGCTTTTTATTTTGGGAAATGGAGTCACTGCTGTGTTTAAAGTATAACAGTAATTGTGGTGTCTTCGTTTAAGGTATATTATGATCTTATTTTTATGATCTAAACCGTTTATTTTGTAGAGTTTGTTGAGTACTTCATGCCTATCAAAAATCATATTAATCGAACATCAACAACTATATGGTTGATAACCAAAAAAAATAAATAATAAGTTTTCCTTTTGAAAAATTACATAAACAATATATGATTCGATCATATAGTTATTGATATCCGATTAATATGATTTTTGGTAGGCATGAAGTACTCAACAAATCCTACAATATAAATGATTTAGATCATAAAAATAAGATCATAATACACCTCAAACGGAGACACCACAGTCACTGCTGTGCTTTGAGCACAGCAGGGACCTCTGTTCCTTTATTTTGCGGCATTTTTTCGTAAATTCTTTTTACTTAATTATTATATTTCATTTAATTTATATTATTTTTTTTATATTTCAATAAGTCTTATTAATGACATAGTTATCAAAATATTCTTAATAATATTCATATTTACAGTGTGAATATTTTGTAATTTGAATGTTTGCATCGTCAATGTGAATGTTCACACCATCAATATGAATGTTAATACGTGACTATTCATATTGACAACGTGAGCATTCACACGTCAATATGAATATTCACATTGTAAAATATGAATGTTCACATCACCAAATTATTAACCGTTCAAAAAATATTTGTAAGGATAGAAATATTCATAAAATACCTTAAATATGAGAATTAGAATTTGATAGATCAAATGTTCAAATAAAAATATTTTATGAACTAATTGAGATAGAAACACTTGAGAAAAGATTTTCTAATAAATCTCTCTTGTAATTTTTTATTTTTTAATTTGATTAAAAAAATTATATTTTAAAAAATAATTGACTTTTTTTTTTTTGTAATTAACCTAATGATTGTAAAAAAAATTATATTTGAGAAGATAATTAATTTTTTTATAATTAATTTAATGATAATAAAAAAAAAAGGATTAAATATTATATTTTATCTTATTTATTATTTTAATTTATTTTACCTTTATCAACTATTTTAACCCGAATGACCCTTTCCAAACCGGGCAGTACAGATATATGGGAAATGGTTTGTACTCCACTGGGGAACCTCCAGACACGGGGGAGCTGATTGGCCCATTTTTCTTTTTTTCTTTTTTCCTTCAATATCCCACGTGTGTGTGTGGGCGGTGGGGTGAGAAGATCGTGGGGGTCTGAATCAACATTGGTGTGCGCATACTTAAGAGAATATTTTCCAAGATTCAATAGCCATACTCTCTCTCTCTCTCTCTCTCTGTGTCTCTCTCATACTGTGCTCTGCCCACCATCTGCTCGATCAAACGCCTCTTCCTGCTGCTTCTTTCTCTGGATTTCTAGAGGTAATTTTATTTTTCACACCTGGGTATCTTTTAATTTCCTCCTCCTTTGCTTATCTTTCAATAATCTCTTCTTCATTTTCAGTAGAAAATGTAATCTGAGCTGTCCAGCTTTCTATCTTTGCTTTGTTCTTGTTGGGTTTTAATGCTTAATTAAATTAATTTGTTATAAAACAATATCGCTGCGATTGGTTGGGAGAATTTTGAAGCGATTTGAAAAAGAAAAGAGAAAAATGTGTAAAATTAAGTGAAATATAAATATATTTTATTCACATTTTACTTATTTTTTTTTTACTCATTTCAAATTCCCTAACCAAATAAAGTACACATGCTAATGCTCTAACTCAGAAATGTAGCAACAGATTGACCCCAAATAGTAAATACCTTCAATTCTGTAAATGTTTCATTCTCCCAAGGAATCTTTCTTCTTGTTAGTGGTAGTCGTGCTTTGTTTTTTTTCAACTTCCATTAATTTATGGAAATTAGTCATGCTTTTGGACAACCCAATATGTTCAAAACCCAGATACGCTTTTTTTTTTTGGGATAAATAAAAACCCAGGTACGCTATTAACCTTCCTAACTTCTATTATATAGGATTTTGTATTTGGGATTAACATATGGCTCTGTATGTTTCAGTTTGGCAGGTTTTGGTTTAATCTAAAGCATTTGTCATAAAGTTCTTTAGAAAAAGCGGGTAATTGGTGTATCGCACAGTTATGATTTGTTTCTCTTTTCCATTCGGTAAGAGGGTGGGCTCACCACCAAAATGGTCTCCTGAATTTGATGAAGGTAAACTCCGAGCTGTTACAGACGGACACAACTTTTTGAACATATTATTTGAACTATAACAGAAAGGATTTGTGTCTCTTTATCAGATAATTTTCTTGTTAAATGATCTATCTAGATAATATTCAGCTTTTAGTCTAATTCCAATGAATATCTAAAAGGTTCTGACATTGTATCATGAACAGAGCTTTCAGGTGTCCACAATGTTAATATCTACACGTATAAAGAGCTAAGAATTGCCACCGATGATTTTAGGCCCTCCAATAAAATTGGGGAGGGCGGTTTTGGTTCTGTCTATAAGGTAATTAAACTTGTATTCTTTTTACGTATTTCCATAAATGTTCTTACTTTACATCAGATAATAAATTGGTAATCTAACTTCTTGTTTTCAAATGAAAATAACTTGTCGATGTTTAGGGAAGGCTTAAAAATGGGAAGATTGCTGCTATAAAGGTTCTTTCAGCCGAATCAAAACAAGGAGCAAGAGAGTTCTTGACAGAGATTAAAGTGATTTCTGATATAAAGCACAAAAACTTAGTTGAACTCTATGGCTGTTGTGTGGAAGGAGAACATCGAATTCTGGTTTACAACTACCTTGAGAATAACTGCCTCGCGCAAACACTACTTGGTAAGTCAATCAATTTTTATTTTTTTTTGGTTTCAAGTCCATGCAATCAATATTAGAATATTATGGAAGCCGTGAGTTCGGTACCATGCAGTAATGGTTATATTATAGAACTGGTGCTTAAGAGGCATATGAAGTTTGAAATTGATTCAAATAATGGTGGGAAGTTTATTTATAATATGTGGACTTGTTCTTTGTTTATAGGATTACTAAATTGACTTTTTCTTTATTTATAATTTGTGGACTTGATCTTAGATCACTGAATTGTCATAAAGCACAATTCTGGCATTTGCTTTTTCGAACTTCAGCTTTGAATAGGGCTGTAAATTCAAGCTTGGCTTGTTTACACAACGTGCCAATCTTGAACAAGTTTTTAACGAACTGAACATGAGTCAAGCTCAAGTAATTTCGTTTTTTTATAGTGCATATTGGCTCATCAAGTCGAGTAGTAGGTTATTCAAGTATGGCTTGAAAATATAATGAGCTTTAAAATGTGTTCAAGCTTGGCTTGTTTGCATAACAGCCCAATCTCTAATGAGGTTTTAAGGAGCCAAACTTGAGTATTAAAGCATTAACAGTGTTCTCATCCGCTGACACAAATATTCTTGTGATTTTAAAGCTGTTGAAGTTTGGTGAAATGGACCCTAATGCTTTAAACTCTTTGGCCTTCAGGGGGAGGTCACAGTAGCATCCAGTTTAGTTGGAGAATACGAACTAAAATTTGCATTGGGATTGCACAAGGACTTGCTTTTCTTCATGAGGAAGTACGACCACATATCATCCATCGAGATATCAAAGATAGCAATATTCTCCTCGACAAAGACTTGAATCCCAAAATTTCAGATTTTGGTCTTGCGAAACTTATCCCTGCCAACTTGACTCATGTCAGTACCCGCGTGGCAGGAACAATGTAAGTTCTAACAATCTTGTTAGGTTTGTTTTAGGTGATGCATCAATTTTCTATTTAATCTAACCATAAGAATTCATCTTGATTATGTTCTTAGAGACGTTACCATTGCATTAGTACTTGGGATAGTGACTTACGTGAGATGGCTTTTGGTATTAACCGATCCCCAACACTGTATATGGTGTCTAGAAAGCAACGAAACTTAATCGGTCATCTGAATCATGCTAGTTTTGCCCTTTTCTAGATCACTAATGATTTGTCATTCTTCGAATGCCTAAAATTTCATATAGTTACTTTCTGTTTATTTGCCTCCCTTTATATGTGGCTACTATCATTAGTGGGATTCTTGCGTTTCTTATGTTGATATGATTTCAAAAAAAGTTGTGGAACCTCTTAGTTCTTAAATATGCTTGAACTTTGCTGATTCCATCCCTCTATGGAACAAGGGAATGAACATGAAGATATTCATTTGGTCCTAGGCTTTGGATTATAGTGAAATGTTTCCCATCAATCAAACCACACAATTTTTTTTTCCCTCTAAGTCACTCATTTTTTTTTTTTTTTTGGCAAAACATTTTTGCAATTAATGTTTATCCAACACTTCAAAATCTCTCTCCCAAGTTAGTTGCCAAAGGGGTATGGCTGGAGACCACATGAAAAGCAGATGATCATGGGAATCCATGATCAGAAAACACAAAAAGCTCTTCAGAACACTCATTGTGGAATTTAGATTCAATTCTTCTTTTATATTTCGTCTTCAATTTACATTCACATTTGTTGTTTCAGGGGTTATTTGGCACCAGAGTACGCAACAAGAGGACAGTTGACGCGTAAAGCAGATGTATACAGTTTTGGCGTTCTCCTCGTCGAGATAGTTAGCGGGAGATGCAACAGAAATACACGATTACCCATTGGAGAACAGTATCTTCTTGAAAGGGTATGACGTTTTTAATTGTTTCCGCAAACATAGTCATTGCTTTTGCATTAAGCCATGATTACATGTGTCAGTGATATTAATAAATTGACAAACAGTAATCCATGACCCATCAGTTCAAAAACTTGAGATAATTCTCATTTGCAAGTAAATGAGACAAAGTGTAAGTTTTGATGAAAAATCAAGCAATGGCCAAGTTTCTTTTATTTATCATGTTTTAAACCATGCCTTCTTTTTCTTTTTCTTGGTGAAAATCATACTTAATTGTTTTCCATCACATTCGAAGGCACAACTAAAATAGAAAATAGGGTTCCTATAAGACATTGGAGTCTTCAATGCCTATGATAGTGGAAAGTGTCATTTTTGAAAACATCAAAGTGCTTTTACTGTGCACATGATGTGAAACATACAGACTAATGTCCAAGTGCTCCCTTGAGGAACATAGTTTATGGGACTTATGAATTTCACTTCAATGGTTTACAAAAGTCCTTTATTTTAAATATATATATGTATAATCTCTCTCCCCCAATGAAATGTTCCCAAATCCTTTCATTTCAAATCAATTAATCCAAATGCAACTTAATTTTCAGACAAGGTTGATGATGAAATGAGGATTTTGTTGTTGCAGACCTGGGAGCTTCATGAGAGAAGGGAACTGGTGGGGTTGGTTGACACGTCACTAAATGGGTATTTTGATGCTGAAGAAGCTTGCAGATACTTAAAGATTGGTCTTCTATGCACCCAAGACGCTCCAAAGCTCCGGCCCTCCATGTCAACCGTAGTCAACATGTTGATTGGCAAGGTTGACATTAATGAGAATGAGATGACAAAGCCAGCCCTAATCTCCGATTTTATGGACCTCAAAATTAAAAGCAACCTGAAAACTAAGGTTGATACAAACAACACATCTGACAATTGTGCCTTGTATAGCTCGGACAATGTGGAGAATTCAACCTTGTCATTTGGAACCTCGTCTTGTGCAAGTATATGATGATCGGAGCATTAAAAAAAAAATTACATCACTTGTGAAAGAGAAAGACAGAGACTGCATGTACCTGGGGACTAGTTAGATAGGATACCCTCATTACTATATATATAGAGAGAAGGGGGGGGGGGGAAGATTGATTTAGTTTTGTTCATCTCATTTTTTGGTTTTGTGAGGCTTGTTCGGTTGTGAAACTTGTATGATTTTTTTTTCTCAGCATGTAAATCATAGTCACGAAAACTCCCTAAACTGCATAATTATGTGTTGTTTAAAGATAATACTCTTAGAAATGTACAGATTTGGATGAATGAGAGAGGAGATAAATAAAATCTCTCATGGGTTTGAAAGTATTTGCCATTTTCATTCAGTTTCTTCTAATTTGTGATGATTAGCTCAATTACACTCATTTTGTGCTTGACATCTCGTTTCTGCTTGTCATCTCGTGCTTTCTTGACAAGTGTCAAGTCCTAGAGACTAGTTATAGGTAATGCAACACCGTGTACCTTCTCAACACATAGTCCCGGAGACTAGTTGCTGGCAATGCAACACCTCATGCCTTTGCTTGCCATCTCGTGCTTGATACCTAGTACGACTCGCTATCTCGTGCTTGCGTGTCAAGTCCTAGAGACTTAATTGCAAGTAATGCAACACCTCGTGCCTTCTTGACACATGTCAAGTCCTAGAGACTAGTTGCAGGTAATGCGACACCTAGTGCATTGCGGGATGACAAGTGTCATCCATACAAGAGATTAGGTAATAATAAAGCGGAAACTCCATTGCCATGAAAAATGGCCAAGTCCATGAATACGTTTCTATCTGCTTAAGTTCACCAATTTCCACCAATGCATATTAATTATGCATTACAATATCAGATATCATAAACAAAATAACTTGTAATATAGTTAACAAAAAACAGACCCAAAATAAAATAAAAAATCTAAGAGCCGCACGAAGATAAGTTTGGTCATTAATTAATTCAATAAATAGTAAAATACATAAAACTTTTATTCCAGGAACAATATCTTCTCCATCTAACAAATCATAGGAATTCTTCAAACATTAAACAAGCACCATAGACAAAGCCACACACACTAACATAAAAATAAATAAACAAAAGTAACCTCCACATCAAAAAATTATGTCCTCATCTTTCTGCATACCACCAGACAAGAAGTTGTGTGCTGAATTAACTGAAATCCCCCTCTGCAAAGAAACTTTCTCCGCAAACTGGTCCTCTGAAAACTGCTTAGCAGAAGCGAGCTGTCTCTCAATCTCTCTCTTCTTGTAACCTTGTATCTTCTTCAGCCTGAAGAAATCCTCTCTTTCAAGCTCATCAAGCTCACCCTTAATGTAAGTTATCGTGTTCTCTAGCCTCGGTTTCACAACATTTTCCAAAGCATTGACCCTACGATTTGTGGTCTTGATTGCCACATCAAGTGTCAAGAACGATGTCTGAAGAGATGCAAGCTCGACAAGAACCTCAATGGATTTCACATACGCAGCACGACAAGCTTGCACTTGTTGGCCACCTCTTGCCAATCCAGTTAGGTCATTCTTTGTCTCGCCTTCAGTGAAATACTCAAACTTTGGGAGCTTCACACCCGCAATATTCTCTTGGCGAGATCGAACTTTGATGGATGCGTTTTGGACATTCTCAAGGACAATGTGCTTGATGTTCTCGCCAGCAACATATTTGGCTTCTGTTAGGGCAAACGAGGACGTTTTCATGACCTCTCCCATCGATTCTTTTGTTGAGACTATCTTCTTGAGAATCTGACGGAACTGCACAGTCAAAGCATCACTCTTCTTTTTGAGAAGAGCATGGCCTCTTGTGGCACCGACAAGGCGAGCTTTCACAACGCCCAGCATTGTGACCGTTGGGACGACATTCAATCGCTGGCTTTGGCCGGACATCTTGTCAAAGATCGAAAAGCTGAAAAGATATAAGTAATGCATCAAGATCTATAGACAAAAAGATTATTTACAATATCAACAAAATTTTAATTACGAAGGAAAATTATACACAATCATCTCCTTTTTTTTTTCTTTTCTTTTTTAACATCGGAGGGCTGGGATAGGGGGGAGTCTTGCATGTGACAAGACTCAAACCCTTGACCTCTTAATCAGGTGCAAGGATTCTGGCGAATTGAGCTAGCCCCAGTTCGTTATCAACCACCACAACATGAAGAAAACCAATTCTCTAATCATTTATCTTCTCCAATATTCTTTAAGGATAGTAACAACCTCTATTATCAGAATCTTACGATTTGCGATTCAATTCGTAATTTTTACAAAATCAATACAAATCTATGGATGAATCTATTTTGGAAGTAAATTTTTAGTGAATCGCACGATTCACGATTTAATTCACTTTTTACGATTCATGCAATTTTTAAAATTATTGTGTCCGACATATTTTCGACTCTTTTTTTCTCCATCTTTTTAGTGAAAATGACATAATACAACTAGTAGTAGCGTTTAATACCAAAATAACCAACATGTATACCTGATTTGTTGTTAATTTAGTGATCATGAAGCTTTTAATAGGATCCAATTAGATTCAGTCAGACCAAACATATTTTTAACCTTTTTTTCTCATTTTTTTTTTCCCTTGAAAAAATAATAAGATATCTTTTAAAGATGTTTAATCAGTTATACCTTTTAAAATGTTTTATGCTTTAAAATAAAACATTCTAAATAATTCTTTCTTATTATTTGCTCACTGTTACTTAGAAAAGTATGTATGCTTATTGTCTAAATATCAATATCATTGTTAATTATTATTACTTTGAAAATTGATAATTTGTCTATTTGGTTATTATCTTTATTAAGAATGGTTAATAAGAAATATTTGAGAAAAAAAGAAAGAATGTAAGATGGTGATTTTACATAGGAACCTTTGTTAACTTCTTCCCTATTAAACTACGTGATCATCATTCAAAATAACATTTTCATAGATTTAAGTCTAAATATTTTATATTCATAAGATATATTTAACATCTAAATGTGTAGATATATGTTTTTAAGTAATTTAGAAAAAGTGATTGAATTTTTACGATTCACGATTCGATTCGCGATTCGGTACAAGGTCATTTCGATTCACGATATAAATCCCGATTTAACAACTATGGTAGCAACAATTGCACAAGATTGGGGAAAAATCTACAGACAATCAAAACCCTTGGATCTTCAACAAGATTTCACAATCTATATACTTTAATCTAACCAGAAAATGATGGGTGTTCTAAGAGAGTGGTTCTCGTAATACAGTTAAAAGTGATTGCTAACCTGTGTTTACCACTTTTCTTTCTTATTCTTCTTCTTCTTCTTCTTCTTCTTCTTCATCTTTTTTTTTTTTTTTTTTTTTTTTTTTTTTTTTTTGGCAAGGATGCTTAACCAATTTTGCAGTAGTGCAATACAAATCAAAAGGAATGGAAAAAAAAATCTAGAAGGAGAATCCAAAAGCCACATCAAATTACCATCTTCCCTCTTCCACTGGCTCAACAGGTCTCTTTTTTATCACTTTGTTAATAATTCCCCATGTGTAGTCTGGGCAGCGATAACATTAATATTAATATTAAATTTTCCATAACCTCTTTGTTTCTTCTTGGTTACTTCAATTACTCTTGCCAGACATTCCAATACAGTAAAAAGCCTCCCAATTTTGTTTGAGAATGAATTATCCTTTCACATTCAATGGTCTAAAGCAACGTAACACATTCTAATCTAAAAAAAGAAAGAGAGTCAAAGTGTATAATTTTCCAACAATAAAACCAACTAGCGAGAGCTTAGTTGCAGGAATCGTGCAACTAGGTGGCGATTCTCAGTAAGAATCGCGATTCCGTGATTCCTAGAAAGAAACGTGTAAGAATCGCGTTTTTGTGGAGAGAGAAACGCGATTCAATCCAAGATCGGATCGTAAAGGGCAGAGAGAGAGAGAGAGAGAGAGAGAGAGAGAAACCCTAACCTTCGACGTCGACATGAGAGTAGAAAGGGCTTCGATCATCTTCGTCACTCTCGCGATCGTCTTCGTCACTTTCTCGATCGTCTTCGTCCTCATCACTCTCTGTGCTTCTCTCTCTCTCTCTCTCTCTCTCTCTCTCTCTTCGTCTCCGCTTCTCTCCCTCTTCATCTCTGTTCGTTCTTCTCCTCACTCTCTCTCTTCATCTGGATCATATCATGTATAATAGATAATATATATAATTTAAGGGCATCTTCTGATTATAATATATATATAATTTATCATATATTATATATGTAATAAAAAAATATTTAATTATTATTTCTTAAAATATCATATATAATAATAATTTTTGTAAATTATTATTTCTTAACTTTTTAACATATAATAAATAAAATAAATCATCCAATTATTTAAAAGAAATCTAATTAAACCATATATAATAAAAAAAATTATAAAATAAAATATCTAATTTTTCTTTTTATTTATTTTAACATAATTTATTATTCCTTATTTATTATAATTTTTTATTTATAATATATATCAATTAAAAATAAAAAAATAAATTAACAATAATACATTATTTAAAAAATATAATAAATAAATAAAATAATTAATGTATATTAAAATAAAAATATTTATAAAAAAACTTCTAATGTGCATTAAAATATATATATATATATATATATTATCGCTTCCCGAGACGCTCCCAATCTAAGAAACTTCTATCGGCTCACGATTCCCCGCTCTCGCCCCCGCTTCCACTTCGTGCAACTAAGAGCGAGAGTGTATTACAGTAACATTTTGCCAACTAGCATTAACAACAAAACCAATCAAGATAACTAAATGGATTCTAAAATATCTCTAGCAACCACGTCAAAGCCACTAAATGGGCTTCAAAGCAACATGTGTATATTTTCCATAAGAACCAATCTAACACAATGACCCCTCGTCATAGTTTGTCTCATCAATGTCACTTTCTTTTTTCATCAATTTCCCTGGTTTTCTCAGAGAACCACCATGTTGACTTTTCCATTCAAGATAATCCTCAGGCCCACATTAAACTAGAAAAAAGGAATGAATACTTTACACGTCTCAAAAGAGAAACTACATAATTTTAGCATTTTGCTTCAAGACTCACCTCTAGACAATGTAGCCCCTAACACACTTAAATAGATCCTATTTTGATTTCATAGTTTTAGATATGGATTTCAAGATTGAATTTCCTAGCTTTGTCACAATAGATTTGAAATAACAAGGTACAAAGGGTTATTTGAAATCCTTCACACTAAGGGTTGTAGTTCTACAACAATCCAAATAAAAAAAATTCTCTTTCTCTCTTTAATTTATCTTTCTCTTAGTTTTCAATCCGCTTATTAAAATAGCTTAATCTCCTATAATTTAATAAAATTTTAACCTCAAAACTCTTAATTTGAAATCTATCACCCAAACATAAACTAGAAAATTGCAAAGCTTATGCCTCGTCCACATCCACATCCACTATTTTCCTTGTTTAACTTTGCTAATTTGCTCCATTGATGTCTACAGACCTTTTTTTTTTTTTTTTTTTTTTTAAGGTTGCAAACTAATCATCAACACATAATGTTACCTGCTTTCTTATTGAAACAAAACTAATCAAAACGCATACAACCCAGTGATCTACATCGTATTGAAAAATAGAGCCCAAATACTGAGAGATCTCTTTCTCTTGATTTCTTTTCTTCCCTCAACATTCCTTTCAATACAAACGGACTTTGTCTCTGTACCGATCTTTCTTCTAAACACAAAATTGACGATTGAAGAAAAATAAAGAGCATGGCGAATCGAAAACAAGTTCCAGATTGAGAAGGATTCAAACCTAGTCGGTGGTTGCTGGAACGGGGGTGTCGCCGCCGGAGGAGGAGGAGGAGCTTTGTAAGAGAAGAAGAAGAAGAAGAAGAAGAAGAAGGAGATCACAGTTCAAAAGACACCGTCAATTAGGGGTGTGCGCGGTGCGGGTCGGTGCGGATTAGAAGAAAAATAGAAAACAAACGGCGGGTGGCGGATTGATAAAAGTGTCATTAGAAATTGTCATTTTTCTTATCAAAAACCGACAGTTCGGTTGACAAATAATGGCGGTTTTAACTTGCTGGTTTGGGAGGATTGCGGTTTATAAAAAAAATAATTCAAATTATAGAACTTCAATCAATGAGAAAAGATCTAATTTATAAATTAACTAAAATAGTCAAAATTAAAATAGATAATGGACAAAAATGAACAAATAATTGATTTAATTATAGGAATAAAAATGAATTTGTATGATACAGCAAGTAGTTATATACTTATATATAGAGAGAGAGAGAGAATGAATGAATGAATAATTAACAAGGCTATGGTTTTACAAATAATTTGATTCATTCATTCTCAGTTACTGTTAGACTCTAACAATTAACAAGGCTATGGTTTTTCATTCAATTGATTTAATTATAGGAATGAAAATGAATTTGTATGATACAATGAGTAGTTATATATATATATATATATATATAGAGAGAGAGAGAGAGAGAGAGAGAGAGATTAACAAATCTTGAATGGCGGTGACAGCAAGGTTAGGAAGAGGAACAATAATAGAGAGCAGCGGCGAATGGCGATGACGAATGAGATGGGGGGTGTGTTTGTTTTGGTTTGAGGAGATAAATTTTCAAAAAAAAAAAACTTGAGATTTAGAAAAAAAAAATTTTGTTTGTTTGGTTAAATATTTTGAAAATAATTTTAGAGTATGAGAGTTTGAGATGATTTTTTTTTTTTTTTGTAGTTGAGTAGATGTGTGTGAGAGAAAGAATAATTGAGAATACGGAATGAGAGGGAAAAAGTAATTAATTGATGTGTAAGAGATAGAAAGTGATTTAATTTTTTTTTTTTTTCAAAATCATTAAACCAAATAAAATTTATAAATTTTTTTTTCAAAATTTATTTCTTAAAAGCAAACCAAACAAGGCGGAGATGTTTGGATTCAATTAAGTTTAATTTGAGAAATTACTTTTTTTTTGTGTACATTTGGAAAATCTGACCAATTAAACGGATCCGGTCGATTTATTAGGCGGTTTGACATTTTCAAACCGTCACTCGTGCCGATCCGTCACTCCTAGAACTCCCACCAGCCCAATCCACCCATCAGAGTCGAAAAAATGCACGATTCGATGTGATTCCATGTGATTTTAACAATTTTAACGATAGTGGATGGCAATGGAGGGCAATGGGGTGGTTATTAATTCCCCATCCCCATTCCCCCATAATTATTTTTCCCCATTCCCCATCCTCCATGACTACCCTCCCCATCCCCTAATGAGTTTAGATTTTCCCCAACCCAACTTGATCTTCTTTTTTTTTTTTTTTTTTTAAAATATACATTTAATTTAATTTTTTTGGCTTAACAACAAAATCAAATACACATCAGATAGGTAAATACTCCATATCATTTACACTTAAAGTGAAGCATTAAATATGAACTTGAATGAATTTAATCAAATAGAACTTGAATTAGATGTGAAATAATTTCAGTCTAACAATATCTCGGGAGAAGCAAACAACTTGAATTAGAGGCCATCATCATATTCATCACAACCAAACAAGCAAGCCTACCCATCATCAAACAACTCAATTATACAATTCCTTTAACAGAGAAGCAAAAATTTTAAAAAGAAGCTAATCATCATCGTCTTCAAATCAAACCCATATAAGAAAAACAATCATTAATTAGAAAAAAAAATTATATTTCATATAAATATATACTAAATAAATTTCTACAATTACATATATAGTAGCGTAACCAAATTCATTTTCAAATTTTGTTGTGTTCTGCTGTTTAATCTTAGGTTGATTTCTCTATCATACTGTTATAATTGCAGTACATAATTGAGTTGTATACAAAATGTTATATGTATACTATAGAACATTTTGAACTGGTGAGCACTTCTGATACAACAGACAACGAGAGAACGAGAGAGAAAGAGAGAACGAGAGAACGAGATAGAGAAACTCACCACACCAGAGAACCACCGTGGTAACACCGATAGAGATCGCCGTCGCTAGATCGTTGCTTTCGCAAATTCGAAGGAGATCGTTGCCCTCGCTGACAAGAATGAACCCTTGAACAAATTCAATTCCTGGATTTGTTCTTCAAGAAAATTGGTGACGAAAGAAGAATCATGAAGGCATAGGCAATGATTCTTACAAAGAGATCGAGATCGTAGAGAGAGAAAAGGACTTGGTAGACAGAGAATCGAATGGTATATGTGAGAATGAGAATGAGAAGATTGAGATTGAGAATGAGAACCCTAAACACAGACATGGGCAAATGGGCGGGTGCCCATTCCCGACCCATATCCTATGGATATTTAAAAAAAACCATTTAATTAACCCAATGGGTAAAAAAAGTGGAAAAAATTCATATATTTGAATTAAATCTTCATGGTTATCTATAGGTAGGATCTCCATTGCCAACCGTTAATAATGGTTTTGGAGATGTAAATTTAGATCTCTCTCTACTAATAATGATCTCAAGTGCTAGTGTGCATGGTAACAGCATGGACCCCTACTATAAAGGGCCCTATCACGCTCAAAATGAAGATGAAGGATTAATTAGATCAAACCCTTTAATTATTACTTAGGCCTCGGTTGACATATGTTTGTTTTAGTTTAAAAGTTAAAAAATTATTAAAAAAATTAAAAAGTCTATAACTTATACTAAAAAGTCAAATATTCTTTTTTTTCTCTTTTTTTTTTTTTACATATCTTTTCGTAAAAAATTAAAAAGTATTCTAAACAAAACATACTATTTTTTTTACCTCATATTTTAGTCAAAAAATTAAAAAATTACTAAAATAATATGATCCCAAATGAGACCTTAATACCATTCTATCCCCATCATTCATAAACTCGTTCATTTTAACTCTTTTAATTTTAAAATTTTATTACATTGACCATTTCTTGACTACCTTCGAAAGGGTGAGTAATGTTATACAAACAACAAATTCACATATAATTTTGGATAAATTACAAACATATTTCCTGAGACAAATATACTTCCTGAGGTTTGATTAAAATACAAATCGTACCCTGTGATTCTGGAAATTACATTCCACCTCTTGAGGTTTCTAATTTCATAACAAATCGCTCATTTTATTAATAAATCATCAAGTTAATTAACAGTTTTTAATAATGTTATAAATATGTTTCAATTAATAATTTAAATAATTTTATTATTGTATAGGAGAATAATTATGAATTTCTTTTTTTTAGTTAATTCTGTTAAATAATTTTTTTTAATAAGGGGGTATTTGTACTTTTTCAAACTACATGGGGTAATCTGTACTTTAAACAAATCTCAGGGCATGCATTTGTAATTTATCCTATAATTTTTGTACATAATAATGTGGTTCATCGTGGACCTTTCGCTTCAAAACAAAACATTATTGAGATGAGTTTATTCAAAATAATGACATTGTTACATTATTCTTGTCAAAGATTTTTATATAATTTTTTTGTATGAATAGAATTTTTCATATGATTTCAAATAATTGAGGAAGTCAATATGTATGGATTCATCAATGAGATGGGTACAATCATATTCTTTAATAATTGAATGGTCTTGGTGTAATTTAACCCATAAATACATCACATTAATCTTTCCTAAAATTTGGAAGAAAAAAAAAAACACTATTTGGCATAAATATATTGAATTTTTTAAAATTTTAATTATCATAAGCCAATTGCATAGCAGATTGATTCTAAAAGCAAGTAGTTATATACTTATATATAGAGAGAGAGAGAATGAATGAATGAATAATTAACAAGGCTATGGTTTTACAAATAATTTGATTCATTCATTCTCAGTTACTGTTAGACTCTAACAATTAACAAGGCTATGGTTTTTCATTCAATTGATTTAATTATAGGAATGAAAATGAATTTGTATGATACAATGAGTAGTTATATATATATATATATATATATAAAGAGAGAGAGAGAGAGAGAGAGAGAGAGAAACGAAAATATAATAAAATGTTAAAATCCGGAAGCTGTCTACAGAAAAGACCTTGAATGAATAGATATTAAACATGAAATCAAACAATCTAAGCCAATTGCATAGCAGATTGATTCTAAAAGCCTAATCACAGAAACCCCAAATAGTAACAGTAAGACTAAAACCTTACGATGATGGCTCAGATAGGCTCCGACGCATTGCTATCACAGAAACTTTCTCGATTCACAATCTTGAATGGCGGTGACAGCAAGGTTAGGAAGAGGAACAATAATAGAGAGCAGCGGCGAATGGCGATGACGAATGAGATGGGGGGTGTGTTTGTTTTGGTTTGAGGAGATAAATTTTCAAAAAAAAAAAACTTGAGATTTAGAAAAAAAAAATTTTGTTTGTTTGGTTAAATATTTTGAAAATAATTTTAGAGTATGAGAGTTTGAGATGATTTTTTTTTTTTTTTGTAGTTGAGTAGATGTGTGTGAGAGAAAGAATAATTGAGAATACGGAATGAGAGGGAAAAAGTAATTAATTGATGTGTAAGAGATAGAAAGTGATTTAATTTTTTTTTTTTTTCAAAATCATTAAACCAAATAAAATTTATAAATTTTTTTTTCAAAATTTATTTCTTAAAAGCAAACCAAACAAGGCGGAGATGTTTGGATTCAATTAAGTTTAATTTGAGAAATTACTTTTTTTTTGTGTACATTTGGAAAATCTGACCAATTAAACGGATCCGGTCGATTTATTAGGCGGTTTGACATTTTCAAACCGTCACTCGTGCCGATCCGTCACTCCTAGAACTCCCACCAGCCCAATCCACCCATCAGAGTCGAAAAAATGCACGATTCGATGTGATTCCATGTGATTTTAACAATTTTAACGATAGTGGATGGCAATGGAGGGCAATGGGGTGGTTATTAATTCCCCATCCCCATTCCCCCATAATTATTTTTCCCCATTCCCCATCCTCCATGACTACCCTCCCCATCCCCTAATGAGTTTAGATTTTCCCCAACCCAACTTGATTTTTTTTTTTTTTTTTTTTTTTTTAAAATATACATTTAATTTAATTTTTTTGGCTTAACAACAAAATCAAATACACATCAGATAGGTAAATACTCCATATCATTTACACTTAAAGTGAAGCATTAAATATGAACTTGAATGAATTTAATCAAATAGAACTTGAATTAGATGTGAAATAATTTCAGTCTAACAATATCTCGGGAGAAGCAAACAACTTGAATTAGAGGCCATCATCATATTCATCACAACCAAACAAGCAAGCCTACCCATCATCAAACAACTCAATTATACAATTCCTTTAACAGAGAAGCAAAAATTTTAAAAAGAAGCTAATCATCATCGTCTTCAAATCAAACCCATATAAGAAAAACAATCATTAATTAGAAAAAAAAGTATATTTCATATAAATATATACTATATAGATGTCTACAATTACATATATAGTAGCGTAACCAAATTCATTTTCAAATTTTGTTGTGTTCTGCTGTTTAATCTTAGGTTGATTTCTCTATCATACTGTTATAATTGCAGTACATAATTGAGTTGTATACAAAATGTTATATGTATACTATAGAACATTTTGAACTGGTGAGCACTTCTGATACAACAGACAACGAGAGAACGAGAGAGAAAGAGAGAACGAGAGAACGAGATAGAGAAACTCACCACACCAGAGAACCACCGTGGTAACACCGATAGAGATCGCCGTCGCTAGATCGTTGCTTTCGCAAATCCGAAGGAGATCGTTGCCCTCGCTGACAAGAATGAACCTTGAACAAATTCAATTCCTGGATTTGTTCTCCAAGAAAATTGGTGACGAAAGAAGAATCATGAAGGCATAGGCAATGATTCTTACAAAGAGAAAGAGATCGAGATCGAGATCGTAGAGAGCGAAAAGGACTTGGTAGACAGAGAATCGAATGGTATATGTGAGAATGAGAATGAGAAGATTGAGATTGAGAATGAGAACCCTAAACACAGACATGGGCAAATGGGCGGGTGCCCATTCCCGACCCATATCCTATGAATATTTTAAAAAAACCATTTAATTAACCCAATGGGTAAAAAAAGTGAAAAAAATTCATATATTTGAATTAGATCTTCATTGTTATCTATAGGTAGGATCTCCATTGCCAACCGTTAATAATGGTTTTGGAGATGTAAATTTAGATCTCTCTCTACTAATAATGATCTCAAGTGCTAGTGTGCATGGTAACAGCATGGACCCTACTATAAAGGGCCCTATCATGCTCAAAATGAAGATGAAGGATTAATTAGATCAAACCCTTTAATTATTAGTTAGGCCTCGGTTGACATATGTTTGTTTTAGCTTAAAAGTTAAAAAATTATTAAAAAAATTAAAAGTCTATAACTTATACTAAAAAGTCAAATATTCTTTTTTTTCTCTTTTTTTTTTTTTTACATATCTTTTCGTAAAAAATTAAAAAGTATTCTAAACAAAACATACTATTTTTTTTACCTCATATTTTAGTCAAAAAATTTAAAAATTACTAAAATAATATGATCCCAAATGAGACCTTAATACCATTCTATCCCCATCATTCATAAACACGTTCATTTTAACTCTTTTAATTTTAAAATTTTATTACACTGACCCTTTCTTGACTACCTTCGAAAGGGTGAGTAATGTTATACAAACAACAAATTCACATATAATTTTGGATAAATTACAAATATATTTCCTGAATTACTCCGGCTCAAGGAGAGATCGTTACTTCAGCCCGAGGAAGAGTAAAATTACTCCGGTCTGGAGGCAATTCACAGTTAGGCCGGTCTCAAAGTTAGTCCGGTCGTAGTATGTTCTAAGAAGGCCGGTGTCGGAATTAGTCCGGTCGTGACTTATATTGGTTAGGTCGGTCCGAACTTGTTACTTGGAAGTTGGATCTAAGCGCATCAAGGTCGAACAGGGCAGCCGAAGTAAAGAGTTGGAGGAGAAGACCGAGCTAAGGATAGTTCGGCCTTCTGTGGCTATTATTGTATAGGAGAATAATTATGAATTTCTTTTTTTTAGTTAATTCTGTTAAATAATTTTTTTTAATAAGGGGGTATTTGTACTTTTTCAAACTACATGGGGTAATCTGTACTTTAAACAAATCTCAGGGCATGCATTTGTAATTTATCCTATAATTTTTGTACATAATAATGTGGTTCATCGTGGACCTTTCGCTTCAAAACAAAACATTATTGAGATGAGTTTATTCAAAATAATGACATTGTTACATTATTCTTGTCAAAGATTTTTATATAATTTTTTTGTATGAATAGAATTTTTCATATGATTTCAAATAATTGAGAAAGTCAATATGTATGGATTCATCAATGAGATGGGTACAATCATATTCTTTAATAATGGAATGGTCTTGGTGTAATTTAACCCATAAATACATCACATTAATCTTTCCTAAAATTTGGAAGAAAAAAAAAACACTATTTGGCATAAATATATTGAATTTTTTAAAATTTTAATTATCATAACACGTAATAACCTTTTTATCAATAACTCGTCAGCGATTGAATGGAAAAAAATAATATTACCTCCTTTGTACTAAAATTTATATTTCACTTTTATTTATTCTCTTATCTACACATTATTTGCATTAGTTTCAATTGTCCTTGCTAAAAAAAATTGGTATAATTATACTAAACTCCTATAGTTATATTTTTTTAAATTTCAAAATGATCAGCATAATTTATCTAAAACTAGGTAAAAATTTTATTCTATCCATGTAATCCCAGAACTTTAACATTTGAAACAAATTGAAAAAGAAAAGTGCCTCGTAATTTCTTAATCGAATTGGAACAATTTTCTGAAAGTTTACTCCCCACATAAATCTCATAATACATTATTTAAAGGTAATAAATGATAAGTGAGGTTACAATATTAAAAATTTTGTATCATTTTCTATTGGTTGTATTTAGATTAAAGATTTGAAGAGAAATTTGTAAAGATAAAAAAACGAATGGTAAAAGTTTCATGAGACAATAGGAACAACATATCCATATTGATGTACTCGTTACACGTAAAAATGTCTCCTTAGTGAAGATGTCAAAATATGGGTTAATCCCTGGATCCTCAACATCGGAAATTTCCAGAATTTAAACTGTCAGCCCTCCAAAGATTGCTCTTTCCAAGTATTTGCCGATGATTCATATCAATGGAAAGTGGAGTTGGTTAAAACTATTCTCTTCAAATGAATCTGAGCCATCATTATATCAATCTCTCTTCCTATGATATTATAGGGAAATACTACTAATCAATAGACGTGACCTTGGGGCAATAACTGGGTATCTGTGAGACACAGGACTGCATGTACCTAGAATTGAAATCGAAAATGCACATTCAAGCCAGCGATGCAAAAGCAGCCAAAATCTATAGATAAACAAGGGAGAAGAAAGTAAGCAGAAAAGTTGAAATGGAAATATGAAAAGCAGACCTGCAAAACCAACACTCTTAGATGCTGCTTTGAAATCATACATATAGTTCAATTGCTGCAGACCACATTACTCTAGTGTTGGATCCTTCTAACAAGAGACAGAAAGGGGAAGGAGGGGTTTGGTCTTTGCAGAAACAAACAATAATCCTATAGTCATAGAATCAACCATGAAAAATATAGCATAAGTGGAGCCTGACGTATTACGCATAGAGCCCACTTTCATTTTATGTGCTCACTTCCGTGATTGTTTTTAGGTCTATAGAATTATTGAGAAACAAAAAGATGATCGCCTTTTTCAAATGACCTAGAAATCATTCTTAGGTTTACATTGGAGAATAACATTAAATATATATATATATAAAATAAAAAATAAAAAGAAGAAAAGAAACAACCATAAAAAAAGGAAGGGTTCATAAAAAACGGAAAGGTACAATAGGTCATGACTCATGTGCACCAATAAACTAAGGAAAATGCTATCCATACATAAAATTCATACAAAAAGTATCACAAGAATGATGTGGCAATTTCAATTTGGTAAATAATTGTCATCTTTGTGAGTGTCTTGATTTTAAGTGAAAAATTTATATTGAGCGACATCATTACTCATAAACTAAATGCTTGGAATAAGGAAATGGGGATGTCACATCTACTTCAAATGCTCAAGAAATCCAGCAATCAATACTATAAGTCTACAAGGTCTATGCAATCAGAATCTTCAGAAAATGCTTTAACGTCAATAATGCTTGAGAAGCTGAGTTGTTGAAGAGCATAGCATCCACAAAAATTCTTTAAATAACTTTACAGAATGATTTAATAATGCAGAATACATATCCAGATTTTTAAAATGTTCCCATTATATAAAGTCGTCTCTATATGAAGAAAAACTAGCAATACAACATCAAATATGCAAGGACAATAGCTAACCCGACTTGCTCAATGTCAGTTGGCAGATAAATTACAATCAAGGTCACAGTGGAAGAGCTTTGGTTCTCTAGCCACTCCTGCAAATCTCAGCCACATTTCACAAGCATTGACGACGTTAATCTTCAACAACCTGTATTCATGACAACAGAAAATTTATATTAAGTTAAAGCAATGCAAATAAGACAACAAGAAGAAGCAAGATCAATAATTTGACTAAACACATCATATAAGCACACACCTCTTGCAATAAACCTGAAAGAAAAAACTCTACAAAATCTAGCGGTTGTCTTCATAATCTAAACTAGAAACTACAATCATTCTACTGACTATCCATGCCAGTTTCAACAGATGACTGTGGAACAACCTCACACTCCCTCGCTGTGTGGGAAAGTTGGTTGTGATCAACTTCATCACCTGTATGGCGAAACTGAGAGTCATCAATAATGCTAAAAGGACGATATATCTGGGAATGATCAAACTCGCAATCTACATGACATAGCCTCGAGTTATCAACCCCGATAGCAATGAGTTCAACAGATGCGACAACACATTCCTCTGAATCATCCCTCTGCTTACGCTTCTCCGTACACTTCCTTCTTACCCTCTCTTTTCCCCTTACTCTTTTTCCAAGTTCATTTTGTGGGTTGGCTGCCACTACTATTGAATTTTCAATCTCGTCCCTCAAACATTCATGCACAATATCCCTGATTCTTGTAACAGAGTATATCTGCTGCTCATCCATCCCGTGTGTAGAAAGTGTATCTGCTAAATGTGCAATGTCCCTCAACGCAGCATTCTGTCAATGAAGTAATCAGTAATGTGTAGCAAAAATTAAAATAAAATACTATAAGAAAAGGTAATCAACAGTGAAAAATATTTTGTAATGGATAGTACACATTAAAGCAAAGATTTACCATTCTCTGAAACTCAGATGAGATAGGTAATGGCCTTCCCACCCACTTCCTTGTAATTCTCAAGTACCACTGCATGTAGTCACTGTCATCCACATCTTCATCACCCCCAACATCTTCATCACCCTCCACAATATGAAGACGACGATCTGACCATTCATTAAGCTCTGATTCCATCTTTCCTGCCAAATCCACCCCCCCATCGACCCCACGGCTCTTCCTCTCCCACTGTGGCACATTTTCTGGGATTGGTTGTTGCATGCCACATTGTCTGAGGCAACGATCAGGGAGGTGTCTCTCTGCTTTGTCATAACAAATCAACATTGTCTTTGACCTTCCAAGAATTAGATTGTGTTTGATTTCTTCAGGTATAAGATTACGATTAATATTTGTGTAAGGACACCACTCAACCTGTACATTAACACAATATTAATGCTACTATCAATGTTGAGAAAGTGCATGTAATTTAACTGCACAGAAAGCTTACATCAGATGGCTTTAAGGCATCCAATGCTTTACGATAAAAGGCTACATCACGGTTTGTTGTTGGACCACTCTGTTTTCCTTTCCATCTAAGTACAAATGGAAATTGATCATGGATTGGGTCATGATTAAACTTTGGTCGACCAACATTCAGGTGACAGTAACTCCAACACTACAAAATAGAAATAACCAATAACAATCATAGCTAGCATTTGACTAACAAGTTTTCCAGAAGGAAGAAGAAAAGGAAGTTTTCAAAAACCTGTAGCATTGTTAAACAGCCACTAATGGTGCTCTGAGATCTAAGGGAAGCATTGCCAAGAGCTCTGTACAAGAATGACAATGTAGCTGCACCCCAGGCATACTTCCCAGCTTGGTCGAAATTCTCAAACAACGGGAGGTACATGACAGGGACTTTGTTACCCGTGGTAGTAGAAAATATTGTGCTACCAACGAGGTAAAGAAGATATGCACGTGTATGGCGCTCAATATTTTCAGTTGGTGCATCCTCAGGACACTGAGAGAAGGTCTCTTTCAACCAACTAAGCTTCACCATCCCCCCACTTGTGTGCCTAGTGTCCGGTGCTTTCCCTAAATACTTCACACAGATTGCGTCACAGGTGGTATATGTTACACCTATAACAGGTTCACCATCAATCGTTAGTCCAAGCAAGTATGCAACATCTTCAAGAGTTATTGTCATTTCCCCAACAGTGAAATGGAAAGTATTAGTTTCCCTCCTCCACCTCTCAACCAATGCAGATATGAGTGGGTTATCTAAACTAATTGCTGGTATCAATCTTAAGTAGTCAAATCCAGCCTTCTTTACCAATTCAACCTGTTTTGATGTGAGTGTCCACTGATCAAGCTTTGAAGTGTGTTCATGACATCTAAGTGCACCACGCTCCTGTCAATACATTATTTAAAACTATTGTGAGTTATTTATCATGTTAAAATACTTCAATGAAAAAATACAGTAGAGAACTTGTCTAAAAGAAAACTGCACCTGCCCCTCCCAAACTGCAGATGAAACATGTTTATCTTGATCATACAATACAGACTCATCAATTGGTCCAGGATTGGTTGCATAAATATCCATTTCCAACTGAAATAAACTGCCCAAAACACAAGGAAATAAACAAAAGAATACATAAATTTTAAGGAGAACAACATGAAATTACTACTGATGCAGCAGAGATGGTATTTCCAAATACTTGGTTTAAAGTTCTAAACCTTACGTTGAATAATAACGAGGTGGGGTTTAAACGATAAGCTGAAAAATTTACAATAAGAATGAAGATGGCAGGGATCCGGAAAAGGAAGGGGAGGGGGGTGTAGATTCTGATGGATCTAAACAGGTTAAGGTGGAATCAACTAGGGGAATCTGTACAAGGTCTCTTGAAAATAGAACCAGAATTGTCAATGATAGAGAACACAAGATGAATAATCCATTTAATTGACAGATTATTGACAAAAAAATGTACAAAACAGATTAAAAGCAAGCAATAGAGTGTAATACAAATACGGTTTCCAGTCAAGAATCAAATTTTCATTTAAGTATGTTGTTTTGATTAGCTTAGAAACATGAAGGAAATGAAAAAATGAATTGGGAAACGTATGAAATTATTTGGAAACAAAAACTACAACCTACATAAATTTTAATACATTCTCAATAACTAAATAATTGAATATGCCGAGGTCTATCAATCTTAGAAAGAAGCCCATAAACAAAAAGTTAAGGAGGGTTCAATGGACAAAAAATTTACAGGTCAATGTTGGATAATGGATCAACTGCAATTGAACAGTGCCATCGCAATCATATCTTTACGAGAAACAAAAGAAAGACATCAGAATCATATCATCATAACCTCGAGTACACTAAAGCCGTGTTTCGCATGATCAAATCCATGCTTGGTCATCTTAGTTCAAATTTTGAACTAAGGGGGTCTCAAATTACAATTCAAGACATGGATTGGATTGTGCCGCCAAACTCACAGACGCTTCGTTTGGGAAGTTGCTATTTTAGTAGGCTATTTTAGTTTTTCTATTTTAGTAGGCTAAAATTTTTGTATTTGGGAAGATGATTGGATTTTTTTGTGGTTGGATGTGATGTTTGTGAGAGAAAAAGTGAAATGATTATGGGTTTGATGTGATATTTTGTCTTATTAGCTATTTTAGCCTAAACTAGGCTATTTTTTTCCTCACCAAACACCCCCAGAAAAAGATGATTAAGGAAAATGGAATAAAAAGGAACAGTGGATATAAAATTTTCCTTTGGCATACCTATCAATGTTCTATATAAAACTTGAGTTCAATCTAATTGTTCAAAAGATTTGTTCTTAAAGCCCACATAAACAAAAATCATTGTCCACAGAATGGGGAAAAAAAATAAAAAAAAAAATGTTTGGAATTCATAAAACCCAGTACACAAAATGACCTAAACACAACAACTCAACATTTAACAATCAACACATTAAGCCACAACTACTACTTTCTCCTTCAATGTTGTCCAACTAGAAAACCTAAAATTACTATCCCTCAAATCCAATATAATAGAAAAACTAGGGCAAATCGGTAAAACAAATCTATCTTACACAACATTTGAATTACCGATAAATAAATACACGACCTATACATACATACATACATACATATATATATATATATATATGATTAGAGAGAGAGAGAGAGAGACCTGGGGATTGAGAAGAATTCCGAGCAATCAAGAGTAATCGAACATCAATGCAATGTTCTCTGGGTCGCACCGGTTTAAGCCGACTCTCATCTATAAGCGAACCGGGTTTAACCTAATTCTCATCTATGGGTTGTTTGGTATACATTATTAATTTTTTATTTTTTATTTTAAAATTTGAGTCAAAGTATTGGATAATAATTTTTATTTGTTATTTATGATGTAAAAATAATTTAAATAAATTAAAAAAAATAAAGGCTGGTAGAACTTTTGAAATTTAATTCTACCCCTTAGTTTCAATGTGTTGTTTGGTTACAGCTTTAAAAAATTAATTTCACACCTACTTTTCAAAACACTCATTTTTTAATATTATATGTCACATTACTCAATTCAAACTATTTTTAAAACTCATAACCAAACAAATTTTTCACACTCAAATCATAATTCCAAAACTTACAAACTCAAAACACAACTCTATTATCAAATCATAATTCTAATGCTCTACCAAACGCAAATACTTTTATTTTTTGATTATCAATTTTTAACACCAGCTTGAATTTTCCTACCAATTAATTTGATTGGCTTATGTCAAACATTTGAAGCTATGGCATCTTTGGGAATTGGTATCATCCAAATATTACATTGAAATTGATCATAAATTTCTTCTTCCAAATATTGTAGGTAATATGGGAAATCACTCAACATTATTAAAAACAAATTATAAATTATAACTTAACAAATTATAAATTATGACTTTAATCTGAAGTTATTGATCTGTTTGGTGTAACCGTTAGATTATAAATTTAAGTTGTTAAGTAATTTTTTTAATTAATTTTTATTTTTTTATTATTCACTACTTATCTACATTTCTTATAAAAAATAATAATCATATTCTATAACCCATTTGAGTCTTTTTGACTTAAAATAAGTTGTTAAAATAAAAAACTTTTTAAAATAAATTTAACCAAACAATCCAAAATAACTTTTTAAAAGCCAGAAATTATAAATTAGCTCAAAAAAACCCAAACACCCTCACACCCTCATTGCTTTGAAAAGTTTATTCTTATTTTCTAAGACTTTATTACAAGTTAATTCTACTTTTGAAACTTATTATCTATTAAGTTTTATTGACAAATTTATCAATTTCTTTTATTTTTATGAATAAATTTATCAATCTAGATCTGTAAATAAATAAATCTAATTAGTACGCCTTTTTAGTAAATGCCTTTATTTTCTAATGGCAAAAGAATTTAAAGAACCAAAAAGTGAGGGAAAAATATTATTTGAAAATTTTGACTTGTTTATGATCCTCAAATTTTCTTTTAGATTAGAGAAATAAGTCATCAAATAACTTGCTTTATAACTGTTTAATTTATAATTGTCCATATTCATCCAAAGGTGAATACCTTTGTCAGCAACGAGCACCAAATTTGCATTTCATAGAGCTTAACAAGCCATTTCGAGTGAGAAATGACATCAAATGAGAATCCCTGACCTAGATGATTGAAAAAGAAAATTGAATCTCATGTATGAAGGAGTTTGAGCAGAAATTTTCATCCACTTATTTGACAATAGAATCTGTTTGGAGGTTGGGTTATGGTTCCTTGAAAACTTCTAAATCGATTTCTCATTGTCAAGATGAAAACATGACTTCAGCATGCGATTTCAATAACTTCTGTATTTTGCCAAATAGCTTTGTAGAAAATAACACACCATCCTTTCTTCCTACAAAAACCTTTGTTCCTAACAGAGCATGCCTTGATTCCAGAAGATAAATCCAAATAGAAAATAGATAATTAAATAAAATCTGGTTTGCAAAATCACATGATGCATGCTCATTGATGGAGGATTAGATAAATTAATAAAAGCAAACCGAGAAACAGGAAATAATAAATCCAAACGAGGAGACAAAAAAATAAGGCAAACATTTTACATGCACCGCCATTCATGCTTCTTTTTCACTCAGCAAAAACATGAACTTGGGGGCCCTAGTATTTTCACTTTTAAAGCGGGCAGTAGTAAAGCCGGGGAGAGGAGGAAAGAAAAAAAAGTCTAAAAATCTCACAGGGAAATTCACACGTGTCAAACGAACCACCTCTTCTCAACCTTCTGGAATAACTTTGCACTGGGGCAGTAACACCAAGGTATATGGGAACATGTGTTCAATCCTCTGATTAAGTATTTGAATTAAGAGAACATTCGGAGGAAGTTGTTGGCATATGCCATTGGCTTGACATCGGGATGCGGCTGCAATTTCACCCACGCAAGATTTGAGTAAGGAATAGAATCAGACCAATAGATAAATTGATATAGGAAACAGGTGTGCACATGATTTATATGATTGAAACCAAAGATAAATAAATAAGGGAAGAAAACATCATGTTTGGGACAAAGAAGCTACTGACCACTGCTGAAAATGTAACAATGTTTGGCTTCAGGTTGGGGGCTTCGAAGCGAATAAAAGCACCCTTATTACCCATCTGCAGCATGCAAAATAAAAAGCAAATGTAATGTGTAAAGTTTGCACCAAATCCAATCTTCCCAGATGATCAACTCTATATCAAAGCAATAGTCAAACCAATCCAGAGCCCAAAACACAGAGTTGATACCAAAGATTTAAGCAGCTTCAGCTCCAGTTCCCTCGTCCCAACAAAGAGGGGGAGAAAACAAAGGCAGCCTCATACACAAGGCTCTTGTCACTATGGGGTTTGGGGAGGCCAGGTGTACACAGCCTTATCCATTCATACCCCTGTGCATGGGGATTTTGTTTTCATGTTTCAAACCCGTGACATAACACTCACAATGAAGGTAGGCAAGCCCTCCCCATCTCAAAAAGCCAAAAAAAAGGCCTTGAGGGCTATTTGTGACCCAGAGGCTGCAAAAACGAGATTGTGGAGAGAGTTTTCTCCATGAAAAAGTTCTGAGATATTAACATATATCTCACAAGTATTTGAAATAACATTAAACGAACAATGTGGAAGCTTTTTGCTATCTCGGGTTTTTAATGAAAAAATACTAAGAAGCATGTCCTAATAATTATCAAATAACAAGGGTCCACTTTGAAGATAAAAGCCATCATCTATTCCAAAATATTCAAAAAAAAAAAATAATAATAATAATACCTCAAACCTAGAGGCTCAGCCACTTCAAAATGGTTGTCGTGTCCATGTTTGACATGTATCGAATAATGACACGCTGTGTGTCAATTTTTTTAATTGTTATTTTTTGCGAAACACTTCACGTATGCGTGTCCTGTGTTTACACACACCTCAGAACACCTTTGTGGATTTGTTTTTATCATTTTAGGAAGTTGATTGGGGATCAAAGCAAATATATGTAGGCCAAAAAGGGGAAAACAGAACTCAAAATAAAAATACACCCTTATATACATTGATATCTCTTATATTTCTGTGCCCTAAATTTATATTCATGGACGTAACAAATAAAAATATATATTTTTGCCATATTCCTGCCATGATTGTATCTTAATTTTTTTCAAAATTATTGTGTCCCATGTCTGTGTCAACCATATACATATACAGATAATATGCACCATCTTTTTGCCCAAGTATCTCCTCATTGTCAATCTCGATGTCTTTCTTTGTCTGTGTCATTTAATTTTTCAATAGCCATAAACTTGATATTTCATGTGTACACAACAAAGCCATTTTAGCTCCCTCCCATGTATGTTCAAATTTTGCAAATATCTTTTTACCTTTATCTTTTAAAAAAAAGTACACATTTTTGGCAAATATTTATGTTTTGTCACAAAATTGTGGAGGACAAGTATATGACCTAGAGCAACATTTGGAACCCACCACAAGTTCTATATGAACATATCCTAGAATAGAAACATGTACAAGTTCAGGAAAAGGCCATGATTAAATTACCTGATCACAATAGTTTGGAGCAGAAAACACAGTAATAAGTTTACCATCATGCTCAATCTCATAACCTTCGTCCTTCACTTCATGAGACCGCACAACTAAATCTGCCAAATGAATTAAATGTGTAATTAAACAGACTCAAAAGAAATGAAAAATGAAAAGCATCATAACTGTCAGAGAAGTACCTAGTTTGTTTTCCTGCAAAAATCTTTTTGTTACATCTCCACCAAAAGAAAGACCTACACCCCGCTTGCTAGGACCTCTTCCAGGCTGAGGTTGTGGATCACTCCACAACAATTCACACATCAAACCTAATTATAAAAAAAAAAAAAAAAAAAAAGAAAAAGAAAAAGAATACATGAGCCTACCTAAATACAAAATATTTTACACAACTTTATAACCATACGTCTCAGAATTAAACCAAAAGAAAACAATAATCCAAGTTACTGTAATGAATCATCATTATACAGATTCTACATTTTAGAAACTATGGCCTTGTTTGGTTTGCCTCTGGGAAAAAGATTTTGGAGAAAATTTTTGGAAATTTTGTTTGGTTTGTAATTTTTCTCAAAAAATTTTCAAAAACACTTTCTCACTTACACATCAATCAATCACTTTTTCTTTCACATACATATCTACTCAATTACAACAAAATATCAAATCGTCCTAAACTCCCAAACTCCAAAATTATTTTTAAAATATAAAACCAAACAAACTACAAAATTTTCTAAACTCCCTTCACAAAATATTTTTTGAAAACTTGTCTCCCAAAGTCAAACCAAACAAGGCCTATATTTTCCACAGTCTAGCATTATTAGTCAATTAGAAGGGGCATGACAGCAAAATATAAAAATAATCAAAATGTAACAGCAGCTGAGATTCCCCATTCACTAAAAACTGAAATTTTGAGTCAGTTAACTAAAGGATAACAGGACTACGCACATAATGTTCAAAAATCTGTAGAAACAGTTATGCAAAGTGCTATAAAAAGTTTCTTTCATTTTCTAATTAGGTTTGTATTAAAAGATGTAGCTATGATATCTATAGAGAAGGCATATAACTACTACACACAACAAAAATAAGATTAAATAGGCTATTGAACAAGATTGGCCAGAAACAAGCTTGACTAGCCCATGTTCAAGCGAACTGTCAAATATTTTGGCAAGGAGAACTATATCAAAATGAATTCAATAAGATCTCGTTGAATCATTAATGGCAGGAATATATAGGATTCTATCCCAAGAGCAATTTAAGCTTCAAAAAATATATATTATATATGAGTTCAGCATGTGAAGCTTACCTTCCTCTGGCGGCTCACAAAACCGATCAATTGCTCTAATATCAGAGAGCTTAACCCCATCAACACTGAAAAGACCACCATGAACTATGAAAACCTTCTCATTTATTACGTGAGCCAAAGGTAAACAACAGAACACTTCGGCAAAGGCTTCCACAAATGTGTCACTCAACTTGGACCTGACCTCACCCTCAAAACCATATATCTTATTCATGCTCTTACTCTCGTGGTTTCCTCGGGAGAGATATATAGCTGAAAATTTTAGAAATAAGTTCACAAGGCACAATCAAAATTTGAATTGTAGGTTGCCAGCATAGGAGTGCACATAATCAGCACATTCTTGACAATCGTAGCTAGTTATTCTTAATTCATAGCAAATTGCATATAAGCAGAATACTTGCAAAACAGATATTATTCATAAAATCTTTATTTTCCCTCAAATTTGAGTAGTCTCACAACAAACAATCAAATGACAACATATAATGCAAAAAACAACACTCGTTAAAGCCATGACTGATACACAGTTATTAAGGAAAAGCAACTAATCGTGCTCAGCAATTAAAATTACATAATACACAAAAGACGAAGAAGAAGGAAAAGTACAAAATTACATAAAGAACAACATGTTCTCACATAAAACACCCATCATTATTGGTCGTAGGAGTTAAAAACTCATCAAGAAAACTAAAGCAGGGAAGATCAAAACAGCATGAACATAAGCAGGCTTACCTGACGGGGACATGCACTTAAATGCAAACAGTGTGAGTATGACCTCTAATGAAAAAGATCCCCTATCCACAAAGTCGCCATTAAACAGGTATGGATTGTCTTCTGAGGGAAGCCCATTGAGCTCAAAAATGTTTAAAAGATCATAATACTGCAACCAAATCAGAGAAAAAATAAATACAAAAGTAGAAGAATTACAAAAGAAATGACCAAGAATCAGCAACCTAACCACACGGCAGATGGAGACCAGAATGGATATTCATTTGAAATATTCAAACAGCAACAATGATCATACAATAAACATTGTTTCCTAAAGTAACTTACCTCGCAGGCCGGATTAGGATTTAAAAGAGTGAATGCAGGTTGCAGGCTTTGGGAATTTAAATTAGGTGGAATTTCACTGGTTATTTGTATTTGAAATTCTTGACAGCAAATAATTACAGGCTTTGGGATCTTATATTGAAGGGCAAATGTCAGGAAAAGCATTTGGGTTGACTAAGCTTAATATGGCATGTTTTGAGAATTAAAAAAGGTTGTCAAGGGGCTGCAACTAGTAACTTGTGAAAAGTAAAGTTGCATATTCTTTTATCATTATTATTGAGGTATGTGTTGCTAGGTTTCAATACTCTATTGCAGTTTACATATGCATAAAAAACTGAAGAAAATAAAAAAAGAAAATGTTACGTAGATTTCCCATGCTTCACCCTAGGCTAAGACAGAATCTCAAATTTCCTGAAGGCCAGCGCTCTTGAGTTAAATGAGTAAATAAATATTCATTGGTCTTTTCCCATTTCTACGAGAAATAGATTTCCAAAATAAGAATCATTGACAATTCAACCATTTCACACTTAGAAACACATACAACGACCTAATAACATGAATATACCTAAAATAAGAACCATATACCACTGCTACCACCCATGTCCGGTGAATCCAGAAATTACCATTATACCTTTGACAACTAAGATATAAAACATTACCAGAGTCAACCTAAAATGACATCAAAACAGTACTTGAATCAACCTAACACTTTATTACCCAAGGACTCAAGTAAGCCCTATATGAAATTCCAAAAACTCACACTTTCCCACCCGGTGCATGTTTAGCGTCAACAAGCCAATCTGCCCTCACATGTCCATGAAAGACATGTACCTTTGGTTTCATCCGCCTAAAACAATTTTGATTGTCAATGTACATGTTTAACTTGCTATCATAAGCACATATCTTCAACGCCCCAAACTAAATGGGCAAGCCGATATTACACAGCCACAACAAAGAAAAATTATAATGAAACCATAAATGAGGACCTAAAATAGTTATCATATGGCTCAAGAGCTAACAAAAGTTACATTGAAAAGCTATATTTTGCACTTGATCTAACACAATAAGGACTTCAGAGTAAAATAATTACCTGACCATGTACATCACCACAAACAGTGAAATGCTTTCCATCGGGAATATTTATATCAACAAGAGACGGCAATGCGCACAGCATTTCTCTTGTTTGTAAGACAATCTGGAAGGCATATCTATAACATGAACACAAATATTTAGAGAGAAAACAACAAAACAGTAACAAGTCAATAATCAGAACAATAACACCATTACTGTTGAATTTTATACATACCGTTTGTGTAAAAACTTCTGATTCCTAAAGTCATCCATCATTTTCTTCACAAAATTTAAAGTTACAAAATCTCCCTCTATTCTTGCACCATCATACTGTGGCTCCACCTCTATAGTTAAAAGGAACATAATTAATTTATAGGCAATAGAAGTAACTACTTATATTATCGCGTTTTATTTTCTCCTTTCCTTTTCCTTTTCCTTTTTCCTAAAATACAGGCAGCTTTTTTAATCAGCAACAAAAGTTTATCCATACTAATCTATAAAGGGAGAACACCAATTGGTGTTTCCCTTTTTTTGACATTATGTAAACTTTTTCCAATGACAAGTTTAGCCCAACAACACAAATCTGTTTTACCTGGTTTACCGGAGTTCTAGCTTTGCTGATTTTGAAGGGGGAAAAAGGAAAAACTCAATGTCCATGTTGTACACAAAATGTACAAAGAAAGTAAGCAAAATACAAGGGTTAATTTTTTTTTTTTTTTTTAAAGTAAAGGAAAAATCACAAGACAATTAATACCTATAGAATGGAAATCAATAGAATCAACTATTGAACGCCTTTCAGACTCAGGTACAGCAATTGCTTCTTCAAATTTGAGCTTCATTACAGCTTTCTCGCATTCCTTCAATTTCCTAGTAGCATCAAGATCATTTGGACAGATTTTCTTGACCTAGGTTAATGAGTGAAATATCCATTAGTACACTGCAAAAGGAATTTATGAGTACTTGCGTATATTTATTCCAAAAAGACAAAAGATGGACATCAGCAAATACATAAAGTGTCCATTTGTCAAAGAGCAGAAAAAACAAGTGAGAAAAAGATAGGGAGGATACTAAGGTTTGTTTTAGTTTCAAATTGCAGGGTGGCTAATGGTTGGATTAAATGAAAGGTTTTTCATGAACTGTGGCAGCATGCAGACAGAATTAAGGGTTTTGAATAAGGACAATTATTCTTGAAAACATCACAATCACCATAGAAAAGGTCTCTTGCTATAATAAGAAGATATTTAATGTTTCCTTTTCTTTTTCCGTTACACCAAGTGTTTCCGGCCTATTTTGAGTCCAAAGTAATCCCATCAGATGCAACAATCACCTGCAAACATTGCATTCCTTGCATTATTACTTATTACTCCTAGTTGTTTTAATAATTTCGATAATTCATGATGGTGAAGAAGATGAACAAAAAATCTACATGTCCTATCTAAGGTCCCATTCAGATGTATGATTTCACATTGCCACAGAATCATGTACAAGGCAAAATCATTTTTGACAAGTCCAAACATGAGAACAAAAAATAGTCAGATATTGGCAAAATATTAAGATAAAAGGACACTATACTCCTAAACATAGACATTATAAGTGGAAATTCTATTCTGACAACACAAGCAAGCGGTTTGATTCATTTGGAAACAAGTTTTACAAATAATACCATGAGGCTACGATTTACAATTATCTTGCAAGACAGACAAGAGACTCAACTAATTGAGCTTTTTGACAAATGTGACAAGTACAATTCACATTCAGACCAAAAAATTAGATAATTTTTTTGGCATTTAATTACTATGACCTATGTTTGTACAAGATAAATTAAACAAATATTTTTTCACAAAACAATCAAAGGGGTAAATTACACTGACACCCCTTGGATTCCTTTGAAAGATATGAGAGAGTGAGGGTAAAGAAAAAGAAAAATTAGTAAACAAAACTGAAGATTTTTGTTTTTTTTTTTAACAAAAAAGGATATTACAGTAATTTCATTATTTCAGTTAACCCTGTTATTGATAGGGGAGGTCAGTGGTATTTCAGAAAATAAGGATGACAATGTGATTTCAAACGAATCTAGGGGGTGTCTGTAATTTAACCTAATCAAAGATCTTATTGGTAATGAATACCTGCTGAAAATCCTTTAGGGCTTCTTTGAACTTGCCCATTGCAAGATGTGCTGCACCTCGCCTATAATAACCCTGTAATTAATAATGACAATTAAAAAGTAGATCTCAGAATTTTAAAAGCACAAGATCCACAAAAGTTTTAGATTGCAAAGCATGCCTTCGAATATTTGGGATCAACTTCAATAGCCCTTGATGCATCCTGTATTGCACTGCCATACTCCTCTAGTCTAGTGTGAGCAATTGCACGATTTGCCCAGTACACTGCATTTTCACTGTGTAGTTCAATTGCTTGAGTATACAGATCAATAGCTTGAGAATATTTATGTGCTGCAAGGGGAAAAATCAACATGGTCAGGACAGCTGAAGAAGTGAAAAGCAGCATCAAGAATATTGCTCTGCAGTGCTTGGTACAACTTTGACTCATTTTTTGGCAGAACAGCTTGATTGAAGGATACTAAGTGACTTAATTAATTAAACTAGACAAGCCTAATCATCGTTACCTTTGAACGCTTCATTAGCAAGAAGTTTGATTTCTTCAGCTCGCAAAACATTTGAATTTTCAGTTTCCATACTGGGCATAGTAGTTGTTTTCTACACGAAATCAGGCTGAATAAGTCAGAAGATAATTACTGCTCTTCCACGCCACTGTAAAAAAAATGCTCTACCTTCTCCATTGAAAGAATAAAACTCAAAAGTACCAAGAACATTGCAAGCATATGCAAACAAAGAGATTGGTTTTCGAAAATTCAAACATCAATAAATATTCTAGAGTATACCACAGAAGGTTTTTACTTTTCCACTTTCCTTCTTTTTTTGTTTGGTAGGAAAGTAAGAGATCAATGTGGCAGAAAACTAGCAAATGCATTCAGGGTATTTACCTTCTGAGAATGTTTTAATGCAATTAAAATGATCAATAAAGTTGAAAGGCATGAGACAAATGCAAAAGTCAACACCTTCCCACTCACACTTTGATAATGTGTACAAGGAAACCAATTTATGGAGATTTTTACTTTTCATCTTTCCTTCTTTTTTTGTTTGGTTGGAAAGCAAGACACCAATGTGGCAGAAACCTAAAAATGCATTGAGTTTATTTATCTTTGGGAATGTTTTAACGGAATTAAAATGATCAATAAAAATGATAGGCATGAGACAAACACAACAATCAACACCTTCCCATTTTGTGATGCTGTTCAAGGAAACCAATTTATGGAGACAAACCAAATCACTACCATGAAACTCCACTTCCATAGTAACTATACAATTTCCACTTGTACATTAAATAGATACAGATGTACAGACTCCCTCTTTCAACTTCAAAGGCAGAAAACCATAGACAAACTCGGGTTGATCAAAGGTTATGAAGGGAGATCAGATAAGAAGTTAGTGACATGGTCTCAAATTCAAAGAAACTACAGTCTTATATTTTGAAAGCCAAAAGATGATAAGTTTCTCATGTGTAGCTTCAGCATTTATTGCAAAAGGACACATAAATAATTAAATAAGACACACCCTGATTATGAAGACTTCCCATGGGTCACTATGGAAGCTAGTGCCTCCAAAAGTGAATTAGCATCAACTGCTATTAAAATCCACCTACTCTCCACCACCTACTTCACCCACTTAAACCTACTCCACTAAACCTAACCCACTACACCACTACCATCTCACCTACTCCACTAAACCTAACCCACTACACCACTACCACCTCCACTTCACCTACTCCTTACCTACTACACACTCACCCTCTTCTATATATAGGAATCATGAATCATTGTAATAGATCAATAAACATCAATCAATAATACATAAATTTTTACAACTGCCTATCTATCCATGGACATAACCTAACATGTGCACAGAAGACAAGATTTTAGAGTGGGACCGGAATGAGGGGAAAAAACAAATAAATAATAAGAGTGAACAGCTCCCACAAAAAACTAAAGGTTAATAGTTGAAGGATAATTTGTTGAACTTGACTCATAAAATTAAGATCTATCACTCGTTTGATTGTTGGATTTTTTTTTTTTTATAGAATTGGATGCGAATGGGAATATCGATAGGATTATCAAGCGAAAGGATGAGCTAAAAGATTAGATATGTGATGGGATTATGAATTCAATTATGAAGGATAAGTTACACCATTAGATAAAGGAATTAAATAAAGGATTGGATAGAGAAAGTGAGGATTACTTGTAGCCTGTTTGGTTAGGATGAAATAAGAAAGCATAATTATTTTTAACTGTCGAATGAAGGAGAGAAATATTCCGAAGAAGTCTCATCCCCAAATAACACACTTCCTATGGTATTACAAAATCCATCATTTTTTCCCATTTAATCCCCTATACCATTATTAAAGTTATCCGGAGGGAAATAGTCCGATGCACCAAACACCATACTAAAAAATGTGGGGCCCAGCTGTCCCCGATCCCTTATTCCCCTCCTTAATACCGCAAAAACCAAACACTGGACTTTTTTTTAGGTGAGGCCCGACTATCGCCCCTTACCCATATTCCCCATTTAATCGGAACATCAATTGTTGTTACGTGAATTAATCCTGAAATTATCCAAAGGAATGTTTGTGCAACCAATGTAAACCCAATAACTCCATTGTCTATTACAGACCATTTCATATAAATTCATCCACCAAAATTGACTCTTGCATCAAATACACAAACCAGTGCTATGGATGCCAACTTACAATATGATCATTTTAAAAATAAAAAGAACATATAATTTAAACGTTACGTGTCTTTTCTACTGTAACAATTGCACCATAAAGAGTATTTTCTTTTGGATAGGGACCATTAATCCCAAGAAGCACAAAAACATCTAAAAAGGTGCTAAACCTATGTTGGACATATGTCCAGATGTGTCCTGTTATTTTTTTTTTTTTTAACTAGATGGATACACACTTCTGACAAACATGTGTTCATCATGTAGAGACACGTGCCTCCCTCCTTTAGACTTTATAATTTTAAGAATTGTAAAACCCCAAAACCTCTAATTTCTTTATAAGTAGAGCTTTCTAAAAAAGATATTATAACATTTTTTAGCACACTTCTTTTTTTTTTGGGTAAGTCGCACACTTCTTTTCCAATATGTATTTACATTTAGTTCAATATAAATACACATATAAATACATGAATTTCAACCATTGATGCCTTCTACTACAAATGATCAATTTATTAGCATCAAAACATGCTCCATTCAGATCCAAATGAGAAGTACACAATACCAAAATGAAAATAAAAAATCACAGATACCTGTATTCTACATAGCCTCTGTTTAGGCACAATGTTACAAGTACTTAAGATCAAATGTTGCTCTATTAATACATAAAGCAAGTTAAGAAATTCCATAATGACAACAAAAAGCACCTAATATAGCACTAATTATAGAAGGTAAAAACTTTGCCAAACAAAATTACATGGTCCAACTAAGACATGCCTGAAACAAGAATTATTGACATTTAAACTCAATTTGTTTCAACGTAAAATTTTTATATTGAAAAATATATTCCATGAAAATTTATTTACATCAACGAGTTAATGTTTTCCCTCACTTTACCATGCTTAGCTAAACCGGTGAGATTGTTTTCTGGAAAAATTCCCAATTGTTTTTGTGAATATATTTTCATGTAAAAAACTTATATTCATGATCAATGTTATAATCTTTTAAACCAAAATTAAACCAAGATTTATATAACCATGTAGTAATAATACCTTCAAACTCTCAAAATGCATAAGAACACAAACGAACCATCCAAGTTTGTGTGCTCGTACATGGTCTAGCAAACCAGGATTACAAGGTACATTTCTACATCGGTAGTCATTGCATTTGAGAAGGATAGTCTAACATGGATAACAGCAATGAGAATAAAGCAATACATTAAACAACTCAAAGAATACATTAAACAACTTAAAGAATTGAACACAATACAAAAACCTACAAAATAAAGCAACCAGCCTCAAACCCAATTCTAGAAACACTTCATAGAACTACAAAAACCTAGTTTTTAGCTTAAATTCTTCCGAATTGATTGCTCAAAATTCCAAAAATCTTAAAAGAAAGGCTCTTTATTTGACTAAATTGTATTAAACAACTAACATATAAACGAAGAAGGAAGCAGCAATCGGTCAAATAAACAAACCACAATGATCACCAAGCGATTCAAACGCGAAGAACTGAGGAAAATACAAGTAAATCCTATCCAAAACGAAGTCAAAACAAACAACCCACAAAGCTGAACAATCAGATGAATTGTGGGTTTGGCAGGGATATGAGAAAAGTGGAGAGTAAAAGATAGAAAGTACCTAGTGATTCGACTATTGCATTTGATGTGATTCGTCGCTTTTTGCAGAACTGAGAGAGAGAGAGAGAGAGAGAGAGAGATGGAGGGCAACCCTAGTTCAGAGAGAGTATGTGCTTCTATATATGTACGTACGTCTCTAGTTTATGTGCGTGTATGTTGCTCTTTGTGGTTTTCGTGAACAAAAACTTAAGAAGAGTCTAGAGAGAAATAATATGTGATTTTTAGTTTTTTTAGTTTTTTTTTTTTTTTTTATGAACAATAGAAGACACAAAACATTTTTGACTTTATTTATAATTTTATTCTGTGTAAAATGTTAATAAAATATATCTATATTTTACTTAATTTTACACACATTTTATCTTCTTTTTTTTCCAAATTTCTTTTTAAATCTTCTAACTAAATACCGCGTTAGAAGAAAATAACATGTTTTTTTGGGTGAATAGGGAAATAACATGTTACATTATAAATGAAATAAATATGTGATTTTTATTTTTTTTGGTTTTTTTTATATTTTTTTTATGAAAAATGGAAGACACAAAATATTTTTGACTTTATTGATAATTTTATATCGTGTTTGATTAGAAAATTTAGAAAGAAATTTAAAAAGAGAAAGAAAAAAGATAGATAATAAAATGTGAATAAAGTATATCTATATTTTACCTAGTTTTACACATTTTTTTTTTCTAAATCTATTTTCAAATCTTCTAACCAAATACAATTTTAGAAGAAAATAACATGTTTTTTGGGTGAATAGAGAAATAACATGTTACATTATAAATAAATTTTTTTTAATAAAAAAACTCCTAGACATTATATGACTTACACCTTTTACTCTCTAACTTATTTGAATATTTTCCTAATTTTTAAGTGAACATGTGTGCGTTTTGTTTTTTGTTTTTAAGATTAAATCTTTTTTTGTTGAAAGTATATCTATTTGTCTATTTGTTCAAATATATTATATTTGTCAAAATATCAGCTATTTGTCCAAAGTTACTTATTTGTATACATGTCATATTTTTATTCACCTATTTGTTTAATATCACTTATTTGTCCGCCCAATAACTTTTCTAGTACTAAAACTTTTTTCCAACGACTTTCAACATGTGTCTTTATTACTTAAAAAATATTAAACATTAGACCAAATAATATATGACTATAAATTTAGATTTTTCACCAATTAACCTTTTTTTTTTTCTTCTACAAACTCATTCACATAAAACTTGGATGTAAATTATAATGTTATTTTCATTAAGGATTTTCTTTTATTTTTGTATATAACTCTACGTTGATATTTAATATATATATATATATATATATATAGAAAAATGCTTCACTAGGAGGAGCACTAATGATGTGGTAGTGGACCCCGCCTACTTTCTATGCCCTGTTTTTTTTTTTTGTCATTCCCAATGCATTAGTGCTATTAGTGATGTATTTTTTAGTGGTCTAAATCATTGTTGATATATATATATATATATATGTAAAAAATAATTTTAAGGCTAATTTTATTGTTTTGTTTTTTATTCTATAAAAATTGTAACCTATTTTGAAATCAATCTAATAAAAAAATATATACTGATACATTATGTAAAATTTTAAATTGGAAAAATGAATTGAAATCAAACATTTTTTTTATAAATGAATTCATCTATAATAGAGATAGAGATAGAGATAGAGATAGAGATAGGTTAGTTTTATAAAATTTAACTTGTGAAGGAAAATTTTAATATTATCATACGTTTGGCATTTTTAAGCAAAGGAAAAAATAATTGACAATACACATTAATACAATACAAACCAAACACAAATCATAAATAATATGAACAAATAAATTAGATTGATTCATGCACAAATCCAAAATGATACCCCATAAATGCGACCAATATGACACAATACCACCATTTGGAACTCATAGTGTAAGACAGAGCTGCATAGATGTCAAAAGAAAATTTTAAAAAATAAAGATAAAATAAAATGTCTTGTGTCCCAAATGTTTACATAAATCAGTTTCACAAATCAAAGTTAATTTTATTTACATCATCACAATAGCACAAACTATGCACAATGAAAACACATTTGGTGTCAAATCCCTCCACATCATTTTTAAATTTGGGTATAAATATAAGCCCATACAAATTAGTTAAAGTGAAAAAACATGAAGTAGTCTAGAGGACATATTACTTAATCTCCTTACTTTTCTTTGCTTCCTTTTCTGCCTGCAAACAACAACAAAAACGAAATCATAAGAAAATTATACATCATTTATTGTACACATTTTCATGTCGAGTGTATAACATTTTTAAATTTCTTAACGTATACTATAAAGGCGTACCATAGTAACATTATTTTTATTAATTATTATTTTTTTTTATGAACTCGACATGGCTTTTTAAATGAAGAGGGCTTCTCCTTTTTGATGGCTTAGGTTTGGTTGTTGATCAAACTCTCAGGCCCAAGCCTTATCCAACAGACTTGGCCTAGATGCCTCGTAAACTAGATCGACAGACCTCTTCTCACGGGCTAACTCGAGAGCCGAGCCCAATCGTTCAAAATTTAGGCCTATAATTTTTGGATTTTTTTTCTTTCAATTTTTATTTATTTTTTCATATTTTACGTAAAGCTTGCAAGATGAGCTGCCTTTCATGAGCCGAATTCAAACCATAGTCCCAAGGCGTGCCTTCATTTAGGCCAGGCCAAGCCTGTAAGGGTATGTGCTTGGGCCAAGTAAAAGCCTAGAGGGCAGGTCTAGGTTGGACCAAGGGTCTTCAGATCAAATGATAATCATTATGTTTACACACGTATCAGTTTTACCACGAGCAAACAAATCAAATACAAAAAGAAACATAAAAATACACTTGCACGAACAATATTTTATAAAATTTGTTGATAGAATCTACTTCTGAAAAAAAAAATTGCCTATTTATATATATTGGAAGCCCAGTTCCGTAATTGATTTATGCATTCTTAAATTGAGATATTATTTAATGAATTTTAGTAGTACTAATACTTACAGCTTTGATGACTCGATCAAAAGCATCAGGTCCATAATTTTCAATGAATCTCTCAACAGGTTTCCTAGCATCAAGGCTGAGCATCTGAAGAGCCTTCCTTTGACCTTCTGGAATAGAAGAGCTCACATGGTCTCCAACTTTTATGTACTTTCTCACAAAGTTGGCATAGATGTAAGCTGCCCCATTGAAGATTGGAAGTACCAACCACATGCAGAACACCAGCTTCATGTATGGCCAAAATGGAAACCTACAATATGGAGAAATTCATGACTGTTTGGTGGTGTTTTCCTTTTTTGTTTTTATTTTTGGAAAACCTTTCCAAAATAACTAACACTTTTTAAGAAGGATTGAGCTTCTCTTCAATTGAGTTTTCCAATAGAAGAGTGATGTTGGGCCTACCATAAGACTCATTTTGATAATCTAAACTATTCATCTTAGAGCATCTCCACCTAGACTTTCAAAAATTTATATGTTAATTTTTTTTGAAGGCTTAAGGTGGCAAATTAGCATATGTAAATTTGATATGGAAGTTATCCACTCGATATGTCAAATTTATCATTCAATTATTTTTTAAATTTGAACTCTTTTATTTCACATGGAATCTCTTTTATTTCAAAAAAGGATATGAAGTAGGAACATGTCAAAATTGGCATGAAGGGGTGACGTCAAATACCATATCAGCTTTTGACACACCGGGTAGAGTCGATAATTGATACCAAAATATGGCGGTTGGAGCGCCACATCATATTTGAAGTATCGGGTGGAGGTGCACTTATAGAGTATTTAGAGTGGATCATTCATACAAAAAATCAGATTGTCTTAAAAAAATGAATAGTTTAATCTCAAAATTATATTTGCTATTCATTTTTTAAGAGAAATTTGATCCGATCTTATGAATTTAATTGTGATATTAATATGACATTTGTTTTTTTGTGTGTACAATTGATCAACTCAAAAGATCAAATAAATGAACAATTTGAATCATTAATTTTACACAAAAATAAAATGACTTGAAATCGATAGTGTTTCAAGTTTTTCATTGTTTTATTTTCAAAAAATGATTACAAAAAGAAAAAGAAGAGAGAAATATTACCATTGGAGGACTTTCCCAAAAGAGAGCTCGAAGAGAGTGATGAGGGAATACAAGACCCAATAGGTCAGCCATTGTTGATCATCTAGGGTTGATGGGCTCTCTATGGCTCGCATTGATGCATATCTGTTAGATATTCATTCATTTAGATATATAACCATAATTAATTTACTTATTAATTTTTTTTTTTTTCATTTTCTTTTTTCCCTAATAATCCTTTTTCTTCATAGTAAAAATAATGGAAGATTTTCGACTTACAAGGGAAAAAGAAGCATCACTCCTGGCCTGGCTTACAACCAAAAATCATAGCAGTTAGAATTGAAATGTTTACAACATGTTACATGATTAAAGAAAGGACTAGTTACAAAATTGAAAATTTTAGGTCAAAATAACATGAATTGCGTATTTTAAAGATCAAAATTATAATTATTAATAATTTTTTTGTTAGGGTGTAATAAATTTCTTTCAAAACTACCCTTCATGCTTTCTATAAATATTGACGCCATCAATTATGGGGACTGATTTAATACTTCAAAAATGAAATTAATATAATTAAAATAATATTGAGAACCAAAACAATACAAAATAGATAATTTAAGGACAAATAATTGTAATTAAACCTTAGTAAAATGGCTTCAAGATGTGAAAAGTTTTGGAACTGAAACGTTGAGGCAACAAATATGAGCTATAACCAAAAGTATGTCAAATATGAAACTCATGAGCTTGAATGCAAAAATGTTTTGGAATACAAAACCGATCACAGAGCTAAACACAATCTTTTCACATGAAATGTATCTCACTCTTTTATGAATCCGACACCAATGTAACAAGGTTATGTTCAATTCCTTGATCAATTTATGTGCAAGTATAAGAATTGCATCGATGCAAATAGATATACATTTTTTTATGAAAATTAAATGGTACCCGATGATTGCATCCAAATGCCTTGCAATTGCTCCAATGACACCCATGTCTACCTTTTTTTCCCTCTCTGGTGGATAAATGAATAGAAATTATTGTGAGATGATGATGGGGAATTGTATGAGAAATGTTAGCTAGGTTTTAATAGAGAGGTTGATGATGATCTCAAAATGAAGTAAAGCATATATTTTTGAGAACCCAAAGTCTTCTTTTCTCCAACTACAAGAAAGATGAGAAAATGAGATGACTCAAACAAGGAATAGTGGAAGAATTGGAAAAGTGTACTTTGGCTTGGCCTTTGAATCTTCTTCCCTGTTCCTCCCAAGACTAGTACAAGCATTTTATTTTTTTTTAGTCAACTTTTTAAAAAATATTATTAAAATTTTTTTTTTTGGCCTTTTAAGTTTGTGCAAACTAGATGGTCCTAAAAATTAAACAATTTATTAAAAAAAACACAATCATTTTAAGTATTCTACAATATATGTCGAGGTCATATAACAAATTTTCATCCATTTACATAATGAAAATTTTATATTGATACAAATTGATAGTTCAATTCAAAGTGAAAAAAATTGACATTTTTTAATAATATTGAGTGATACTTCTCTTTTTTCTTCTACAAATTTTAGAGTTTTTGTAATGACAAGTCATTAATTAATTAAAAGGGAAAAAGAATACAAAGTAGTTTAACCAACTCAACAAAATTAGAGGAACCACCACCACCAAGTGAAATCCCATGAGCTGCAACAACAGTTACAAGTTGCTTTGCAATCCCCACAGATGCTTTCTTTGTGAAGCTAAAATCATCAGCCTCAATGTTGTCTAAGATTTGCCTATTTAGTAATGTGACTAACCAAATTAACCACCTATCATCTGAGTTCAACTCAGCAATGAGTTTCTCACCCTCATCTGAGTACATCCTTGCTCTCTTTATTTGTCCCCTCATGAAATTCCGCCACTCGTCGGTCACTTTTCCCCTGTTTATGTTGTCGTCTGATAGGCCGGCATGTGCCAGCTCATCTTGTGGTAGATATATTCTTCCCATCCTTGCACTTGTTCAAAGCAATCGAACATATAATCAAATACATAATAAACATGAATGAATAAGATTTTACAGAATTTGTTAGTAGCTTTAAAAAATATTATATGAGTTTTGACTATTCACAATTGGTTTTTCAAACAAATGAATGGGTTTTGACTATTCACAATTGACTTTTCAAAAACAATGAATGAGTTTTGACTATTCACAATTGGCTTTTCAAGCAAATGAATAGATTTTGATTATTTACAATTGACCTTTCAAAAACAATGAATGGGTTTTGACTGCCTTTCGAAGAAATGAATTGGCTCTTCAAAAATTGACTATTCTTATTCATTATTTGACCAATTTTTAAAAAATATTATAACTCTTTAAAAAATATTATATATTCTCGTATAAAGTGAATCTCATTTTATGTGAGGGAAGCGTGTCTGATTCTGTGATCGGATTCTGTACACGTGAGAAAGAACTGTTCAAACATATGAAAGAAACTTACTCTTCTCCGATGTCTCGGAGTATGTCAGTGAGTTGGGTAGCAATGGCAAAGGATAAAGCAGAATGATAAACACTCTCAGGTGAGGCCTTCGAATCTGGTGAAGTTCCCATGAGTTGAACACCCATTAGTGCCACAGTACCAGCAACATGATAGGAGTAGAGATATAGCTCATCAAAGTTCTCATATCTTGATTTCTTCAAGTCCATCCTCATTCCTTCTATGAAGTCCTTGAATAGCTGCCCCAAAAACACAATAATTTATTTCAAAACCATATAATTCAATCACAAAAATATACATAGAAGGTCAAGGATTCTCTGTTTCCAATTTTTTTTTTTTTTAATTTCCAAAAACATTTAGTCATTAAATTAAGTTTCAAAATTCTCACACCTCGAGATAGAAAATTTAGGCAAAGTTACACTAGACCCTTTTAGCTGCTCATTGTATCTAGTTCATTCCAGTACTTCAATTTTTCACATGAGGTACAATTTGATCCAATTCATAATAGTCATGAAGAACTGAATTAGAAATTAAGTGAAAAATAATTCATTTACCATTTCTCCTCCCAATCCATCTATTAATTAGTGTACCTGAATGTCAATAGGGTAATTAGTGATGGTGTGAAAAAGAGCAGCATCATAGAGATCAGAAGGGCGACCATGGAAAAGATCAAACAACCTTTGTTCCCATTTGTCAAGAACCTCCGGTGTGGTGCTCCAACCATTAATTCCGTCAACAAGCTCGTCTGTCCTTCTACACCACACTGTGCTAGATTTATTGTTCATGTAATTCAATAGTACTCATCCACAAATCAACAAATGTATTGCATTATTATCATGGTTATGATTTTAAACTGAGAACATGTAATGATATTTAATAAAAATAAAAAAACAAATAAAGATAAAAGCAAATGTACCAGCTAATGCCGCAAAAGCTTTATTCCGGTCTGGTTTCCATAGGATTGATGATACTGCAATGAGAGAAAGAGAGAGAAACAGTTCTTATTTTAAAAGGGATTTACTTCTATCAAACTTGAGTGAGTCTGTTTTGATGATCTGAAGCGTTTAGATATTAAGCTTACCAATTTGAATGAGGAAAGAGAGAGCAGAGGTGGAGGGAGAATCCAGGGAGGTGGTTAGTAAAAAAGAAGAAGCGTCCTTGGTGGCCATCTCAACACAGCGATCATAAGCTTCATTTAGATCCCAACTGCTCATCATCATTCCATTATAATAACCTCTCTCTCTAACGCGTCGTTTCACCAGAGCTGCTTGCTTCTGCACTTTTTGCTTGACTTCCTCTTGTGCAGCTGCTGCTACTGCTGATGATGACGGTGATGATCTCAACCCATTTGCCAAACTCGACCTACAATGCAATTTGACCGTTCTTTTATTCCCATTTTTGGCCCCCAACTTCAACAGCAAAGCATTCCCTATTGGAAAAGCCACACCAATAACAATAACACTAGACATCTCAAAATATAACTCAGACAATTTGTCTCCTCTCTGCCTCTTGTTTCTATCAGTAGAGGAGATTTGTAGCAAATGATATTGTCATATATATAAACTATACAATCAGTTTTTTTTTTTTTTAAATAAATAATAATAATAAAACTCATGTCGTGTTATTTTAGATGTATTTTTTTAAATCTAAATAATTTTAAACTTGGTAGTTTTAAAAGTATGTGCCACCACCATGGTCTACATTGATGAGCCTGCCTTGGATTGGATTGGATTGGACGGAGCTTTCTTGCAAGAGGAATGAGTTCCACATGGTTTACCACAAGGTTGCGTTGCTTAAAGGTTGTATATATGTTGGAATAAAATCAATTAAAAGAATATGTATATCCCATTTTGGCTGCAATCCCCAAGCAACCACCCAATTCGGTGCAAATATCACTTTTGTTTGGCGCAAATATATAAATCCAAGTGCAATGTGTACTTGGTACAAGTGCAACCTATATGTTACAAATTGTACTTGCACCAAATTGTGTTTCATAGCAGTGAGGATTGAGGGCTTTGGGTCACAACATGGTGAATTTGGAGAGGTGTTTGGTGGCTAGTTTCGGGTGAAGGGGTTTTTGTTGGGTGGGGGGGGGCTAAGAGATTGAAGAGCGACAAAAGTAGTTGGGGAGGGTGGTGGCGATAGTAGTCATGGTTGGAAAAGGGTATAGGGTGATGCATAAGAGTAGTAATGGTGATGACAATGGTAATGAGGACAATCAAGAAGATGGAGTGGGAAAGTGATTTGGGGTAGTGGGGGCGGAGGAGTTGTAGAGGGAGAGGACGAGAAAAGTAAAAAATAACTTTTTGGTCTAAAAAAAATTGCTCACAAAAAGAGATTCCATGTTTTAGTAATTTTTTTTTTTCTAAAAAAATCATATTCCATGCAATTATTTTTGTTTCTCCCGTTATTTTGTATTTTTTTAATTCTTAACATTTCTATATAATTTTTCGCTACGCAAAAAACAAGAAAAATTGGAGCTTTCTTTGCTCTCAAAGTTATTAAAAAGCATTTTTTATAAATTTAAAAAAAAAATGTTAAAACGAACAAATTTCATTAAAAAAATTATAAAACAAAACAATCAATAAAATCAATCAGTATATTTGGTTTCAATTTTTTGAAATTTAAATTTTTATTTTTCATGTTTTTTTTTATTTTTAGTGAATATTTTTAAAATTTCAAACATTTTTTTTTTACTTTTTTAGATGCATATTATTTAGATGTATCTAAATAGTAAAATATTTTGAAAAATTAATAAACACTCAAGAATACGAAAAATGTATTTAATTTTCATAATTTTTTTAATATTTTTGGTATTTAGTTAATTTTTTTAAAATTTTTTAAAAATATTGAGTGTGTTTAGTTTGTGTTTTGAGATAAATTTTGAAAAAAAAAATTGGGAAGAGAGTTTAGAAATTTTTTTAGTTTGTTTGGTTGTATATTTTGAAAATTGTTTTGGAGTTTAGATGATTTGATATTTTGTTATAATTGAGTAGATATATGTGAGAGAAAAAGTGATTGAGAATGAGAGATGAGAGAAAAAAAAGTAATTGATTGATGTGTATGAGAGAAAAAGTGATTTTGAAAAATTTTTCAAAAAAATTTGAACCAATTTCTCAAAAATTATGGCCTTGTTTGGTTTGACTTTGGGAGATAAGTTTTCAAAAAATATTTTGGGAAGAGAATTTAAAAATTTTTGTAATTTGTTTGGTTGTATATTTTGAAAATAGTTTTAGAGTTTGAGAGTTTAGGATGATTTGATATTTTGTTGTAATTGAGTAGATGTATGTGAGAGAAAAAGTGATTGAAAAGGAGAGGAGAGAGAGAAAAAATGATTGATTGATGTGTAGAAGAGAGAAAGTGATTTTGGAAGTTTTTTAAGAAAAATTACAAACCAAACAAAATTTTCTCCAAAATCTTTTTTCCAGAGCCAAACCAAATCCATTATATTTTTTAAGTGTATTTATGTTAAGTGTGTCTAAAAATTAAAAAAATTACTGAAAATATTAAAAAAATAGTGAAAACAAAAAAAAAAATGAAAAACGAAAAAATAAAAGGTGTGTTTGGTTTGGTTTTGAGAGATAAATTTTCAAAAATGATTTTGGGAGAGAGTTTAAATTTTCTGTTGATTTGTTTGATTGTATATTTTAAAAATAGTTTTGGAGTATGGGAGTTTAAGATGATTGGGCTATTTTGGGAACTTGGCTAAAAGTCACTTTTTTTGGTTAGTAGCAAAAGCCAAAAGTTGACTTTTTTGGCTTTTTTTTCATTTGGCAAGTTGGTTTTTAGCCAACGGTGCAATTACAATTTTACCCCTCATGGGTCACAATGTGTTACATAGGTTCAGTTGTAAATATTTTAAATAAATGGGGGTAGTTTAGTCATTTTATTATGATTTGACATCATAAACAAATATTAATCAAAAAAGTCAAAAGTCACTTTTTAACAACTTCCCAAATCATTTGTCTAAAAAAAATCAAAAGTTTAGTTAAAAGCTAAAAAGTCACTTTTTACCATCTTTTCAAGATTTGTAACATTTCTTAATACCATAGAATTATCTAGCTTGAATTCTCTAGCTTCAATGAAACCCAAAAAATATATATATATATATATATATTAAAAAGGAAAATTTACCAATAAATCCCATTTCATAAACTATTAAACCAATTAGTCCCAACTTTATTCTTTTGTTCGGATAAGTCCTATCAGTGGGGAAGTTTATTTCTTGTTAATCCTATTTTTCATATTTAGTGTAACTGTGTGGACGATTTTACCCATTATTGTTTTGTTTCCCTATACTGTTGGTGCACCCTCACTTCACCATCACTTCACCATCTCAACACTGAACATCATCGCCAAACTCTCTCTCCCTCTCCTCCTTTTCCTCTTCATCTTCTTAGGAGTCCCTCTCCTCTGTCCACCGCATCTCCTCTAACGACGGCACTCCTCAGTTCACTGCCTCCTCCTCACCTACTTCAAGATCCACCACCAGAACCATTGCCCCTCTCTCTCTCAGATCGTGAAACCCTAGGCGGCGATCCATCCATCGCACTATTAGGTCCTACTCCGTAACCGCCTCTGTTACTCCTCCTCCCTTGCCGTTGTCGGAGACGAGGATTGGCGATGGAGGAGATGAATCGAGATCGGAACACGAGGTTGTGATCGATTTACGCGCGGATTTGAAGGGAATTTTGAGATTGAATGCTTGTGTGTAGGGTTTTGAATAAGATTGCTTCGTAATGGTGGAGTTTGAAGCGTGTAATCGAGTGTATATAGGTCTGTGTGTATGTATATATATATATATCTATTGTGTGTGTGTGTCTGCCCCTCGTAATGCTTGTGTGTATCTGTGTGTGTGTGTGTGTATCTCTCTGTGTGTGTGTATGTATCTGTGTGTGTGTATGTATCTGTGTGTGTGTATCTGTGTATTTGTGAGCAACGGTTAGATGAGGGTAATTACGTCCCTCACAATTAAATGGGACTAAACAGTTTACTAGAATAAAAATGGGACCAATTGGTTCATAAGTTTACATTTTGGGATTTATTGGTAAATCTCCCTAGGATTTAATGGAATAACTTTTCTCCAAATGTGATTTATGAATAATTTCTCCAATAATTAAATGTATAATGTTATTCAAAATTGTAACTGAGATGATTTGATATTTTGTTGTAATTGAGTAGATGTATGTGAGAGAAAAAGTGATTGAAAAGGAGAGGAGAGAGAGAAAAAATGATTGATTAATGTGTAGAAGAGAAAAAGTGATTTTGGAAGTTTTTTAAGAAAAATTACAAACCAAACAAAATTTTCTCCAAAATCTTTTTTCCAAAGCCAAACCAAATCCATTATATTTTTTAAGTGTATTTATGTTAAGTGTGTCTAAAAATTAAAAAAATTACTTAAAATATTAAAAAAATAGTGAAAACAAAAAAAAAATGAAAAACGAAAAAATGAAGGGTGTGTTTGGTTTGGTTTTAAGAGATAAATTTTCAAAAATGATTTTGGGGAGAGAGTTTAAATTTTTTTTTTGGTTTGTTTGATTGCATATTTTAAAAATAATTTTGGAGTATGGGAGTTTAAGATGATTTGATGTAATTAAGTGATATGTATAAGAGAAAAAGTGATTGAGAAAGAGAGAGGAGAGAAAAAAAATAATTAATTAATACATAGAAAAGAGAAAGTGATTTTGAAAATATCTTTTCAAAATCACTAAACCAAATAAAATTTTGAAAAATTTTATCCAAAATTTGTTTATCAAAAATAAATCATTTTAAGACTAAAATTTTTTAAAAAATGAATTCTGAAAATAGAAACCAAACTGAGTGAATAATTTTTTTTTTCATTTTAGGAAATAAAATCAAACTTTTACTAAATATTTGCCAAACCACCCAACATTTTCCTTTTCCTCTCTCCAAACACACCCAATCCAAACTAACCCTAATGGACATTCATATAAAAAGTGGTTGTTTCTTCTTTTATCTATCTCTGTGATTGGTTTTTATTCATCCCTACTTTTCCAGAAACTGTCTCCTCTTCGTTTCCAAGAAAATCGCATTCGGTTCTCTGCCACAATACGATCAAATCACTCACTAGTTTCCGAAACCCTGTTTGGTTCTCGAGAAAAAGGTGACTACCAGCAGAAAACTGGAACTCGTAATTTTTTGAGATCCAATTTCTCGGCAACCAAACAGTACGTGAACTGAATTTCTTCTTCTGTTTTTTTGTAGGATTGACAATGGCCGATGAGATTGTGATCAACGGAGGCGATGATCGGAGGGAGGAGATCGTCGGGAGCGAAGAGGATTTCGTGGATTTTGACGAGAGCGAATCTAAAGCTTCGGGTTTGATGCAGAGGATCGAAGCACTCGAAGTGGAGAAGCGAAAATTGGTGAGAGAGAACGAAGAGGAGAGAGAGAGGGTGAAGAATCTGAAGAAAGAGATCGAAGGGTTAGAAGGTGTTGTGGCCGAGTTGAAGACAGACAATAAGGGTTTGGAATCGGTCGCTGCTAGGGCTTCCCAACTCGAAATCGAGGTCTCGAGAATGCAACACGATCTAATCTCGTCGATGTCTGAAGGAGAAGAAGCGAACAAAGAGGTATCTGAGTTGAAGAGAGTGGTTGAAGAGTTGAAACGAAGCATTTCTGAGAAGGGTTTGAAAGTGGAAGTGCTTGAGAAAGAGAGGAATTTGCTATTGGAAAAGATGGATAAAGATGCTGAGGGAGTGCAGGAAGCGAAGGCGGTGACGGAGAGCAGAGTTCGCGAGCTGGAGAAGAAAATCGAGGCGTTGGAGGGGAGAGAAAGTAGCGAAAAGGGGGAGAGAATTAAAGTGGAGCAAGAGGCGAGAGCGAAGATTGATGAGAAGGAAGGAGAAATAAGGCAATTGAAGAAATGGGTTGAGGATTTGGATTCTGTGGTGGTGAAGAATGGGTTGGAGATGGAAAAGATGAAGAAAGAAAGAGAAGAGATTGAAATTGTGAAGAATGAATTGGAAGGTCTTCTGAAGAAATCAGAGAGGAAGGGTAAGGAGATGGAAAATAAGATGGCTCAACTTCACAAGGAATTGGAAGCATCTGAGCAGATGATTATTGGGTTGAAAGAGAAGACTCTCAATGATCTTAATGGCAAGGCAATCATTGGAGACGATGAGATGGGATCGAATGGTTTGAAGCAGCTCTGGCCAGTGGTTGCAGGGTCGACAGGAACAATTGCAGCCATAGCAGTCATATACTATCTACGTTGTGCCATGCGAAGGTGATCAGTGAACCTGACGAGAGTTACAGGTTAGAAAATTTTTGCTTTTCCAAGCATGGTTATGTTTAAATTTTGCTAGGCTATGTTGTTAAGCCTTTAAATCGATAATTACTAAAGATTTGGGAGTTTTTGTGTTGTTGGCTAATGGGCTAGCTAGTAGTATTGAGGTGAACCTTATGCTGGCAATCTAATTGTTCTTTGATTCGGCTCACTGTTGCTTGGTAGAATATATATTTGTGATTGTTGTATGGATATGATGTTCTGTAGTTATATGTGCTTATGGCCCAACAATTCTTTTTTGAATTGCTGACACCTTATATATATGATTCTTTGTTAATTCTTCGGTGTTTCTTCTGTAAGCACTCGGTTCGTGCGCTGTTGTTGCGTGGCTTCATTGCATATTATTTCATTTTCTATGAGAACTTGTTTTGTGAGGTCATTTGATCTGTACGGTGAGGCTTTTCCCCCTTTCATGCTATTGCAAGGGTACTTGGTGACTTTTGAGGGGAAAAAAAAGTACCAAGTCCACTCTTTGTTGTTTTCAAGTTCAGGATGGTAATCGTGGAAATTATCTTATGAATTTGTGTAACCTTTGGATTGGTTGAATTTAGATACCAAATGTTGTAGAACAATGGCTGGCCTCCTCATTAGCCAAGTGATTACCGGTTGCTTTCTCAACCTTGATGTTCAAGGGCTAAAGTCCCATTGTCGTTTGGCTAACTGAAAAGTAAATAAATTCTTAAAAATGGTACGTCATAGAATGCACATGCATTATAGCTTTCGGATCATGCATGGGAACCCACTAAAAAGAAAATATTTTGGTGTTTTTTTGGCTATGTTATGTTTTACAGTTTTGTTCTTTGTTCAATTTCTTGTGCCAGAGAAGCCTGAGGCCTTTCCCAACATAGTCCAAGAATTACTTGCATCATGCACCTATGTTTTTCACATATATGAATCTTGGGGGAAATGATTATTTTTAAAAAAAAAAAAAAATCTGGGGTTGTGGCAAATGAAAATGGTTTTTGGTGATTACCTTTTTCCTGAAGTTGCTTATGATTGCACGCATTTGAGCCTATGAATTTGGTAAACAGATGTGGATGACAGATTGTTGGCATTCTTTAGAAGAAAATTAAAGCATCATGTTTGTGAAAGCACTGTGCATCTAAGATTTATTTCCCACAAAACAGAAACAACTTGGAAATTATTTTAGAATATGGGGTAAATTACAAATACACTCGTTGAGGTTTGCTTAAAGTATAGATTGCTCCTTGTGACTTCGAAAATTACAAATACTTCCATTGTTAGAATTTTTTATTTAACAGAATTAACTTAAAAAAATAAAATTCATAATCACTTTCTGATACAATAATAAAATTACCTAAATTATTAATTGAAATATATTTTTAACATCATTAAAAACTGTTAATTGACTTCATGATTTATTGATAAAAGAGGCAATTTGTTATGTAATTAGAAAATTAAAGGAGTGGAATGTAATTTCCAAAACCAGAGGAATGATTCGTCTTTTAATTAAACCTCAAAGGATATATTTGTAATTTATCCTAGAATATATTAGTAAAGAGAATCCTGGTTTGTTGTCATACTTGTTGCCCTAACATTTTTTTTTTTGGGTGAGTAGAGCTTGTCTAACAGATCTTTGGCCTACTGTTCAGATCAAATATCACACACTGAACTAAAATTCATTTATAGGTTCTTAATGTAAGGGCTCTACGTCTTGCTTGCTTTCCTACATTGTTGAGGTCATCTCATGGGTTTGAGATCTTCCTAATTGAAACCAATCAGAGTAGAAGATATCTTCTGATTAAAATTTTTAAACTGCTTTCTGGTTCTGGTATTGACCATCCTGCATGTTCTTCTGGCTCAACTGGCATTTCTATGACTATAGGATGCTTGTAGCCGTCCTTTGTTATCTCTCTCTCTCTCTCTCTCTCTCTCTCTCTCAATCTTGAAGATGATGGCTCTCTTTTCTGAGACCAATGATATGTAGACTTGAATCTTAGTGAAACTAGCTCAAAGGTTCATCAGTTTTTTTCTTTTAAAGTATTTCTTCACCCCCCAAAGTCACACATCTTGCTCTCTTGTTGAGCCTTCAAATTATGATTTGGATTTCAAATTTGAGTTTTTGCATTCGGCTAAATACAGTATGGAACATGTTTGCTACGCCTGGTAGTCTGCTCTTAATTTGTGTGTGCGCTGATATTTGTAGTTGATAACTAGTGTTTGCTACAGTCATTCCATTAATTGATTTATGTATTATAAGGCTTTCTTACATGCCTTGTCAAGAGCCCAGGTGCGTCTAGCTAAAGGTTTGTTTGGTTTGGTTTGGTTTATGGTTGGCTAAATCAGCAAAAATGGAACCTAAGATCACACATTTCTACTTTCCTGAGAAGGTGAGTCCGAATAAAGTGAGATTTGAGATTTTGGACGCACCTTTTTTTTGTTTATAGTCATTTATAATCAATCAATATCATAAATGACATTGATCTTGAACCACCAGAAACAAACTCTACTTTGCAAACATTCAATGCCCAAAGTTCAGCACACTTTTCTTTAATGCCTTTCGTGGGAAAGTAGAAAGATATGGGGCTTGGCTCGTGCAAAGAATTAATTATATTTTTTTCCGATAAGTTTCTTCGCAAATTCAAATTCTAAATACAGTTTTGAAGTTTATTGAACTACAACCAGAGGTAAAGGCACGGAGTTGCTGCAAGCTTTGTTGTTTGCATTACAGCCATGCGCAAAGGTTCGAGGCCCATGGGCTGATATTTCAGACTGTTTTCTAAAAAAAAATCAAAAACTAATTCAGTGAGAAAAATGAAAGAAATAAAACTCAAAAGGATATTTCTGAAAACTGTTTTCTAAAAACTGGAATCAAATAAGCTGATTATTTTTCTATGGTTCTCTTTTTTGGAGTGATTTTATTTTATTTTATTTATTTTTATTTTTATTTTTTTGGAATTCAAAAATATCCTTTTGTGTTTATTTCAGAGGCCCCCTGAACTGGTCCGATTCTTTCATGAATGCTTGGTTTGTTACCATCAACACATTAGTTTTAAAATTTAATTTGAAAAACGAGGTTTCGTAACGATAAATTTTGTTTGTTATTTTGCCAAAAATATTTTAATAAAATGCATTTTTAGCTGCCACAATTTATTTATATACTTCAACCATTAACAAACTTTTACCCTAAATTAAATCTCAAAACAACAAATTTTGAAAGTGTAGTTATTTAACACTTTCCCAAGGAAAAACATTTTATTTTATTTTATTTATTTTTATTTTTATTTTTTTGGAATTCAAAAATATCCTTTTGTGTTTATTTCAGAGGCCCCCTGAACTGGTCCGATTCTTTCATGAATGCTTGGTTTGTTACCATCAACACATTAGTTTTAAAATTTAATTTGAAAAACGAGGTTTTGTTTGTTGTTTTGCCAAAAATATTTTAATAAAATGCATTTTTATCTGCCACAATTTATTTATATACTTCAACCATTAACAAACTTTTACCCTAAATTAAATCTCAAAACAACAAATTTTGAAAGTGTAGTTATTTAACACTTTCCCAAGGAAAAACAAAAAAGTTGGAAAAGACTTGCCTTGTAAAAATAAATTTTAAAAATCAAAGAGGATGATTCAAAAGACAGTGGTATCGAGGCTGACTGATTTCAAATTTGGTAGAAGACATTAGAGTTTTCATTGAACAATTAGATATTTGCTCCTAATTTGTAATTGAATTTTATGCATTTAAATTTTTTCACTATAATTGAAAAATTAAAAGAGAAAAAATAAATAAAATATGTGTGGATCCCACTTTTCCTACCATTGAAAATTTGTGGAATGAATAGGTATAAAATTATGCCACTAGTCCCCATAAATTAAAATTTCCTTCAATTAAATCCTATAACCTTTTAACTTGGTTCGATGTGACACTTCTATTACATTATATATACTTTGTAAATTACTCATAATTTCAAAATTTTAATATCAAAACAATAACCAACACCGTTCCATCACGTCGTTAATGAATTTTTTTTGTACTAGGATAAAAAAATTTAATGTTAATTATCAATTTATCCTTCTCTATCATATATGGGATTGCCAAAAGTTGATTGATAAACCACAAATTAACCATTTCAACCATAGAAAATAATTTATACCATATTTAGAAAAACACAATCACCTACAAGTGGAAAGTTTTCTGCATTCAATCGATCCACGGGCTCTACCCATACGGGACATGTAGCCCACGCAGCTATGACTTGCTCTGCTTGGAAACACGACTGACATAAGTGAATCAGCTAGTTCAAGAATATTGATATCATTGCCAAGGAATGGTCCTATGTTTTTTCGGGAATGGTTACTTTTTCAAGGAATCAGAATGATCATCGGCAGTGAGGGATTTGCTTGAACAAGGTCGAAGTCGTCTGGTGGAGTACAGTGTCAAACCAGAGAGACAGCAAGCAATATCAGCTTAATTTAGACAAGTTCGATAGAGGTGAATATACTAGGGCTAACTAAATGATCCAAAAAAAATCCCCAAAACCTATTGATATTGTCATTGGATGGATTTTGTATGCTTAACAGATTGAAAACTCAAAGTTGGAAGACTTCCAAGTGTACTCCGTTAAGGAATGAGTCGACCCCAAGCTCCTATGGGCTCCTAATTTTCACTTCCAAGTGAAATGAGTCGATCCCTACCTACTTGGGAGAAAAAGACTGCACATTTGGTGCTACGTTTTTTGGCAGTTAAAAACAAAGGTTGTTTGCTGGGTTGCTTTTTCGAATATTTTTAAGATCACTAGGTGTAAAGGTCTAGCAAATACCCAGAAATCTTGCTAGTTGTAATACTATTCGAAGAATAGTGGAAATACCTGAGTGGAAGCCTTGAGGAGTGCAGCTAGGCATCAGTTAAACCAAACTCAGGGTTGGCTACCTGGTTACATATCTCTCAGCAAGTTTGGTAGTGCGTGTGTGGGGGGGTGGGGAACCTGTCTACGCATAATATTAGGAAATGTGACAAGTCATGTCATTTGGATACTTTTATGGAATTAAGTCAAGCTTAGAGGGTGAATCTCATCAAAACATCCTTTTTAGGGAGACTCCAAAAAGTTCAAAAACAACAATACATTTTATAGCAAGTGCATATGCCAGTTCTTCATTAGAATGATAAATTGATTTAAAAAAACGCAGCAAAGGGAATGTTGACCTCAGTAAAGGCTGCACACATTCATTTTTCACAGGACTGAAACCCATTCAAAATATTTCAGATTTGGAGAGCATCAGCGATGGATCCTGCAAGGCTCAGGACTTCAAAGGGTGCCTTATTTGCAATGGCTTTCACAGTAAGAGGGCACGAGTCTGTGATCCAAAAGTAGGCAAAGGCTTTTTCCGAATCTGCTGAATATAAAACACCAATGTTCATTAGAACCAAAGAATTGAAGAAGAAAAGAAAAGAAATCTAAATATGCAGGTAATTACCTTCATTCTTGTGAACAAACCGCTCCCATGAACGCTTAGGAAATACACCGTGGGTTACATAAGCACTCACCTTCGCTGCACCATGAGCTGCCAAAACTTTCTGGTTGAACCAAAAATGTGGTGAAAGAAAGGGGAAAATGAAAAACCAAAAGAAGAAAGAAAGATTTAAAAAAGAGAGAGAGAGAGAGAGAGAGAGAAGCAATCGTAAGTTCTACAACCAGTACGTGATAAACTTTAGTGTTAACTCCATCTTGTAATGAAATACCTGGCACTCAATTAGGGTACCACCAGATTGAACCAAATCGTCAACAATAACAACATGACAACCAGTAGGGCTACCCTCTTTCAGCCGAACTATTCGTTTATCGCCTTCACGAACTTTTGCACAAACCACCTGCCATCAGATGATGCTAATCACCCAAGACAATAAAAGAGGATAGTAGAAAACATTCAATGTGGTGAGCAATAATATATATATATATATATATATTCACCATGGGAAAATGATCCAATTGCTTGTGGAATCGCTTCCAAGCTCCATCATCTGGAAACGCAACAACTATCTGAAAGGAAACATCTATTAGATTTGAGATAACGGATGTGATAGAAAGTTTAAAAAAAAAAAAAAAACACACTTGCAACCATGCTATAGATTTTTTGAGTTCCTGCTATCGGATATTAACTGCATTTTCAGTGTGTTGGCTCTGTGCTTATGGTTATTTACTTCCAATATTCAGCCATTAATTTGGTTTTTTCAGAGTCATAGCAACTCCCTTTTTTCAGAGTCATGTTAATAATTTTTAAGTGGGTGTAAGGTAAAACATGGTCCCCAAAGTAAAATCTTTCCTGCCAAAAAAAAAGAAAAGAAGGAAAGATAAGAGACTAGGTTGCCCCAAAAAAAGAGACAGAAAATTAGAGAGAATGTAAACTTCTAGTAGATGCTTTGAGCTAGCACATACTACAGCCAGGGGGGGCATACATCTCAACTATGCTACATGGACTCTTTAAAATAAATCATCCATGTTTGACACTAGACACGTAGATAAGGGTATGAGATGTGTCTGACACTTCCATTAGATATGTACTTATCAAATATACCCATCAATTCAATTTTTTATATTTAGTTGTATTTAACATTGTCATTTTATGTGGCATAATTGCAACAAAATAAGTAAATTGCCTTTTCTTTACCTAAATACAATTATATCCTATAAAATAGATTAAAATATATATATTTTTAAAAATATTATCTTTATTTGCCAAGTTTGTGTATCCTTCAACCTCTAGATAAGCATTCACACCCAACACTCATACCGAGTCCACGTAACATAGCTTCTCAAAGGCAGAAAACAATTTCAAATGTTCTGGTTTTTCCATAAATATGAAAAAGTTAAAATGAGAAGACAAGGGAGGAAACACAATGAAAAACATATCATCAGATTTAAAATCATATTAATAACTCATTAAAACAAACCAAACCAAACTAAGCTTTGTGTCCCATTCAAGTAGGCTCAGCTACATAAATTAATTTTCTTCATCCTTCTATCAAAGGTTATATGCTTAGTTAAATTAAATAAATTCTTTTTTTTTTTTACTACCACATCCCATGTGTTTTTACTACAGGACAGCGTTGTACATGACCATACCATCTTTGTCTATTCTCTTTTAATTTATCTTCAATTAGTGCTGCTCATACCATTTCACGAAAATATGCATTTCTAATTCTAGTTTTCCTAGTCTTATCACACATGCATCTAAGCATTCTCGTCTTGGCCGCACTCATTATATGGATATGTTGTTTATTAGTTTCCCAACATTTTGTTACATAAAACATTAGAATACAAAAGTTGGGCCAGGGTAGATGGCCCCATCCCAAACATTTAAACATATTGTATAATATTCTTAGTTATGTTATTCAGATTGGATTAATAAGATTGATTGTTTAAAGTTGTGGCCTTGTGTCTCTCCCTTTTTCGCCATCTCTATTCTACATCGATAATAAAATATCAAAGCATATAATGCAATATTGCACCAACATAATGGAAGCCAACCTGCAATGCGTGTATGTCATAGATGACTAGACTTGTTGGACCGCCCCTTGAAATGGGAATATTTGATAAAATTCTTGCCATGGTAAATGCAGTTGCCACATCCCCTTCCTCTTCCATACGTTCAAATGAACCAGTTGGAAAGAAAGGTAATACCAATGTGAAAGAAGCAACAAACAGCCGTGGAAGTGCAAAGATGACAGAAAGTTGTTCAAAGATGACTGCTGGGGAGCTGAAAGAAGCTAGAAAGGCAACATGCTGCCCTCGTATGTCTTGCGCATTGTTTATGAAAAGGTTTGGAAATCCATCATCAAAACTCCTGTCATATGCACAAAGAGAAAATGACATAAACATAACCATTGAAACGAAGTAAAAATAAAAAAGAGTCCAGATAAAAGATAGAAATATAGGAATTAATTTTTTTGTAGAAACAGAAAACAATTGCTTTATCAGCTGGTGGCAAACAGTTGTTAGTTAGTACTACAATTCTAGGTCTTCATTTCATCAATCATATATTGATCGCACATTGTGGTGGGTCTATCTGAGAACATTTTATGTTATGAGAAAAAAGAAAAAGAAAAAGAAAAAAAATCAAGTTTTGGAGCATATGTATAATTTTCCATCAAAAAACAGATCGAGGGGAGGAAAGGGAAAGAAGGGTAAATTCTTCAAGTAAGTCTAGGAGGCAGCCACATGCACCTTACCTCATCAATTTATCTCTATCGCATCTGAGAGTTAACTCAATGTAGAATATTCAAACACCCCACCCCCACCCCAGGTGCATTAAACTTTTTGTGGTAAATGGGATTTCTTTCTCTCTCTCAATTCTGTTTGTTACCCATTTCTTGTATAAATGTGACACTATATAAAAGTTTTTCAAGTTTCTTTGCCAAGTTTGTCTTCACCTCATTCTAGGTTAACAGTGTGACATTATATTGAAGTTTTGAGAAAATTCCTTTTCATGGAAACGGTAAAGCCTAGGCTTTGCAGAACTTACAAAAGCCCAGCAAGCTGAATCCAATGCCTACAAGGTAAACACCTTGGGGAGAAGGAATCTCCCAAACTTTGTTATTCCTACTCTAGACCAAATTTTCTAGCCAATCTGAAATACACATCTTGATTTTTCTCTATGTAGGTGTGCTTGCATCTCAGTATGGCTGAGATTCTATTTTTGCTATCAGCATGACAATGGTGAAAACTTACTTTATACAGAAAATATAATCCACAAACACAAACACACACACACACACACATATATATAAAGGCCTAAGTATTACACATTAATGTGTGTTTGGGAAAGACTAGGCTATGTGGAATTTAAAATGACACCCTCCAGCTAAATCCAAAAGGCCATGTAATGTGAAGCCCTGGGCATAGAGAACCTAGAAAGAGAGAAAAAAAATCTATCTAGCCAAATTCAATGTCTATTAGCATATGATGCATACCTTTATCTATGATTTCCTATTGTATTACTCGTAATCTTTTCAAGTGTTGACTTTTCTTGGTACAAAAGTTATCTCATATTACACATCACTTCAAAAGATGTACAAGAGTTTCCTCTCCAAATATCCTCACAAAAGTAAAATTATTATCCAACCATCCAATGCTAAGTGCCTTTTGGTATAACAACAGTGTCATACTGCATTTTCATCTGAAAATGAAACATTTACCTAATAAATTTCTTAAAACTCAAGCATTCTGGTTTACAAACTTTACCAAATAACATACAAATTTGGGCAATATTATTAGGTTCATATACACAGACTACGAAATCGAATTTCACCAGAGAACAACATCTACAGGGATCACAAGCAAATAATCAAAATAATCGGAAAGTATATATATATATATATATATTTAGAGAGGCAGAGAGAGAGAGAGAGAGAACCTCCAGTTGATGGATTGAAGGTGAATTAGGTCGGATTGAGAGGCGATTTTGAGAGCGAGGTCTTGGGACTCGACGCAGTGGAACAAAAGCACCTCTTTCTTATTGGACTTCTTCTCCATGTGGTCTGTGCTCTCAAGTTGAAAACCCTAAACCTTCGATTCCTAGCCTTCACAACTTTACCAGTGATGATACTACTGTTTGACAAACGTTTGCCGCCAAGCCAATATATCTATATAATAAGGGAGAAGAGTTTTTGAATTTGTGTGAAAATGTATCAGAGATAAATTTCAATTTAACGGCTGAGATGATTCTTAAGCTTATATCGATGGTTCAGATTGGTTCAAATGAATGATGATTGATTCATTCACGCATGCACGTCTGACCCACGCACGTCTAACCACATCCTCCCCACCTTCCCTCTCTCTATCTCTCTCTCTTTCACTCTCTGCTCTTCTTCGACAGAAGCAAAAAACCCCACCCTCTTCGCTACCGACGCTCCTCCTTCGTCACACTCCTCTTCATCAACCGTTTGATTTCAATTCTCTTCATCGACCCCCACCCTCTTCGCTACCGACGCTCCTCCTCCTCTTCCTCATTCGTCACGCTCCTCTTCATCGCAAGGTAAGATTCTCTTACAACCCAAAACAATTTCAGTATAGTTTTGTGGCTTTAATCATATATCCAGAAGAGTTGGGGCTTTGATCATATAACAGAGTACTCATTTTGATTTTGATTTTTGTTTTTTCTACAATATTGGTAATTGGTAAGTTGTGGTGAGTTCCATTTATTTAGGATTTATTTATTTACATCGTGCCTTCAGGCACGGGCATACGCTAGTATATATATATATAGAGAGAGAGAGACTATTGTGTGTGTACAGGTGTGTGTGTGTGTGATGAGAGAGGAGTTTTTTTTGGTACTAACTAATAGGTCAGCCAATTGGGAGATTATGCTTTAGATTCGGTGGCAAACACAAGCACAAAACAACAATGATTCATCCCCTTTTCTCCTAACTCCTTTGACCCCCTCTCTCTCTCATTGGTTACATTTTCTTTTTCTCTTTCGTTTTTTTTTTTACTCCTCCAATCACCATCCGTCAAATAACAAAGGGATAAGAGAGTGACCCCAAAAGAAGATCCCAAGCATTACTCACGACAAAAATACTGATCATTTCTATGCTTTTTGGTGGGCAGTGCTTTTGACAATGCCAAAATAAAAAAAAGATTATTGGAAAGGACAAACCCTACAAACACATAAACTTCATTGAATTTGACCCAAAATCTATAGAATAGGTGTGTTTCGTGTACTTAGAGCCTATGTTAAAAAGGTTTTAAAAATATTTTATATATATATTTTTTTTTGTTGTACTCATTTTATAGTGATGTACTATACTTTAATATTTTTAAAATACATATTAACAAAATCTATAAAATAATATTATTGTTTTTTAAAAGTGAATTTTACTAATAAATTTTGTAAAAAAGCATGACACTTAATCTAGTGATTTATACAATTATCTCTTAAAATAATAAGAAAAAAAAATCATATATTCAAAATTCGAGTTCATAAAAAAATGCCTCTTTCATTATAATCTAATTTGTCAAAGGCCTGTGTAATTATTAGATCAGAAGTCGATGAAAAAAAATTTAGTGCCCACCAAGGCTACATCTATAGCATACAAATTTTACTAATAAATTTTGTAAAAAAGCATGACACTTAATCTAGTGATTTATACAATTATCTCTTAAAATAATAAGAAAAAAAAATCATATATTCAAAATTCGAGTTCATAAAAAAAATGCCTCTTTCATTATAATCTAATTTATCAAAGACCTGTGTAATTATTACATCAGAAGTCGATGAAAAAAAATTTAGTGCCCACCAAGGCTACATCTATAGCAAATCTAATTTATCAAAGACCTGTGTAATTATTACATCAGAAGTCGATGAAAAAAAATTTAGTGCCCACCAAGGCTACATCTATAACATACACCTTGTAGAAAAATTATTTAATAATCTTAAAACATTATCATATAGCATCTCGATTTGAACGTGATTTGTTTATGTAATAAAACTTAATATTATTTGATAATTTTAAAATAGAATAATATTATATGCATTAATTAATATATTATCGGATAATGTGATATAATTTTAAATTTTTTAAATATTTATAGTTTGTATAACGAGTGAAATCATAATGTTAAAATTAACATATAATGATACATTAATTAATATATCAATTAATACATATAACACTACTGTTTAAAATAATATCATATAATCTCTCAATTTGAACGTGATAAATAAATGTCATTGCGTAAGCATCTGTTAGATTGATTATAAGATCCCTTCAAAACTGTACATTTTGGACCTTTTCACCAGGGGAAAGTTTTATACAATTTTTTATAGGCATCAATTTGAATCCTTTAGAATGAAGTAATCTGTAAGATTTGTTATAATTAAATGACTTAAATGTACGATTTATTTAAAATTGAGAAATTAAAATAAAAACAATAAAACTGCTCATAAACATAAGAGAAAAAACTATAAGAACTAACCACAGCTCTCATCAATCAATTTTTTTGGGTCTTCCATACAAATCTTCAGAATATTACCATATTGCACAGATAGGGATCAACTTCACAACTTCACAATTATTATTTCACTATAGAGTGGTAAAGCATTCAATTGATAAATTGATACTAAAGGAAATGAAGAATGCTTTACTATAAAGAAGTGTACACATATCATTACTAAAATAGGGGAACCAAAAAATAAAAAATAATCAAAAAGAGATGGTAATCAAGCCTACATAAGGAATAAGGATTGAGATAGGGTCAGCAAAGCCCTAAAGAATTGACAATAACTGAATAATCCATCATATACCTCAAAAGAAATCAGTATAACTCCTACTTAATATAATTCAGCCGAGTTACCGCGTTGATATGGTGGACACTAGTTTATCGAGCTTCGCTAGAGATACAACATTCATCAAGATTTTTGCAACACGGTCTTTTCTGATAATGCTGAACCAAGTCGAAGCATAAGAGGATATACAGGGCTAAACTCCTTGTCTCCTCTTACTCTCACCTTTGCAGCATAATCATCCAGAGTTGCTTTGATGCCTTTCCAGATCTGATCCTCTCCTTGAGAATCGAGCCATAGCGAATACTGTAGTGGTGTGAGTTTGTTCCTTTGCATTGGCGACTGTAATTCTTCCGGGCCACGGGAATAAAGATGGTGAAGTATGACACTTAGTGGCAAATCTTGCAAAAGAGAAGATGAACCCAGTTGAGATGTTTCCAAGAAAATGATGGGTCGGAAAGCTCGGAGGGCTCGGTACGGTGGACCAAGCTGTTCAACAGGGAACAAGTTCTGGCCCACAGCCAATTCCAGCTCAGCCATGTCCCTAGCCATTCTCAATTTGCCCGATTCTGAAAGGGGCCGAACAAGCGAAGCATGCCTGATAAAGAATATCAAAACCCGTGAAGCCATGCTTGTGACAAGCCGAGTGCATATGTTTTCTGTCCCGGCAGAGAGAGTATTTGTTGAAGAAGGCAAAAGCCGAGATAGGAATTCGCTACGAAAGTGAAGAATGCATTTCTGTAATTCTTCCATGTAAGGCGATGAATTGTTGTCCATTGCAGCATCCATCCCAAGCCCGCTAAAATTCTGTTCATGAATCTGCAGGATGCAAGACTCAAGACGGTCAAGCATGGCTTGGAATAAGGATGTCACTGAGTCGCAAGCAACCCCATACATGGCACCTAGTGATGGAGACAATATGTCGGAAATGATAATGGGAAGTCCGGTCATCATAGATGAGATGCGCATATGAATTTCTTGAAGATGTTGACATAATGCAAAGTTCTTGAGTTGTGCCGGAGTTGCAGGACCTGTTATCTGTCGTGCTTCGGGCCCAGTAGATATCTGCTACCACAATGTTTTATGTCAATTCATGCCAAAAAAAAAAAAGAAAAAAAATTAGAAATAAGGATCACAAGAAGAAACTTCAAAAGGACAGTAGTGCCTTGATGTAGTTCACTCACACTCTCTAATCAGAATATGGCAAGCTACATGAGTTCATACAAGCTTTCTTTATTGATCAAGAAAGAACAAAAGCATGATCTACGAACAGAACCTTTACCATTCTCAACTTTCAAATCTTTTCTTACCAATTCATTATAACTTCTGAGGAGGACACAATATAAGAATACTCATGACCCAAGGTGTCCTTATCACTATTCACAAAAGTGAAGCAAAAGCCCACTTCTCACGTGTGATGGGTACACTTCTGCACTTGCAAAAGGGAAAAGAGTGTTACAGGGAATTCTTTTGGATGTTTAGTTTAGGCAAGCCCCAGGGCAATAGTGGCTGTTGGCAGGAGGGTTTATTTTAGGCAACCCCTATCAATTGAATATGTTTAACTTTTGTTACACTATAAAGACTCATTACTTATTGATTACTGAATGAAATGTAGAAATATGTAGAGAGTGAAGGGAAAGAAAAAAGCACCCTCTAGGGTGAGCTCATAGTAATAAGTTTATAAGGTGTTTATGGCCAGCTGGAAATATCTGGAACGAGTTAAAGGGCATGGAGGAAGTGGGGGACAAGGTAGAATAACCTGAATTTTGTGGGGGCCAAAGTATCTCATTCATGAGATTAAACAAGATTAAACATAATGGGTATAGCATAGGGTCTAAATAAAATTTTATGTTTTATTCTTCTCTTTCTTTTGAGAAAGGGGGGTGTGGGACACTCCACCACTACAATAGGCGACAACCCTAAGTATTATCAATTTCCCTCCATAACAAGGCCCAAAAATGCCTTTTCACATTTGAATTCCTTCCTTTGATAGTTTAACCTTGATACTTGCCCTACAATTTCTGAACTTCACTATACGCCACAAACCTTGTGCATCCACTCCCACATCAAAGTAACTTGGGAAAAGTGTAAGAGTCCTAAAACAACACCACACCAATCCAAGGAAGATGTATATTCTTGAAGGTGAGACTATTAGACAGAAACACTAGAAGATGTATAACTACAAATTTATTATAAACACATACAAACATCTCACCAAAATATCTCCAGACAAATAGTGCTCAACCAAGCATGCATAGCGCCCTATTTTCTCAACTTATCAAATTAGTTAATTGATTGTTTACTTGATGTCATAGAAGGCATTCTAGTCCATTAAGCCAGCTATGGCTCAAAGGAGCTATGGCTCAAAGGATGAGAACCAAAAAAACAATGAGCTCCTCCAATTGGGTCAAGCACTGAAATATAATCAAATGGGATTGATAAATTTAAAATACAACCCAAAAAGAACTCTTTCAAAAAAAGAAAAAAGAAAAAGGAGAACTAATAGTGAGAGAACAATAACTTCTTGCCAAGAAAAAAAAGAAGAGGATTCATCCCACTGTCCTACTATATTTATCAGGCAAGTCCCAGGGTAAAAATAACCAACTAGGTGTAGCCTAGTTGGCCAACGTGAATTTCCTAAGAGCTTAGTCCCAAGGGGAGGTCATGGGTTCAACCCTTCCTAAGAGAATTGAGTTAAAGGGGCAAGAACTTGGTGCTTTGCAAAGGATAAGGAGGCTAAAACATTAATTGCTACAAATAGTAGTAATCTTGTTTGATAAAACTATAAAAGGAAAGTACCTGGTATTCAGCTCTCTCAGCAAGCAAAAGCAGAACTTTGCTGATTTCACGCAAGACAAGAACAGTCAAGCGCCCATTTGGCTGAACTGCTTCAATTTCCTCCTGAATGCGTGATATAATTCTAGATATATGTTCTTTGGAGGGTACATTTCCACGACTTGACACTGGAAACACAGTATTAACAAGATCTGACAGGCGGCTTAAGCAGAGGGCCAAGAAAGCTATCTGAAATATTTCAATGGCAGAAACCATTTGATCTTTTCCTTCCAAGGTTGTAGCAGGTAAAACTCCTTTGACATCTGTGTCACGTGAAATTCTTTCTAGAAGATTCTCTATCATGGAGTATAGCTTTGGATACCCAACAGTAAATATCTCTTTCACAAAGCTTGATGCAGTGAAAGCAGACTTCATTTGGCTTGCAAAGGATTTCACAAGAGCCTCCCAAACACGATCTGTTAACATTGGATCACCTTCCTAAGAAAACAAGAGCTCACACAACCAAACAAAAGCAGGAAATTATCCCCAAAAGGCAATGTACACAGATTAGTATAAATTATAAATGATGACTACCAACATCCATGGCATTAACAAAAATCATAGGATAAGCATCTCCAATTCAAAAGGGCATAGCATCTCAAGCATCCCCACTCTTTCAATTTCTATCTTTCTATGCCCAAGACTCATTTTTTAATAAAAAAACAGCTTCACAGCTTCAAAATAACATAGTATAATATTTTTAAAAAATAGGGGTACATGATGCATAATGACAACTGTGAACAAAGTGACTCAATCTAGTCTTATGTAAGATACTCCAAGCAGAGAAACCAGTTGAAAAAAAAAAAAAAAAAAAAAAGAAAAGAACTATAGCCAACCAATTATGAACTTGTGATGCTTTACAAAGCCAAGAATAATGGGAAAGTTCTTCCAGAAAAGTAAGAATCAATAATAACTTCAAAGCTAAATAAGTCCCTGATGGTTTCATGTAACTCTTTCAAGTTCAGTCATTAGTTATATTGAAGCCACTTCAGGCACCAATATACCCTCCCAAAATGAGGAGAAAAATAGCCACCATGGTTCTACAACCATCTACAATAACCTAACTTTTAGAAAGGATATTTTCACACTAAATTTAACCAATAAAAGGAGCTCACCTCCAGGTGAAAGAACCTGAAAATTGATTCTCTTGCTCTATATTGGTGACCAAGGTAAACTTTTAATTTTACTTTAATGCTGCTGCTGCCAAATTGACGAGGTTAAACTAGTGATCAACTATATTATTTCAACCTTTCATAACAAATTTCTAAAAGCAAATGGACTTGCACACAATGAAGATAAGACATCAACAGAATTCAGCTGACACTCCATCATATAGGCATTGAAATATATTTTTAATAATTCCACATAACGCAATCCATCTCTTTATTTATTTATTTTAGATAATTGTGAGACAATGTCGTCATATTTCAATTGTCACAAGCTCCATGATATGGAAAAATTAAACGTATGCTTCTTCGTTGGTTAAAATGCCTCGTGTCTTCTCAAATTTAAAGGACATTAACAGTCTTACTCCCTATTAATAAGGGTGGCATGAAGGATGGATTGTGTACAAGCAGGCCTGACCATTCACATTATTTGTACAAAGTCACATATTGTGTTTTTTACAGTAAGGTGTTTGGTAGTCAATGACTATTGACCAATCACAATCTCCTAGTTGGGGGTGGATTGGAAGTCATGGCAGATATGGCCTCAAGGCAGGGACAACTAGGCATGTGTAAAATTATGCCATATACAAGGACCTAAAAGAAAATTCCTTAAAGTTTCGGCAGGCCGTGCCATCACATACAACCCTGAAGTCAAATCCATACTTCGGCAGTCAGCTCTATTTCAAAACATTAACATCCTCAATTCCACCAATATGTAATCAACGTAAAGCATTGTATCAGTTCATTTACCTATGGGTTTAAAAGCTTCAAAAATCACCAAATGGTTTTGAGCATACTAAAGTAGTAGTATGTGATGCAATATATTAAGGTCAATCTTATGTACCCATGCTTTGGTCCAACTTATTCTACACATACTCTATCAATCCTAACATTACCAGAATATGAGAACTCCTCTCATTCAATGATTTCCCTTGAGGCCTCCACATGACCTTCAATTTCACTAGACGAATAGAAAACATTCAAAAACCTCAAGAAAAAAATCACTGAACGAAACCTCTGGTTCATTATCAACCAACCAGAAAAGGTAAGTCATCATTCTGAAGTAGTTGTAATCTATTGTGTTGTAATGGATAGCAGAATTACGAAATTGTTATTTACCAACAATGAAATGTTATGTATTGAATTGAAACCCACTGACTGCAACAAATACATGATGCATGACACAATTCTATTCACTCACCTGCATGATCTCGTCAAGCAGCAACATATGTGTAAACGGGTCTCTCTTCTTTGAAAGAACCCTCTGCAAATGCCAAACCGCAACCACAATCGAATGCAATTGATCCATACAGGTACTCATTCTCTGCCACAGCGCCTCCTTCGCCTTTCCCCCGCTTCCAATCTGTGGTGTACCACTCCTCTGTATCCCTCCCGGTCCATACCCTCCACCGGACCATGCCGAAATAGCCTTCATATCCAATGCAACGCTCACACTCTTTACACCCTGACTCTTATACTTGCTTATCAAACCATCCACTGTAGCTCTCAAATCACCAAGATTGTAAAAAACTTGCAAACCAGCCCCAACCTCAGCTTGATTCAACCCTTCCAATCCCCTCTCCAAAACCCTCATCCCCTCGGACCTCAATTTCTGTCCAGCTTCGAATACCCAATTCAATTCCTCATCAATCACAGCAATCCCTGCAAGCTCATTCTCATTGCATAAGCTCAAGATCTCGCAATGCAATTGAGCGGCCTTGGCGAGATCGAGCTTCTCAGGTTCGGATTCCCCAGCGGCCATAACATCACGAAACTTCTTCGATTGGCGGAGGACGCGGATAGTGAACTGGAGGAGCTCGGTGGTGCGGTGGAGGTTGGAGAGCTGTAGGGTTTTGGATCGGATCTGGCGGTTTGGATCCGCGATCTCGGAGCGAACGCGGCGAACAGAGGATTGGAGAGTGGTGACCGCGGATCGGAGGGCGGAGACGGCGGATTCGGCGTCGCGGAGGGAGGAGAGTTGGGAGAGGAGATCGTCGTGGCGGGAGAGGACTTCGGAGCAGAGTTGCTTCTCGAGGAGCTGGATATCGTCTTGGAGCTTCGCGGGAGACGGCGGAGCCGGAGGAGAGGGCGGCGGAGGAGAAGCGGGCGGAGTCGAAGTCGGAGGAGAAGAAGACGGAGAAAATTGGATCGGAGGAGAGAGAATCGAGTGGTGATGATGAAAATGGAATGGAGGACGGTGGTGATGTGATGGTTCCGGCGGCTGAAGTTGGGGTGGCGGTGGTGGTGGTTCTGTCTTTGAAGGTTGAGAGGCGTTGGAGAGGCGAAGAGGAAGGAATTGGGGACCTCGGAATCGCCGGGGCCGCCATTGTTGTTCAGGCCTCGAAGCTTTTCGCTAGCAGTCTACTCCGTGGGCATATGATATTCTTTTCTTTCATCAATATTGCAATCAACACCCTGTATTAATTGGGGAATTGACTTATAAATCCCATGACTTGTGATCTTTGCAGTCCCAAATGCATTTTAATAATCTTAGAAGTCTCAATTTGTGGTGATTTATATCTTTGCCCATAAGGTATGACATTAATGTTGATTTATGAAGATTGTGTAGGTTACGGGTCTGTCACATTTGAAAAAATGTACTATAATATTTTTTTGATTGATACATTAGTTTTAGCCCACCTACATTACCTATATCAGATTTTGGGCCAAAACATATTGTAACGACCCTATTACGTATTGTAGGGATATATTTTTGAGTACCGACACGTGGCAATGTGACGCCAACGTGTCAGTCGAGGTGCCACGTGTCAGGGTCATGACGCCGAGGTGATCTCAGTTAAGCCGAGGCTATCTCCGAAGATATTGGAGTTCGAGAAAAGCGGATAAGGGACAAGAGTCCTAGAATAAAGAGGAGACTTAGCCAAGATAAGGATAAAGCTCTTAGGGAGTTTATCTTTATCTCTGAAGGAGTCCAAAGTACGTACTGAACAGGAATCCATAGAAGTCAGGCTTCTATTGAGATTAGGATTGAGGTAACTATAAAAGAGAAGCACCCCCATGGGTCTAAGGTACGCAATTTTATGCTTTGAGCATTGAGTTTAGAATTATTGATTATCTTTGAGAGATATACTGACTTGATCGTCGGAGTGCCCCCGGGTGGTCAAACCACTGCCGGAATCTTCTCTTTCTGTTACAGATTAGCCAAGTATCATCTATTCTGCCAGTGTTCTCTAGCTGAATACTGAGTTGGGCAGTGTGATCGGAAAATCACTCACACAATTTGGCGCCGTCTGTGGGAAAGAAAGGAGAATAGATGGCCAGTAATGGACAGAAAGAAAAAGGTTGGGAACCACACTCCTGCTGAGAGTGAGAGACCTATTGACCTTGATATCATAGGAGACGAATGCAATGTAGAAACTCGTGACCAGAATCACGGAGCGAAAGACGTCGGCCAGACCAGCGACGCGCCAAAGAAACCTGATCAAAACAGGTATTACAACGAACACGACCTTCAAATTTGGAAGGATAGGTGCCTACGGAGGGATGAAGAGGTAAAAGAGATGGTAAACAAATTGACAGACCTGCAGTCGGTCGTCAATTTCATGATGCAAAATAACGTTATGCAGCCACCATTCCAGCTGTAGGACACGCCGAGATGGCAAACAAATTGACAGACCTGCAGTCGGTCGTCAATTTCATGATGCAAAATAACGTTATGCAGCCACCATTCCCGCTGTAGGACACGCCGATTCCAGCGGCCAATACCCAGAAGGGAGGACAGAAAACAATCCCCGTAGCCCCTTAGCATAACAGAAACAAGAGATACTCTCACCGACCTTCTAGGGAGGACGGACGAAGAGAATCAAGAAGAGAAGGATCACGGAGGACGCATCGCATAAAGGAGGCAGACCCCAAAGGACATCGACATGTTCAGGGGTAGGCACTGTGCTTCGACACAACTCATGGAGAAGGATTGAAAAAGGGCTCACCACGAGGCTGAGAGTAGCATACCGAAAAGACTGAAGTCGATAGATAACCGAGCTGTTGGGTGGAGCAAAGAAGACTTAAGAGATTACCTCAAGAGGAAGCAACAGAATGCCGAAGCCGAGGTAACCTCTCCAGATAAGCCGAAGACACCATTCTCGGTGGAATTAGACAGATTTGAGGCACCAAAGCAATTCAGTATGCCGAGGTTTCAAATATACGATGGTAAGTCAGACCCCAACTTCCACGTTGGACTATATTTGAATTCAATGGCATTGTATAGTGGGAACGAGCCGTTGCTCTGCAAAGTGTTTCCCTCATCCTTCGAGGAGATTGCATCAGATTGGTTCTACAAACTACCGAAGGGAAGCGTGAAGACTTGGGAAGGCCTGACTGAGATGTTTGTGGCCAGGTTTGTGACAAACAAGCTGCAGCCATTAAGGGTGGACGCATTGATGGCTCTAAAGATCAGCAAGGATGAAGGCCTTAGGGCCTATGCAAAAAGATACTATGAGGTGTTCAATCGAATACCCGAATGTAATCAAGAGGTGGCAGTCGTATCTTTCAAGAACGGCTTGAAAAACAACTGTCCATTACGAAAGTCTTTGGCAAAGACATTGCCAAAAAGTATGGAGGAGCTCATGGCAAGAATCGAGAAGTACGCTAGAGCCGAAGAAGACACGTCGGGAACCAAGGAGATAAAACAAGAGAAAGGAAATGGCTCGCCGAAGCGAAGCCGAGGTAATAATGGAACGAGCAGGCAAGAGGCAGAACTGAGAGCCACACAAGCAGTAACAATTGTGTTCCGAATCCCAATTCCCAAAGTCCTGGATCAAATTCGGAACCAACCCTATTTCAGAATGCCAGAAAGGACTCCAGGAGAGTTCATGGAAAGAAACATTGGCAGACATTGCACCTACCACAATGAAGATGGGCATACGACTTAGGGTTGTAGAGCCCTGAAAACATATTTGGAAGACCTGGTGAGACAAGGACATCTGAGAGACTTTGTCGATGAGACCATGACAAGGGAAGAACGGGCAAGGTTTCCTCAGGCACCAGTAGCTCCACCTTCCCCAGCACAGCAGCCGCAGGCAGGAGGACCTCGGGTAATCAACGTAATCCACTCAAAGGTCAATGAAAACGAAATCCGAGGAGAGACCCAGAAGATAAAACACCTACAACATGTTTACCAAGTCAAGGAGAAAAGACATCGGGAAGAAGAGTGCCAGGGACCAATGATAACCTTTACCGAAGCCGACCTAGAGATAGTCCAACATCTGCATAATGATGCCTTGGTAGTATCCCTCAAGGTTGAGGAGTGCCAAGTGAAACGCATCCTGATTGATCAAGGCAGCTCTTGCGACATCATGTACGTCCGATGTTACAAGGAGCTCGACCTTCACCCAGATGATATGGAACAATCTAATGGCCCAATGGTTGGGTTCAATGGAATGTCGACATGGCCACTGGGAACAGTAAGCTTGGAGGTGCAGGCTGGCACCAGGAAGATTAAGACAAAATTCACTATCATCGACACACCCTCCCCTTACAACATCATCTTGGGAAGGCCATGGTTGCATGTAATGGGGGCAGTTCCCTCAACATTGCATCAACTATTGCGATTCCCAACAGAGCATGGGATAGAAGAAGTCAGAGGCGATCAGCTACAGGCGAAGAATTGCTCCATAGCAGCAATGAAATCTACCTGTAGCGTATGAGAGCCAGAAAAGGCAGAAATTGAAGATGAGGACGTGGAAGTCCTAGAAGACATCGGCAAGGAGCCAGCCGGGAAGAGCGAAGAGGCACTGAAGAAAATCCTCGTCCAAGATGGGGATGAAGAACGCTTCTTTCTTCTCAGCTTGGGCTTAGCCGAAGAAGAGGAAAAAGAGTTGGAAACTTTTTTGAGAGCAAACATTGAGGTGTTCGCTTGGACACCTTACGAAATGCCTGGCATTGAACCCGAGGTCACTTGCCACAAGCTGAATATTGACAGGTTGGCCAAACCTGTAATTCAACGAGCCAGAAGACCGACGTTGATGCACGTCGAAGCAGTAGAGGAAGAAGTAGACAGACTTTTGGAGGCTAGGGCCATTAGAGAAGTACACTATCCAACATGGCTATCCAATACAGTGGTGGTAAAGAAGAAGAATGGTAAATGGAGGGTCTGCGTGGACTTCACCAGCCTCAACAAAGCCTGTCCCAAAGACAGCTTTCCTCTACCCAAGATTGACCAGTTAGTAGATGCCACTTCAGAGCATGGAAGAATGAGCTTCCTAGATGCCTACATGGGGTACCACCAGATAGCTATGTACCCCCCAGACGAAGAGAAGACAGCATTCATCACCCCAAAAAGCCTGCTCTGTTACAGAGTAATGCCTTTCGGATTGAAAAATGTGGGAGCAACTTACCAAAGGTTGGTAACCAAAATGTTCAAACACCTGATCGGCCGAACAGTGGAAGTCTACATCGACGACATGGTCGTTAAGACCAAGGAGCCCAAAGGTCATCTCGCCGATCTAAAAGTAGTCTTTGAAATCCTTAAAACATATCGGCTCCGACTCAATGCATCGAAGTATGTATTTGGAGTTGGATCTGGTAAGTTTTAGGATACTTGGTGACTAGAAGGGGCATCGAGGCCAGCCCAAATTAAATCAAGGCCATCCTAGAGTTGAAGAGCCCGATGTTGGCAAAATAGGTGTAGATGCTAACTGGAAGGGCCGCAACCCTAAACAGATTCATCAGTAGAAGCTCAGATAAGTGCAGGCCTTTCTTTAACTTGGTGAAGAAAGCCACAGACTTCTTGTGGACAGAAGAATGCGAAGCCGCTTTGGTCGACCTGAAGAAGTACTTGACCACAGCTCCAGTTCTTTCAAATCCAGAACCTAGGGAGGAGCTGTTTTTGTACTTAGCCGTTTTAGAACATGCGATAAGTGCAGTACTAATCCGAGAAGAGAAAGAGGAACAAAGGGCTGTTTACTATGTAAGCAAAACCCTAGCTGATGCAGAAACGAGGTATCTTCCCTTAGAGAAATTGGCACTAGCTTTAGTAATGGCTTCAAAGAAGTCGAACCATTACTTTCAGGCCCATAAAATTGTGGTGCTAACAGAGTACCCCTTGAAGTCCTTACTGCAGCAAGGAGACCTGACAGGAAGAATAGCCAGGTGGGCAGTCACCCTAGGCCAGTATGACCTGGAGTACAGGCCAAGGACAACAATCAAAGGCCAGGTTCTGGCCGACTTCGTGGCTGAGTTCACACCAGAATCCATCGAACATCGGGCTCTGTTGAGCCAAGATGAGTGATACCCAACCAAGCAAGGAGAAGCACAGCCAAAGGCAAAAGAACAAAGGAAAGAGGACAAACTCAAACCCTGCAGCATTTACATCGGCGACTCCTTTCGACTGTTTGTTGATGGGAGTTCAAACCAACAAGGAGCGGAGGCAGGAGTAGTATTGATATCCCTAGATGGGCAAGTACT